CGGCTCCACCACATCCACCCGCTCGCACACGTGTCTCAGGAACCCATCCGTCACCCGCCCGATCCCCGCACCACAGTCGACACCCAGCTTGAGGCGTTTGTGCGACGACGGCGTAAAGGACCCGCTGGGTCCGCGCCGCAGCTTGGTCAGGAAGCTGCGCGAGCCGCGCAGGTCGGTCAGGCTGATCTGCGGGTAGCCGCCCAGCATGCCGGTGATTGAGGCCGGGGTGCGGGACCAGTAGTCCAGGGATGCGGTGGGGGAGATGAGGGAGTCGGGTGGGGGTGTATGGGTTGCGGGAGTGGAGTGGTTATTCCGGTAGGGAGGGTTTTCTTGTTGCGCGTCTGCATCGATCATGGTGTATATGCTGTGCGATAGGATGGAGAAATGGGAAGAGAAGAAATACAGCGGAGAGTGGCTGCGCAGCTCTTGGGATATGGATGGTCGTGCACAGCTTTGTCTAGCATAAGATTTGTCTTGCTTTGTGGTGTTTGCTGGAAGCCTTTTGGATGGTAGTCCGGGAAAGTGGAAGACGTCTAACTTGCAGCCATTTCACGATGCTCGTGTCCTATAGAAAACAATATTTGCAAGTCATTGACGTTCACACCGCCCGCAAGATGGAAATATGCCCCTGCCAAGATTAGTGGTGCCAAGACAAAACCCCTGACTTCGATTACTACATAATGAAAGTCGACGATGGCTTGCCGTTTGTACAAGTTGAAAGGTTGTCCATTGACCAGCGTTCCACCGACGATAAACAATCTTTACTGAGAGCTCAGCTGTTCTTATCGGAAAGGGACCTTGAATTTCAAGCCTATTTGCTACCCAGCATCTGGTCTTTTTTATGAGACAGTTTTGATAAGTCCCGCTAAAGAACAGCAGCATGTGCAGCACGCACGATGGAGAAGAATTGGAGCTCGAGGCTCTCCACTCTCTCCACTAGCACCCCGTTGACGAAAGGAATCTCATCTGCCTGAGTGATGTAAGGAAGCACAATATCAAGCCTCTGAATCAGCGGTAGGGGCTTCAGTGCATGTCGAATCACTTATCCTCTTCATCATCGTCCCCATTGACTCCTTCAGCGCCATCCTCGCCATTGCCATCATCGTTCCCGTCGTCGTCACCATCAACATTCTCCTCATCATCGACTCCCTCGTCATCGACTCCCTCGTCATCGCCTTCTTCTGCGCCGCCATGAACCAGATTTCCTGCTTTCATCTTGTTCGCCCCGTTAGCATTCTCAACCAAAGTGTCTTCAGCCTGTTCCGAGTCGTCCTCATCCAGATCTTCGCCTGCCAGGTCGAGAATGAACTTCCATTCCTTTGGTGTAACAGCAGAAACGCTCAACCGTGCTTGCTTGAGCATCTGCATCTTCGCTAGGGCTCCACCGGGTTCAGCATACGTTTTGAGCTCTGACAGCTTGACAATGTCGGCAAACTTGCGAACGTATTGGACGTAGACGATATCCCACTTGGGGTTCTCACGTGTTGACTTCGCATCATAATAAGGATGTCTAGGGTCGAAGGCCATTTCTAATCACAGAACATCAGTAAATGCCACGATAAAGGCAAGAGGAATGACACTTACCATCGACTTCGTGCTCCCCAACAATCTCCATGACTCCGACGATGCCTGGAACTTTGCAGTTTGAATGGTAGAAGAAGGCGTGATCCCCTTTACGCATCGCTCGTAAATTGTTTCTTGCTTGGAGGCTACGGACTCCATCCCAAGCCTCAGGCCCTCCTTTGGCTCTAAGGTCGTCAATGCTGAATTTGACATCCACTCCATTCTCAAGCCTCGAATCTGGTTCTGCTTTCATAAGCCAGTACTGACGGTCTGATTCGGTTTCCTCCTCCTCGTCGACATCGTTGGACGTGCCATTGGGAAGACCCTCAGAGTCTTCTACCTCATCATCAAACACCTCCTCTTCGTGGTTGGCCGTCGTCTCACGACCCTTCTGCTTGGCAACAGGACCATTGCTTGACTTGGCTGGGGCATTCTTCTTTGGTCTTCCGACACCCTTGGCTGGTCTGCCCACGGCCTTTTTAGGTCTCCCAACGGCTTTCTTGGGCGTTGTAGGCTTCTCTTCGACGGTTGTTTCAGAAGTGGCTTTCTTTGGTCTGCCACGTCCACGTTTTGGAGCTTCATTGGTCTCTACCTCTGGCTGTGCCATAGCTGATACTCTACGCTTGCCAAATAATTTTGCTGCACCTTTTCTTCTCTTCTTCACATTAGCTTGAGCAGCAGGAGCGGTCTTTGAGCTTGCCGCCGAGACATTATTTGGAGCTTTAGCACGTCTAGTACTGTAGTCTGGTTCGCCAGCCGAGCTGCGTCTTGGACGTCCCGAGTCGGTAAGCTCAGTGGAATCTTGTGTGCCTATGATCGAAGTTTCGCCGACGCGAACGCGCTTTGTGGGGCGTTGTGGAGCTGCAGAGGATGTGCCAGCTGGGCGACCGCGCTTTTTTGGAGGCATGGCGTCGTTCTGTGGGTTTTGGGTTGGGAATAGATCAACTCAAGCTCTATTTAGTGCGTTAGTAAAATTGAAGTGGCGTAGAGAGTGTATGAGTAGATGGTAAGTCAGTTTTCGCGTCTGGTTGTTGATTTGGAGAAGCAATATTATTTCTCCACAAAAGCTTGGGGAAGGGGTGGCGCCTACACTAAATAATTTAGGCTCTGGTGCCTAAAGATCACTTGTACAACGCGTAAAACATGTGGGTGCACTACAGTAATCAGCCTCTTAACTTCTACCTCATCTCATTATTGCTACTAGTCCAGGTCTGTGGATTAAGTCGCCCTTATGGCTAATTGCTAAACTGGACCGGATATACGGAGTACAAACAGCTATACTCCGTGACGTGCAGTTAATTCCACTCAATATCCCTTTTCTTTCCCTTCTTTTCCTTCACTTATGCAGTTACATGCATATATCAACCCTACCCGTCTTGGAATCCCATCTCACCAGCATATACTGGTCTTACAAGATATCCTCCTGACGAAAAACAGCCACAATAATATGATTAATATTCTCCGACGTCTACGTAATAGCCATCTTGACGCCTAAAGTCCACAAATTTGACGAGATCGCCGCTCTATGGCATGAGCACATTCCGAAGGTGCTGGAGAAAGAAACGGGTCTTCACTCCTGTTGACAACATAATGAAATACCAGTGCATGAAGGTGATGCAGTCAGCTTGATCTTCTACGAAAAATGAGCTCGATACCTGCCTTGAATTAGATCTTTTTGCCAGAGATACGCTGATGCTGGCCGGACGGAGGTATAAAGGTCAGCAGAGTCTTTCTGTCCCGCTCAACAAGGAACTACTACAAAAGTGTCTGCGGCCAAGCTGACGGAGGGAGGATTGCTGAGTGATCAGCCAATTAACAAGGCTTCACGGTCCATTGGTGGATCGGTGAACCGTTTAAAAGTGCTTTGCACAAGGTTAAACGACCTCAAGACCAGTGCTTCCGGCAGTAGAGACAATGAAGGGTAAGAGAAGAAACCATGCAGAGTACGAAGAGTAGCAAGGAGAAGGAGTCTCAGCACGTTTTCTTGTTGGCGGGATTCGGACTATGTATAAAGCAAGATGCAGCCCATCCATTGATCCTCCGCTTGTTTAGTCACTGAAGCAGGCTACAGTGATCAAAAATAGCAACGGCTGAATACTCAAGCCCATTACCACCAACACAATTCCCCATACTTAGGGGCCCCATGTATAACAATATACATAATGATGACCTGTCTAGTGACTTGTAAGTCAAGACTGCGAAGTTTTTGAGGCCTCGGAGGGGTGGTGTGAAGCGGGTGGTTTCAGATATATTCCAGCAAAGCATCTGCGAGCATGTTCTATGCCTTCATACCATATACGGCGGTAGCGTGGTAGTTGGAGGCTCAACACGTTGGTGGCGGATGACCTCCGAGCCCGTCCTCGGCAGCTCCTGTGGTGAACTTGTGTCTCTGACATCTGCTAAGGCTGAGTCCTGGACCCGCCCTATCTTGCAGCGCTTGAGGTCGAGGCACCAGGCTATAAAATCATTGGCAAGCGCCACAGTGGTGAAAAGCCATGCTATGAAGCCTACAGCAACAATGACACTTCCTATAGCAGCGATGACGCAAACAAAGACCAGATCAGTTGTATAGACGAGTCCGTGAAGGCAGTAGCCTGTGAACAGAGCCATAAGAATTTGGAAAGTGAGGAGAAAGCTCGCAACGCCCAGCAAAGTTGTGGAGCACATCCATTTGACCAGCGTCAGGATCCGTGATACAGGTACTTTCTTCTTGCCGGGCATGTGGGGAGCGGGTGTGAGAGCAGGGTGGCAATGAGGTGGGATGGCTGCATTGGAATCTGGACCATTGCATGTTGGTGCTGATGAAGATCGGTCGTTTGGAGAAGAGTTGATGAGGTTGCTGAGAACAAGAACACCTGGAATTGCGAACGCGCTGATGACAAATATGGCCACCGAGGTTTCGAAATTGAACCAGAAGGTGCTGGCAAAAGGGACTCGATCGCGGCATTGCACCGAAAAGGGACCAGTTGACGCCATTTAGACAATTGTGTGCTCTGGCACGAGTTCTGATAGTTTTGACTGATTCGGATTCACGAGTTGAAAGAATGTTTGGAAAAAGACTCCTCAAATACTGGTGAACAGTGTGTGGCGCTCTGGTTCAATGAATGCTGCGTGTACAAGATGTGTGATGAACAAGACGATTGCTGATGAAGAAAATTCAACTGGGATCGGCAAAGGTAAATTATGTTGTTCTCGACTCCCGAGAAGGCAGTATCAATGCCACAGCTCAAGGCTGCTCTTGCCCGAAGCCGTCCAGATTGGCATCTCAATAGCAAGCTCATAGCTACCCCTTCAGATACCATAGAAGGCCTTTAGCTCATCGTCTTCATCTCCGCTTGCTCCATCTTCCTCGATCTCTACTGCGCTATCCACAAACCCTCGGTCGCGACCACCTGCACCCTCCGCAGACGTTCCTTTCTCTCTCGGCAGCCTCATCACGAGCCACTCATCTTTAACCCTGGTTTTACTATGCATGATCTCCTTCATCTTGTTTTGAACCTCGCCTAACGGTCTTGCAGCCCTGGCAATAGTCTCCAATATTCGATGCTGTGATGTCTTCATTGTCATTGTGACTGGTTGGAAGTACTCTTCATTCGGTTTCCACCTTATGAGCCCGCCCAGAGGTGTGCCGGTGGAGGTCCCTTCTGAAGACTGCATAGCTAGAAGGTCAAAACCTTTCCGCACTACGAAAAAGCTGCAGACCATTTCTAAGCCCTGCCCACTTAAGGGTGTATCCAACACCGCATACTCAGGAAACAGATAACGGTCTTGCGATGCCGGCACTGTTGATGATGCGGGAGAGGTAAACTCTAGAACAATGGCTTTGACGCGTGGTTCAGGAGCGGGCACTTTCTGCTGTGGTGGAAGATAATGCGGATAGGGCGGCGCGTTGAGGGGAGGGCCCAGTGGACCAATCTTTGGAGCTGGACGTTGCTGAGTTTGGTGAAGAGCCCCAGAACGCTGTGGATGGGTGGGATAGGGTAAAGGTCTTTGCTTGCCATCGTGCGGAGGGTGACTTGTTTGAGGTATATCATCACCAGGACCATCTAGCTGTGTTGGTTTTGGCAAGCTTTGATCAGCGTGGCTATTTTGAGGTTCTCTCGGGGATTTCTCCACTTCTTGCTGCTGACGAATCATCACGTTCAGCTCGTCAATGTGACTCTGAAAAAGTTTCAACTGCTCAGGAGTAGCCTTGGAAGAAGCAACGACTTTCATAAGTGCTTTGAGATCCGGGTTGGTTGCAGCTCGAGTAGCCAGCATTCGGATTACTGGGTCAGGGCCTGATTGTGCTGACGCTGACTGAGAAGCAGGTGGAGCTGAAGCCTGGGGCCGAGCATTTCCAGATACTTTTGGAGATTGCGTAGGAGGTTTGATAGTCGCTCCGGCCACCGGCTTCTCCTGCTTCACCTCGACCTGTGGGACCTGGCCCGCATAGTTTGTTACAGGACGAGCCTGCAGATTGGGGTTTTGAGTTCCTGCTGGAAGGTAGTTCTGAAAGCCGGGCTGTGGAGCCACAGGCCGTTGAGGGTATTGGTTTGGATGGCGATAGGTAGGGTTGTCTCTAACAGTGTATATTGTCGCCTCAAATGTATGCGGCCCAATGATTATTGCGCTTGATCCAAGCCTATGCATTGTCTTCAGATCTGGATTGTTCACAAGTCCCTCCGTGCCCTTCTTTTTCGAAGGCTTGGTCCAGTACTTCTCGAAGATACCTTCTGCAAGCCATCTCAGCCGCGAGCGATGTAAAGATGCTGCAAGAACAGCCGACTCGGCGATGTTTTGGTATTCCCTCGCAGACAGCATCAGCGGTGGCGGTTGATATGACGTCGGTAAAGGTCTGCTGTCCGTAATCTTCGCCGGAAGGCCTTCTTCAACAACAGGAGTTGAAGTGTGCCGTGTTGGTGTAATCTCTAATACCACTTTTCGCTTATTGTACTTGGTCGGCACTGTCTTGGGAGTTGACTTCGATGGTGTAGGCTTTTTGGGGGTGGAGGACGACTTCAGTGCCGTGATCGGAGATGATGCTCGTCTTTTCGCAGCGGATTCACGCCGTTCTCGAGCAGGTAGAACACGTTTCTGAGGCACAGTGGAGGCGGATTCTTTCTCCTCTGCCGCTAGATCTTGATCTGCCATCGCAATGGGCCTTGCTGACACGAACCCCTTATAGTAGGCAGTGTTGAAGATATCAACTAATTAGGAACAGGTCGCCGACGCTGGACATGGGGGTCACGCTTGGGATCAGATACAACAGAAATTGTGATTGATGCACTGAGCTCACTCAGATTTCAGTACATCGTTGCTGGCTTTATGCAGATGTGGTGAACCTTCACTTCTTCAACTACCGTCGATCCATAGCCATCGTACAGTACCTCGCAAGTGGGTGTGATACATCTGCTAGACTAGTCGTCTTACACCAATTCTTTTGGGACCTCCGGACCATTGTCCTGCCCTCTACACTAAGGGTGGCCCTTACTTGAATGCCGGGTTAAAGCCGGGTACCTAGCGTCGTCGTGCTGAGGTTTGTACACATACCTAGCTTCTTGAGTTCCCTATCAATTCACCTTCTACTCGTAATGCAATATTCTGAGTCATCTATTTGACTAGACATGAAGTACGACAAAGACAAAGACATACGGAACTGTCAGCGGTGCAATCAGCTAGCCCGTTGACGATTTTGTGGAGAGTGGAGCCCAGAACTTCCTCGAATCGTCCTTCATAAATCCAGATGCCATCAATTGATTGTTCGTGTGAGTCGCGAGCTTCCACCTGCATCATTGGCCAAGATGCTCTCCCACTGGCTTGTCGCTTTGTATCAACAATGGCTGTGGTCTCAAGATTATGGCTGGAGTAGGTATTGAACGAGCACAATCAGTGCACACTCCAGCATCCATTCTCTCCCCCCCCCAAACCAGCAAAGCTGCTACGGCTCTAGGATAAGTTAAGCCGAGAAGTTGGAGCTGTCGGTTGCCCTCAAGGGAAAGGACATCCAGGGCTGAGGCCTCAGGTACAAAGGTAACTACTATCATGGTTCACGGTATTGAAGGATGAATGTATGCGCCGTGTCTCGCTTTGTGCCAATCATGCTTTCTTATTGTCCATTGCAAAAATCCTCTCCAGGCTTTATTTGCTCCGAATTGATGGCACATCGAAGTCGGCAGAAAGAATCCTCACCCGTCTATATCCTTGCCTGCTTGCTTAATCATATACAGTTGATCGCCCTAGAAATCAAGGTATCAAGAACTCGACCAGCATCAGCGAGCTGAAGCGTACAGCCCCCGAGAGTGGTGTCTTGTGACGTTGCTACTAATTCTAGTTCTCATAAGTTCGTGTTGTACCTCTTCTCAGAACCGCTCGTCCGCTCGCAAGTCTGGTACGATTCGTCGTCCTCGGCTAAATGTAGTCATGTGTATGGGCTTGAACACCGCAACGAGCTTCGATTTGAGATCGTCACCGTCGCAGGACCCCATTCCGTTTACTCAAACTTTGCTCACCTGCTTTTTACCCTTCGAACACTCTCAACTCAACTCCGATTCTGAGTTCGACTTGTTTGTGCGCTGCTCGCTTTGTCCTGTAAACTTGTCAGCGATCGCGCTCAATCATTTTACTTGTCCAACAGTGAGGGTTTTCGAGCATATCAGAAGGCCCTACCCAAGTTTTGACTACCCATTTTTATCAAATGGAGTCCACCAATGAACAGAAGCCACGGCACAAGTGGTTGGTCGGACATCGGCATTTGCTTTGCCTCTTCTCTGTAAGACATCATGGTAGGAGTCAACGCATGATACTAACGATACAGTAGAAGCTCTATGGTAACAACATAGATGACATCACGCGCATCCTGAACCATATACTTGCTAAGGAGCTTAGTGCTGAAGGTTTTGACGCTGGCATGCCTACTTCAACTGTGCGAGGGCAACTACTGAATATAAAGCAAGGCGCCTCAGGCTACGACGTCTGGCAAAAGGTTGTCTTGAATCCCAGCATTGCTGAGGCACGCAAGACATTCCGCGATGGCCGCGACGCCATTGAAGATGCTGCGCTCGCTTTGGGCATCAGTTTGCACCTTCGAACAGAGGAGGTTGACAGCTTGAAACCGCATGGGAAACGCTTAGGCAAGCGAGGGAGGAAGATCCAAGAACTTCGAGGCGTGCTCGGAGACATCATTTCTTCTGACGACGATTCGGAAAGCAATCTGCAAAGCCCTCGAAACAGGCGAAGAAGATCCCCCAGCATAGACACTTCTCCAGTGACCCCAAGTAGACAAGGCCACGGCCAGCTTTTGACCCCCATGTCGCTTCAATCTGGCGTTAATACACCTGGAGTTTTGAGCGAGAGGTCTTCTGCAAAGAGAATAGCCACTAACGCTAGACGAGTTACAACGACTCCAAGAAAAGCTACAACCAAGTCCCAGGACCTTCCCAGCCTGGTTTTCCGATGGTACAACGATAGAAGTCAAGGCCTCAATACAGAAACAGAGCTAGTAGCTGGAAAATTCCTTGACCAACCCCAGGAGATACCTCCTCCAGAGTGGGCGTTGGAGGCAGTGACAAATCACCTGATCCCACACAAGCTGCCTTCACCATTCATATCATTCAGGGAGAGTTTACGACCATGTCTTTTCCGTGCGCTCAAAGCCGGTGTGGAAACAAATCCTTGCATAACGATCGTGGATCTACAGAAATTGAAGGACGTAACCGGCCGGAAATGGGGAAAATATGAAGCTATAAAAGCTTCCCCCGATCTCGTGAGACACTTTAATCTCACTTTGGGCCGGAAAGGCACATATACAGGCGGCGGAGAATGGCTTGTGTATGGTAAGTCGTCGCCCTAGTTGACCCTGGAGGTTCTCATCCATGTGTAGGCAAAATTGAGAAGGAAGCCATCATCGCGACCATTAACATCAGAGATTTCAATTACTACGAGAAGCGCATACCACTCTTAGCGCAAATCCTGCAGCTCGATCTTGTTCGGTCTGCTCCAACGGCTCGTATACTTTCGTTCAAGATGAGCGAGTCCCCAGCGGACATGACTTGGGACTCTGGAGTTGCCGTGGGCTCACTTATGAACTATCTTCGGGTTCCGGCCGAGTGTTGGAAGGACGTTGGGGACAACATTGTAGAGTCCTGGGCATTTCGTGGTTGGAGGCGGCGACGGTTCGATCAAGGCTATGAAGCATACATGAATGGAATAATGTACGCCAAAGACAATCCTGACAACCTGCTTGATGTTGAAGATGCTGCAAGAGCTGGCAACAGAGATGTTGTGAAAATATCCGGTGTGCGCAGTACTATCATGGGCGAGCACACCAGTCAGCTGCAGGGCGTAAGCCCAGAACAAGAGCAAGAGCTGATCGATGCTCAGCTACATGCAGAGCTAGCCTCTTTTCTGTGGGACTCTGGTAGTCCTCATGAAGGCATTCCTGGTTCCACCAACCGAACTGTGATTGCGAATAGTTTTAGAAACCGTGACGCTTCTACTCGACCTCGAGCCGAATCTCAACAGAGAACTACGACAGCCCGCTTCGCACGACCTAGGAGCTCGTCTCTGTTCACCTTCCCAAGACCTACTATCCCCAGCCCAGCAACAGATTGGGAGGAATCAAACAGCAGAGATGTATCACCAGCAGCAACTGAACGATCTGCCCTCGATACCTTCACTACAGAACTTCTTGCCAAAGCTGAAGAGTGCTCCACAGTTGGATCTTTTGGTCGCAGATCAACCACTACACAATTACCGTCAGAAGCTCAAGTATCCCGAGAAGAAGAATATAGTGCAAGGGAGAAGTCGCCAGAGAATGTTTTGGATGAAGACCTTGTTGTTATTGATCTTTGTTCAGACAACGATGATGATAGTGTGGAACTTGAGATTGTGGGATCACGTACGATCGAGAAGTAAGGTTAGGAGTGGTGTGCGCAATTGACGGGAGAAGAAGAAGAAGAAGAAGAAGAAGAAGAAGAAGAAGAAGAAGAAGAAGAAGAAGAAGAAGTGTGTGATGGCATCGAGAAAGCATCAAGAACGTGAAAGGCAAATTTTCCATAGACCAAAGAAGGAAAAGAAGCGGGAAGAGCCAGAGACTGGTGGGTGCAGATTCGATTGTGCAGATTCCAGGGACACCGTCGAACATCCGGAAAGCTAGATCGGAAGTAACTGGTGCTTTGAGAGCGGTCACCAAAATAAGGAAATTGGCTTCAAGAGTTGTTCTAGTGAGTGATCGAGCTACCTCTTGTGAAGACGTTATGGAGCAGACGTCATGCCATTCGATTTTCTACTTGAAGCACATCTTCGTAAGGAGAACAATTCGCCATGGCACTTCCTTGTCACCACCAATCGTCACTCCTTACCCCTCAACTACCCAAGCTCAAAATTTGCTAAACTGCTTCACGGCTTTGCCTGTCTTTGGCAGCACCTTGATAACGTTGAATCGTACCTATAGCAGGAGCAAAATTAGCCATGTTGTCATGCTTGCAAACGCAATCTGGTCCCCTCTAGCAAGTTATAACAAGACCCTGCCCGCGAATATCTGAACATCTATCGAGACTCACCGTCTTGCTCAGCGGTCTACACTGTCCAACGGTAACTGTATCTCCATCCTCCACACGGAATGCTGGGCTGACGTGCGCAGCAAGGTTTGAATGTCTCTTCTCGTATCGAGCGTATTTAGGGATAAAGTGGAGATATTCTCGACGGATGATGAGGGTTCGATGCATTTTTGTAGATACGACTTTGCCGGTAAGGATTCGTCCTCGGATCGAGACCATGCCGGTGAAGGGACACTTCTTGTCTAGACAGTACAATAATTAGTAAATTGCTTCCTTTCCAAATTTCCTGCCTGACACCGTTGCAGTTTCATTCGGCAAAACCACGATATGGTGCCCCTCAATTTCTGGACACCCCAAAGGCCTCATACCAATATATGAACCAGTGATTGCCTCCTTTGGCGTCTTGAAGCCGAGACCGATATCCTTGTACCATCTTCGTCCACCCTTTCCAATCTTCTTGCTCTTCGCGGCTTTCGATTTGCTGTTGAGGAAGATGTGAGGTTGCTTCTGGAAGGCTCGTTCCGACTGAACTGTCAATTCGGTCGCCATGTTTGCGACTGAACGGACAAATTGTGGTTCCAATTTCAAGGTAGCTGTTGAATTCGTCGGTGTCGGAATGCTAAAAGTTTTGGTGGTTGGGCAAATGTGTGCATATATTGGAAAGCTCGCTAGGTTCGACGTGGTTAGCCTCATTTCGTTAGGGCTTCGAGGTTTGTTTACAGTCTTGGCGTGACGCGAACTTGGGATAACCAATACTCGATACCCTATCGCCTGCACCATTCAACGGTCACGGAACCGCAGCAATGATGATACATTCATCGTGACTAGCGTATATAGGTTTGCGACACCCGGTCTGCTTTACCAAGCAGAGATAGGAGGCAAGTGTTAAGGCACAACATGGATCCATCAGCTTCAAGGCCTCCTCGCCCAAAGTCGCGACAATCCATTGCCCATCTCAGCCCCTCAAAAGACCATGAATATGACAAAGAGAACGCGACCGCTGACCTGGGCTCTATACGGAAACGCAAACTTGCTGATTCAAACGCCGACAGAAAGAAGTCGCGCAGCAAGAGCCTTGGACCTGGTGGGTTGGAAGCATTGAAAGAAAGTGCAGGCAATACAACAAAGGTGAAGGGTTCAATGCTGGAGTGCCTTCCCAAAGCTAACGAGGCTTCAGGCATCCCCAGCGCCACAGATCAAGTCGATCCTAAAGCCTCCAGTGCCTTTGACGCCTCCCAAAGCTATTCCACCTTTTGACGAACATCGCAAACGCAGCGTAGGCCGCAGCGCAAGGAAATCACCAAAACCAAATGGCGCCGAGCAGCTGTTAATCGACTTCTCTACCCCTGTATCTAGCAGAGCAGTCACCACAATCACTGGAGCAGAAAATGTTCAGGATCCCTTTAGCCCTATCAAGATTGTACCTACTCCAGATGGTGCTCGAACACCGATGGACCCAGGAGAAGAGCCGGAAGCAGCCAACAGAGAGAAACAGGCAGAGGAATTGAGAAAGGCGCAAAAGCAGGCGATTCTTGACCAGAGAGCTGCTCGAAGAAAGAGTATGGCAAATCGCCGTGTGTCGTTTGCGCCAGAAGCTACGTTACATACCTGGAATGTGATTGAGATGGTGGAGGACTCAACAACTTCTTCGGCATCCAATTCTACAAGAAGGCGGTCAACCATGACCGCTGCACAGACACCTAACAAGAGTGAGCAAATTCTCGCACCGGAATCCGACCAGAATGAACCACCATCAACGCCGCCGGAACAAGTAAAACAACCTCTTGTAAAGGCTTCTCCAGCAAACCAACGTGATATGCATCAAAAACACAATCGCCGCCGTAGCTCAGGCATGTCTGATACGCCTTCGGAGGCAGGGAATGAGAACCTCTCGTCTCCTGCTAGTACTTATAGTGGAAGCTCAGCGGTTGGAGACAGTAGCCCTGTCCATATTGAAGACAGTATTCATTCATCATCGGACGAAGACGGAGACGCTGCAATGAGCATGGACGATGCGACTCAGGAAACTGTGCGGTCGGTCCTGTCAAGCTCAAGCACAGCCTCGAGTCTTGACGATAGGCTTCGGCGAGCGGCAGCGGAAGCTGGCACGCGAGGTATCGAGTACGACGAAAAGGGTGACGACCTCTCTATGGAGCTTGCTGAAGGGACGATCACGAGTGCTTTCCAGCCTTGGGTCCATGGTGTCCCGCAGATACAAGCAGAAGCTGGCCCTGTGGATGTTGAGAACCCAGAAAGCAGTGAAGAACTATCCATGGAGCTTGCGGATGGCACAATAACTGCTGCCTTCCAACCGTGGGTCAATGGTGTTGCCCCTATAGCAACTAGAGCAGGCAGTCAAACCATTGAGGACGATGAAAACCATGACGACCTTTCAATGGAGATCGCTGAAGGGACAGTTACCACTGCATTCCAACCATGGGCTCATGGTGCTCCAAAAGTACAGGTAAACGTTGACACTCGAAGCATCAAAGATGACGGAAGCAGTGGTGATGTTGCTATGGAGCTTGCTGATAGTACCATAACCACGGCCTTCCAACCTTGGGCTAAGTCTAACCCAAAAGCACCAGTACTAGATCATAGTGCTTTGCAGGATCAAGAAAACATCAATCCGTTCTCTCCTGCTTTCAAGAAGCAAGTTGATACGAACAGAGTAGACAGCAGTATGGAGCCCGTCAGTATTGCAGTTCTACATGACAACCAGGAGCAGGAGATTGAGAAGGCTTTAGCTGTTGTTGAAGCCACCAACATTTCGGTCCTACCTCATGACCGGGAACAGGGAGGTGGAAGAAGGTCGTCTAATGAGCAGCCGGATTTTAGCTCAGTTCCACGCCCATATCAGGAAGATGACAAAGTGAACATGGCACTTGCTGTTGAGCAGAAAGCTGTGTCTGTTCTATGGGACGACCAGAAGCCGCAGATTGTGAATACTCCTCCTATAGTCGAACCCGTCACCGCCCCAACTCCAAGCGATATCCAGGAACAGCAAATCAAGGAAATGTCTGTGGTTATCGATTCGAATGATGTTTCGGTTCTAAAAGATAAGCAAGAACAGGAAGTTGAAAGGATTTCTCTTCAGGAGTTTCTCAGCATGGCCAATATTCACTTCATGGAGCTCTCCACTACTAAACGTCGTCACACCCTGGCTCCTGGAAAACCTTCTCAGCTTCCGCTGGATGGCTCATCCACCTCTTCTGGGGCATGCTTTGCTGCAGCAGCAACAACTCTTCCACTTCTGGAACTGTATCAGCATGCCACTCGTGAACTGAAATCCTATATATCGACTGGCCGCAAAGTTATCGGAGCAATCGAGCGCGATACAATGGAAGAACAGCCAGCGTTGTTTCGTGAGTACGTTGATGCTCGAGCGGATGTGAAAACCGTTATGGAAAATCAATTCCGCAATGGCAAAGCTAATGCTCGGCTTCAGAGCAAAGAAAGCTGGTACGCATGGAGACGGCAGCTTGTAGAGGGTCTTCGTGGCGGATTATATGACATCAAAAGTGGTATGGAGGAAGACGCACAATTGCTGACACAGCAAGAAGCAATATTAGATCGAATTGTTCCTGCATTGGTCAAGCATTTTGCCGAGCTCGAGCAGGAGGCGGGAATGCTTCAACAACGAGCAGTGGATTTTGAAAGCATTGACCATGAATCACTCAACAACGCCCGCAGTCAGCTGGAATCCGCTGACCTTGAAGTCGCTCACAAGATGGACCTCCTCAGCCAGCTCCAGCAGCAGATGGCCGACAAAGCAGAAGCTCTCACAGCGGCTGATGAGCTAAAAAGCGAATTTCAGAGTCAGATAGCCGAAGCTGAAAGGGTTCAAGATGAATGCCGTGGCTGGAAGGCCGAAGATGTAAGAAAGTTGAAAGAGCAAGTCAAGAGGATAGAGCAGGGGACTGGCTGGATGTTGGTCACCGCAGAGCATGAGGTCGAAGAGGGCGGCGTTGATTTTGGCCCAGCTCTTACTTTACGGTACCGCAATGCATTACGACTGTTCTTCTACCCGGGGGTGTTTCAGCGAAGCTTGTCAGAGCGGAATGGACGACGAAGATCGAGGAGATCCAAATCAGATTCAGGGCCTTCAGCTCCTATCAGTCTAACCTATGCGCCGGTCGAAGTGAACACGATGACTCCAACAGATCTCACCACGCCACAGCGTTTCTTCCTGCAATTCCTTCAAGGGCAATTGCATGGGCTTGCAGTCTTGCCTAAGGGCTCAGTTTCGTCGAAAACGTTGCTGAGTCTTGTCAGTACGGGGTGGGATCTTGCAATCAAAGTGTCTGAAGAGATTCGTTTGCTCGAGAACGCAGGCATTACCAATGTTGCCATCCTAAGCGATGAGAAGCTTGGAGCCAAATGCATGCTCATGCTACCAGATCGATGTCGGATTGATGTGCAGTTTACGCTTACTGCCAACACAACAACTGATAGCACTTTATCTTCCAGCATCGTGGTAGAAGCCACGTCGAGGTATGGCCCAGTTGCTGGTTTATTGTCAGGTGGCAAAACATCCAAAGTCCGGGAGGCTCTCAACAAGCAGGCCAGGTCGAAGGAAGTTGGTGATGGGGCGTGGGTTGCTGCTGTTCGAGGACTAGAGGAATGGGTTAATCTGCAGAAAAAGGAGACGAACGGAGGGCCTCAGCATGAAAAAAAGGCCGCGTGCAAGCCCACGCCCAAGTCCGAGCCTGCATCAATTCCAGCCTCGACTGCACCGCAAATGGACGCTGCTCCAGCTGCAGCGCTGGGATCGAAGAAGGAGCTCAAGAGACCGGTGCCGATTGAGGAGGTGATGGAGGAGGCGGCAGCGAGGCAAGATGAGGTTCGCAGGCAAGAGGCAGAAGATGTGCTTAGACAGCAGGAAGAGATGCGCAGGCAAGAGGAGGAAGAGATGCTGTTGATGTCTGCCAGCAAGACACCGCCCCGGCCAGGGAGACGACCGGGTGCGTTGAGGAGATCGCCTTGAGTGAGAGGTTGTCTTTTCTATTGAATCTATGTGGTTGCATATGTGTAATTGGTATACGGAGTGCTCCTTGAGGTTTACAACCTCACGAAGATCCTGCCTAAGTCATGAAGCTAATGGATAGCGTTTATGAGTGATAAAGTGAATACGCCCAGCCTATCTACAGTCTCTGGTCTGTTCAACTGTCTGTCTTTCTCAGTTGTGGATTTCATTACTGGACGTTAAGCATTGCCTCCATATGGCTGTCCTGCACCACGGCAAAATGATGCTCTCCCAGACACCTCCACGGTCCGCGGCATGCAATACATGGAAGGGTCTAACTAGAGTTTCGACCAAGCCACCAGCTTTCATGCACGTAACCGCCATAGCCATGACTCTGTGGCTAAGATACCAAGTCTTTGCCTTAGGTGAGGTGAAGATGGCCATAACTACGTACTATTCTCCCATTGCCATGCATGACGTAGCGTGGCTGGTATGATGTCAGGGGGGGTACTGAGTGTTGCTTGGGGCGACCATTCCACCATTTGATTGGAAGGCGCGTAACTCTTGCATCCTTCTTCCCACTGGATAAGGCTACGAAAGCAGTTGGTGAGTTCTTCCTCTGCAGAAATCCGCGACCGGGAGCATCGAAGATGGCCATCCAAGGAAAAAGCAACACGTCTTGGCATGGAAGGTGTTATTCATGGTGACTGGGAGGCCCCTCGCCCCTCGTAGGGATTCGGCATCACTGGCAGCAACGACGTCACTCTCTAGTTTCACTTTACGCGCCCAGCCCCCATAACCTGCTATCATTCCTGCTCTAACCCCAGCTTTTATCCACACAATCCACTGATTAACTGATTAAGCTGCACTTCGCAGTATCATTTCACTACTACGTATCTCACAGCATTTTCAACAGTCAACAGCATCTAGCGCCGCAACCTCTCAACTACCTTGCTATCCTGCGCCGAAGCAGCAGCGGCACCCCGCGCAACCCACCTTGCCATCCATACCACAACTAATCGTCACCGTACACTTCGAGAGGTAGCGACCTCCATACTTCAAAATGCATCGAACATATTCTATGCGCCAGTCGCGCGCTCCTACAGCATCACAGATCGAGAATCCACCTCCACCAAGCTCCTCTACCAAAGCGGGACGACTATTCGGAAGAAGCCCTGTTGGTGAGTGTCATCACATTTTCGAATACTTATCGAATACTTTGCAAAGAACGCTTCCCCAGCAACCCAAATAAAATCTGCCTTGCGACTGGATCACAAAGAATTTTCAGGGTTACAGGCTCAATGCTCTGCTATAAATCGATCATTCATGAATGACCAAAGATGCTCCCGCTGACACCTTCTTTGCCCAGGCCATGTTTTCCGCAGACAAGCTGCTGGCGCTTTCGGCCCTGATCTTGCGAAGAAGCTCTCTCAGCTTGTCAAAATGGAAAAGAATGTCATGCGCAGCATGGAACTCGTCGGACGTGAAAGAATGGAAGTAGCTGTAAGCATGCCTCACTCCCACAACACGTCCATACCTCCCTGCCCTAACATCCCCCTACAGCAACAACTCTCCATCTGGGGCGAAGCTTGTGACGATGACGTCAGCGACGTAACCGACAAACTCGGCGTCCTGATCTACGAAATTGGCGAGCTAGAAGACCAATTCGTCGACCGCTACGACCAATACCGCGTCACCATCAAATCGATCCGCAACATCGAAGCCTCGGTGCAGCCCTCGCGCGACCGCAAACAGAAAATCACCGATCAAATCGCCCAGCTCAAGTACAAAGAACCCAACAGCCCCCGCATCGTGGTGCTGGAACAAGAACTCGTGCGCGCCGAAGCCGAATCCCTCGTCGCCGAAGCCCAATTGAGCAACATCACACGCGAGAAGCTGAAGGCGGCATTCACGTACCAATTCGACGCGATGCGCGAGCACTGCGAAAAGCTAGCCATCATCGCAGGTTATGGAAAGCACCTCCTCGAACTCGTTGACGACACCCCCGTCACCCCTGGCGAGACCCGCAACGCCTACGACGGCTACGAAGCCTCCAAAGCCATCATCCAAGACTGCGAGGACGCCCTCACCAACTGGGTCAGCTCCCACGCCAGCGTCAGCTCGAAACTCTCGACCCGTGCCCGCACCCTTTCTCAGAGGAGGAAGGCCAACGCAGCGAAACACCGTGAGGGACAGGGCGTCGATCTCGCGAACCAGGATCAGCCAATGAAGAGTGATCGCGACTCCTGGGTTCCGGCGGGTGAGCATCGTGGTGCCCATGAGGGTCAGGAGGAGGAGGAGTATGAAGACGAAGAGGAAGAGGAGGCGGAGGAGGCCAACGTCAATGGCGAGGGGAGGGGGAGGGAGAGGGAGGGCGAGAGAAGCGCACATGACGCCGTCACTGCGTGAGAATGCAAGAGCGCTCTGAGTTGACAGCGGACGGGAGACATGGGAGGGACAAGAGGAGACGCAAAGGCGCCAGCCACACTTTGGAGAGTCAGGGGTAAGTAGGCTGGAGTCATTTCTGACATGGCGTCTTTGCGCACCGAAGCTGCTCTACGTATTTACGTTCTCCGTCCGGTCCCGTCCCGTCTGGTTGGTCGGATCCATTTCGATGTCTTGATACGTCACGATGAGTATGGACGTGGTGAATTATCGAAGCTACTTCATAGCAGTATAGTAATTAATGAATGACTGATTGGTTCTTGGACAAGACAGACAGGCACACACACCAACCGACTGACCGATCGACCAGTTCTCTTTTTTCTCCCCAACTAACTTCGTTTCAAAAAACCTTGCAAGGCGCCCCCTGTTTTGACCTCGATGACACACATACCTGCCTAGTACAAGCGACAGAGACGGCACGTATTTCTGTTTAGAAGGCCTTCTGTCTGTCTATGAGTTTGCTTTTTCGCACTCCCAACGGCTTTGGAGGAGGAGAAGAAGGAGAAGGAGAAGAAGAATAAAGGTATGGTATTCAGTGCTCTCCTCTCCTCTTCTCTCCTCCCTTCACTTGAAATGCACGCCCTTCTTCCACCCAACCGGTCTTCCCCTCTTCCTACCCCTACCACTACCCCTGCCCGGCGCGATCACCGAGTCACTGTCCTTACCACCTGACGACTTTTTGGCCCCCCTACCGCTCCTTGGGCCTGATGAGCCGGTCGACCCGATGACGGGCCTTGCCGCAGCAGCACCAGAGGGACCATGCTCCACCACCTCGGTACCCATGCCACCGCCAGCCTCACTCATGCCGCGCTTCCGTTCCTTGGCCCTCCTCCGGTTCTCTAGCGATACCGCTCTCGCTGCCGCGGTCTGGAGGCTTCTTTTGTTGCTGGAACTGCTCTGCCGCGAGGAGAGGAGGGATTGGGAGGCTGAGGCTGAGGCGGAAGCTGAAGCTGAGGCCGAGGTTGAGGTTGAGGCACGCGGCCGGCGGGCAGTTGGGTTGACCGTCAAATCTTCATCGAAGATGTCTGCTTCCACGTCCGAGGCGATGGAGTTGTCATCGTCCTCGTCCTCGTCATCATCCGAGGCATCGTCTTCCGAATCGTCTTCTTCATATTCTTCATCGTCGGTGTCTGATTCAGCAATTTCGGTGCGTGCGCCGATGCTGGACCCTGATGGGCCGGGTGCACTTTCTTCTTCTTCTCTTGAGTCCTTAGATTCAGCTCCGGGTAGATCGAATGCGGTTTCATCGACAACGGGGCTGGAATTGCGTTTTCGTTTCTTGGAACGATGCAGTGGGTGGGAAAGTGGTTGGGAGGATGACGCCTCGGGCTCGTCGTCATCAGCAATGTCATCGAGGAAGTGAGCGTGTCTCTCCTTGCCGCCAGGCCTCTGCAGCACTTTCTTGATCCGCCTGCTTACCCCCTTCCTGGCCGTTTGCTTGGTAGCAACTACCGCAGCCTTGACACCCTTTCCCTTGTTACGCTCGGCCTTGGATGCTTCATTACCATCGAGCACATTGTCATTGCTCAAGGCTCTTCGGGCCTGAAGATCTTCTTTCTCCCAGAAGTGCTTTGTGACAGATTCTGGATATCCATATCTGAAGAACATCTCTTCTCCCGCCGAAAGATTTCTCTTGGCAAAGAGACCAATCCGCTGAACTCCGTTGCAAAGCATCGGCTGGGGATAGATGTTGATGGTGCTGGGGCGTTCGCTGTTATTGATGAAGCGCATTTTGTTTCCTGCCCTGCTTGAATCGATCTCTTGCTCTTTGTTGAGTCGGAACAGGTACTCGATTCCACGATAGTGGTACACCAGACCGCGCCGGTTGGATTCCTCTTCGCTGATCACCTCGCCCTTGTACTCTCCAATAAATTCATTCGCGCGTATGTCTGTACCGGCAAAAAGGCCCCAGCCATGAACCTCACTTGGGCCTTTCAGGGTACGTTTGGGAACGTTACGCTGGATCATAGCATTCTTACACCGTCCCTTGAGAATGCTGTCATCGTGTCGGTTGACTGGATCAAGGACTTCAAGCACGCCGCATTTTCCACAGAGCCACGGATCACACTCCCGATTCAGGATCCAGCAATCACAGTTCGAATCCTTGAAGCAGACCTTGGCGCCTCGAGCGACACATCTGCAGCCTTGAAAGCGGCGAGAACACGCTCGGTCACATCCACAGATCCATTCGCAAGCAATCTTACCAGTCCAGCAAGTGCAGTCAGGGTTTTTGTGGCATGGGCCGACATGTGAGCAAGGCACGAATGGTCGGCGTTTATGGTGGTCATAGGTCTGCGAAGACTCAAACCAGTAGTTCTTATCCTTGTAGCCATTTGTCAGAGGCGGTTGTGGATTTTCCGTCCCACTGATGGGGACTGGGTGCGGCGTGCTATGAAGGTCGAATAGAATTTCCCGGAAAATCACACTGCAGGGCCGTGCAACAGTGATAGCCATGATGCAAGGACCTCTCCTGATTCTAGTACATGCCGCGAGCATGGCTCTGTAAAGTTTGATGTCCTTTTCGGTCCAGTCAGCGAATCTTTCGTCGCGGTTAGAGCGGACCAGGTCATTGATAGAACGCCCTGAGCGATTAGAAAGATCCCAAAAGCAAGATTCAGAACAAGTGTCTTCATCTGCGAAGCCTGGATCCCCTATTTCTTTGATCTTCGTGTTATATGTGCCCTTTACCTCACCATTCTGGTGAAGGCCGAGTATGTCCTCGTCCTGAATCCGAGGATCGACGCAGAAGAAGCCGCACATATGCTGTTGCCCATCCGGGCGGGGTCTTTCTGGTAATGCTACAGTTTGTCTGATGTTTTGCTTGGTTTCAACCTCCTCGGAAGAATCGCTACTCGAGTCCTGATCAGTCTTTGGTGAACCTCGACCACCCTCACTACTGCTTCTGCTGGGTAGATCGTCCTCCAGATAGGCACCATGAGTAGGACAGTCGAACACATGGCATAGCATGCAGAGAGACTGTGATTTTGGTCGTCTGGGCTCTCTTTCTGCCCACCACCTCCGTTCCGTTTCCTTCATTAAACTTAAAACATCAGCGTCAGTTGATACAATGTGCCATATGCTGAACTGGGCAAATTTACTGAACACTGAACACACCAGCCCAGCGAGGGCAAGTGTTTTCTCGTCCGGCTTGTGCGTTTCCAAGGTCTCGGATAAACGATCCCAATGGTCACCTTCAAACTTGGTCTCGCAGGCGCTGCAGCACATTTCTCTGTCCTGCCATTGTGATAGTGCTTCCTCCGAGATCTGACATTCAGGCCTCCATTCAGCATCTTCATCATGTAACAGGTAGAACATGACATCAACACAAGTACAGCCAACTTCCTCTAAAAAGTACTGGGCGTGTTCTTTCCAAAAGTCGGCTTGCTCAGCACATTTTCTCTCCTGTGGCAGAAACTTGATCCGGTTGTCAAAGCCTTCAAGAAGTTCCTCACGCCGTTTATGGTCTGCTGCATCTGCCCCGTCTTTTTCTTCTTCTGAAGGGAAGTAGGGTAGATATCTTAGATCCTTGTCATTTGGTGCAAGAATATTCAAACCCAGACGAACAATACTGTTGTACTTGGGTAGTCTCTGAGTATCTGATTGAAACGCTATAGCTTGCGACTCATTCAGAGGCGCCTTGTTGCGTGCATTGACAACTTTCGATTCCATCTTTACCCGACGAAGTGGATTGAACGACGAAGATTGTTTAGTTGGAACGGTGTTTGCTGCTGCGAAGGGGTCTGGCAAGCTCTTGTCTATTTTTGGACCTGAAAACTCCATGGCATCCTTTCGTGCACGAGTCAAGTATCCTGCCACGAGATATTCCTGACCAACTCGCATCTCCTCCACGAGTGGCCTGAAGATTGCTTCCAGGAGCTTCATATCCGGTGTAACATCTCCGCGCTCGTTTGAGCCATCCTCTCCGCAGGCAAGTGATTCTGGATTGCTCGTAGACTGTTGAAATTCCTCCACTACGACTTCCCTAAGTAATTCCTTTGTGGCTAGCATTCGGCCAGGTGAGGGCGAGTTCTGCAGTTCTGGGCTTCCCATGAAACTGTCTGTGGCTGGGAGTCTCTCTGAGTGTGGTGCAGAATTCGCAGTATCTCTGTCAATTTCCGAGCGGCTTTCAGATGCCTGCTCTACATCGTCCATTTCAGTAAAGCGCTCTCCTAACTCCGGACTGCCTAGATGAGAGAGTGGTTTTAATGGTGAATGTGGTGAAGTGTACTCTGGCTGACTTCCATGTGGATATTCGTGGTGGAATTCTTCTGCAGGCGCTGCCATATGGGGGCCTGGACTTTCTTGTGATTCTTTGTTGTACATAGCAGAGGCTTGATTGATGCTGCGCAGCAACTTTGCATTTGCATCATCGCTATCGCTTTCATTCAAATGCGTCTGCTGTGTATCTGTTGAAAGACTTCTTGGTGTCCTTCTTTGACCCAAGCCTCTCTTATCATGGTTGATACCGATGACAAACTTACCCGTCCGTGGACTTCGCCCAGGTTTAAATCCATTGCTGCTGTAAACTGACGATATCAGACCCTGCTGCCGCGAGCTCGGTTCCTTTGGGGGATTCAACTTCAAGCGTTGGGCAGTAGGAATTGGCGATTGTTGGCCTACTCTATATCCTTCATGGTAGCGTTTGGGGTTTTCGATAAATTCTTTGGCAGAATCAACGTACCTTCTTCTCGGTGTCGAATTTCGTGATACTCCTTCACTCCGGGTCTTCTCTTGGGCTGAGCCTGAGCGATGCAAATCTGTCGTCCTGGAAGAAAACCCCGTTCCCTGACGAGATTCTGGAGGTCCATTTTCGTGCGAACGCCATGGATCAGTTCTTCGGGGTCGAGGAGGCATATCTAAAGAATCTTCAGATCTGCTTACACTCCCACTGCCTGGCATAGCAGGGCTTAGTCCGTTGTCAACATCCCCGTTCGTAGTTTCGCCTGCTTGAGTTCGAGTTTCGCCTGCTTGTGTTCGAGTTCCGCCTTTACCAGGAAGACATTCCATCCTGCTTGAAGAATCAGGAAATTTAATTGAAGCCCTCGAATTTGTTTCCGCGAATAGATTAGACGCGACTTTGGAGGTATTCAACGACTCTACGTTTGGCTGCAAAGACTGACGTTCTGTATGTGCTGACTGTGTTACCCGGCAAGGGTACAAGTTCATGCTTCGCTCTAGGTGGATGTCATCCTTGGTCAAATCGATGACTTCTACTGGATTTGAAGATGCTTGTCCCGACTTTTGGTGTCCAGCGGCAGACTGTCTTGTTGGAAATGTAGCGCTGGACCGCAGAGACCCAGTTACAAAGTTTGAAGGGGAAGATACAGAACCGACTACCTGCTTTTCTCGAAGAGACAGGCTCGACGGTCTTGACGAGGTGCTGAAATTATCATATGATGGGTTTTGAAAGGCCCCTCCGCCCGCAGAAGGTCCGGATTGAGGCCATCGCCCATCTTGAGGCTGGAATGAAGCCATCGAAGGAGTCCCATACTGATGATGTGATGCTGCGGGCCGCGAGGTGCCCTGCTAATATCAGTGATAGGTACGATTTCCTACGCGCAGGGTTTGAAAGACACACTTTGCACTCATCTTCATCATCGCTTATGGTGATAGGGGTCGACATCGTTTTGTCAGTAGAAAAAGACTCTAATCAAATGATCAGGCGTGAATTGGGATCGCATAACTCTGAGATATGAGGTGGCTGAACCAATATCAAAACACTTGACACGGTAGACTTCTTCCCATTCTCATCCCATGTGCTCCATTTGAGCTCAAAAACATCACTTGAATAAGAAAATCGGGTACGAAAATCTTGAATGAACTCACCTTTGTGCGAAGGAGGAATTAAGGATAAGCAGGAAGTGTTCTCAGATGGGTGGTCTTGTAGATAAAAGTCGATCCTCGCGTCGTCTCCCGGCTCCAAGATCGCAACAGTGACAAACAGCAGTCACTAGGCTCGGCAGGTAAGCTTTTGCATGTTAGACGCCATAGAACATCAATTTAATGCCATATAGTGATGTGTGAGGTCAGTGTCACCTTTCTAGACTGGACGAATCAATTCCCCGATATTTAAATCGGTGCTGACATTGTTGCCCTGTTGTAGAGAACATGGGCGTGTCTTCCAATCACGGCACTAGCATACGTTTCCCAGCCACATCAAGACCTCCTCTTGTCAGGTCAGGGATCCACCATCAAGGTTGAATCCGTCACGCGAAAAGATCTCTTAGCACGAGAGCAGGTATTCGACTTCCAGAGCATTCATGGCATCACGGCTCACGATGATGGGGAGAGTCAAAGCAAGATCACGTCCGTTTTTCTTCTGATATGGGGAGGACGCCGCCTGGCTCTCGGCAGGATTGATCTCACATCCACTGGGTTAGAGGAACGATTTGACAGTCCGCCATTAAAAATTGGGCACGAAGTCGAAGCCGCTGACTGGATCCTAGATGCCAGTTTTGCTAATTTTACAACAACCTCGCCATTTATCGCGTACTTGGTCACTGCGCATAACGATGTCTGTGCCTTGACTTTGGATTCTCCGTCTGATCTTAGTGTCAAGGTCTGTCAAGTGGCAAGTGGCCTCAGTTCCATATTATACTCTGCTCACATCAAGCCAACCTCCAGCACTACCATCCTCGTGGCTGCTGGTACAGTCTTTGGTCAAGTCATTGTCTGGTCATGCTACCACCCCTTTGTTGGCATATCTGTGGCTGAGACGGGATGGCAAAGCCATACTTCTAACATATTCCACGGTCATGATGGCTCCATTTTTGGTGTGTCTCTTTCCAACGGTGTGGATGTGTTAGGGGATTGCTACCCTAGAAGATTTCTCGCAAGCTGTAGCGACGACAGAACCATTCGTATCTGGGATGTAGGTAATTGCGATTGTGCCGCTGAATCTAGTCCGGATGCACAAGGCCAGAAGCACAAGGATATACTACAGATAGGGTTGGGAAGCACTGAAAATGCTAGCCTTGCTACTACTTGGGGCCACGCATCAAGAATCTGGGGGTTGGAATTCATCCCTATGAATAATTCATCTTCAGTCAGCAAATTGCGACTCATCTCAAGAGGCGAGGACGCAACATGTCAAGTGTGGGACATATCCCATGAGGCGCATACTGCTCTTGCTGAGAGGGCCGACCTTCGAGGACAGCCATTCCGACTCAGCCACACCAGCACTGATCATTATCATTCTGGAAAGCACATCTGGTCTCATACACACCACTTTAGGGATGTTCGCTCAGCCATCTTCACGGGTGGAGGCGATGGAAGAATCATAGCCCGTATGATCCCCACCCTAGGAGCGAGTTCTCCATATTTCAGCATAACGACTCCATTCTGCAGTCTCTTCGAGACCATCGAGCCCAAAAACGGCGGAAGTAATTCTCACGGGATTCATGATTCAGTCAAGCAATACGTCTTCGCCTCAGACACTGTCATTCTCGCCACAACAAACGGTGACCATGTGATGAGAGGTGTTATAGAAGTAGGTGAGCACAGCTTCGATCAATATCTGAGTATTAGTTGGACATGTCTTTGCAATGCTACAGAATTCGGAACAGTTGACCTGATGACCGGCGACGCGCTGGGGAATGTTGTCTACCTTGGTGGCGCGACCGGTAAGATCTGGATATACCAGCATGGATTGCATTCAATCCAGTTCTTGACTACCACTGATTGGAAAATCTCAAATATCTTTGCGGGTGTATGCACAATTGGTGATGATGGCATTGTTGTTCGGCATCTCTTTGTTTGCTCGACGATCCCAATGTGTGCGAAAGTGTTGCAAATCACCCAATCAAGTGGTGGACTCGTAAGTATAGGAGTTTCTCGAACTGTCGATATCAGCCTACCTCCAACATTTCAGCCAACAGCCTTTCTGGACGGATCAGCTGGCAGCATTCTTGTGCTGGGTTCTCGTTCGGGAGCGTTCGCCGTCTACCATGATGTCTTCCGTGCAAGTGGAACGGGCGAGCAGATTGCTCCGAATGTCTGTATCCGCCATGTTCATGGCTCGGACAGCGTAACTTCTCTACAATACCTTCCGGCCATAACCCCTAGCAAACACAAAAATTCACAATTTGACGTCCTGTCCACGGGCAGAGACGGAGCCTATGCCATTCATAGAGTCACATTAGAGAATACTGGTGAGTGCACCACACATATTAATCTTACCACCCTTCACAGATCTTGTCCGCCATTTGGTCCAAATATCGAAGGAGCCAGTATCATGGCAAGCTCAGGTGGCACGGAGCTATCCCTTCACGGTTTCTCTGGGAAGAATTTTGTGGTTTGGAATGAATCAACAGATAGCGAGATGATGAGCATTCCATGCGGAGGGGCACATCGAAGATGGGCATACCACATGAGCGGAACTAGTGAGCAGCTGAGGACTACAAGTCAAAGCAGGTGCTTCGCGTGGACGAAAGCCGGAGTGTTCAATTTGGTCAAAGCCAGCTCGCCTGCTCATGAGGTTTTTCAACCCGGTGGCCATGGCCGGGAAATCAAGGCGATGGCTTTGTGTAAGAGGCGTCTGAACGAAGGTTGGTCTGGGGCTTCTACCGGGCGCCTGATCGCAACTGGAGCAGAGGATACCGCAATTCGTCTTTGGTCAATTACAAATACTGGGAAGCATGGTCACACTGGGGTTCAAGGCACAGATTCTCGAGACGCCATTTCTTGCACCCAGATCTTGAAGAAGCATACCACTGGCATTCAGCATCTGTCCTTCTGCAAAGACTTTCTGTTTAGCAGTGCCGGTTGTGAAGAGCTCTACATCTGGAAGATCAATTTTGGTGTTAGCCTAGTAGGCATTGGGACCGTCTTTCAAGCTGCACTCCCAAAGCATGCACCAGCTTCGGACCTCAGAATAACCAACTTTGAGGTCGTTTTCGTTTCTGGACGCTATAAAGATGACTCGAGCTGCGGCATTGGCTACTTTCTCATTCATGTAGCATACTCCAACTCCATGATCAGGGTCTTCAAGTACACTAACGACCAGACCTCGTCCCCCGAAAACCGCTTTCAGCTGCTTGGCCAAGGCTTCTACAATACGACCTGTCTCACTAGTATATCTGGACTTATAGGATGCTTACCCTGGTTCTTAGCAGCAAGTACGAATGGGGCAGTCACCATCTGGCCAGATCTTGACCATCGCAGGAAGACCCAGGATAGCCCTTCCCTTCTATCTCGGACAACAGAGCACTTTATTCACCAGAATGCAATCCTTGCGCTTCACACTGTCAGCGTTGCACCGAATCACCACCTATTGCTCACAGGTGGCGATGACAATGCTTTTGGAATAACTCTGATCCGTGAAGGCGCTCTTGGATCGGTGTTGCACAGCAACTCGAATGATGACAACAACACATCACCACTGCCAAGATTTCGCACGCTCCTCATCCCAAAGGCTCACGTTGCAGCCATAACCGCTCTCGAGATCCTTGATTCCAGGAGGCAAGCCGGTCTGCTAGTCCTTACGGTGATCAGCACAGGCAACGACCAGCGGGTCAAGATCTGGCGTATCACTGTGGATGTTGACCAGCTCCCCCGTGCTGACCACAGCACAAGCATGGGCGCAGATCTATTCGGACCAGAAGTTCTTGAGGCAATCGATGTTCAGCTGGTCCGGGAGGTGTGGACAGATGTCGCAGATGCGAGCAGCGTGGTCGTCATACCTGACGCAGACGCCACAGTAGATAGAACGGGAAATTTAGACTTGGCGGAAGTTGAGTACAGCAGATGGAGCAAGCGCCTGTTGATTGCCGGGATTGGTATGGAGATGATCAGGATAGATCTTGTAGACGAAGGTGAGGAAGCTTGAGCGGAATAGGGCAGCAGTTTGACCTGTTAGCGATGGGTTTGGGGCAGCAAAGAGGGAAAATGCCCCTGTCCAGCTAAATAGGAAGCTACCTGGAATGTAGAACCTGCCTTCTTTGCTTTTAGTACCTTTTTTTGACGCAATGGGGATAGCACGCTTCGTGAAGAATATCGGGAAGAGCTCGCATTGACACTTCAATAGAAGTCTACAAGTCTCGAAGCAGCTACTGTTGCCTCTACCACAATCTCATCAACAAATGAACACCACCTATCGCTATCCCCTTGGTATCTTGTTCACTCATTCCACAACCCCCCTCCACCCAACTCTCGGCACAAAACCATCCACGCCCTCATCGCTCAGAATCTCCCTGGCCAACCGTCCCGTAACAACACTCCTCTCCACGTCCCTACCCAGCACGTGGAATCGCTCAAATCCATCTCTTGTGTCATCATCTGCTCTCCACCTCCGCACCCATCGTTTGAGACCGGTGGCTTGGTTCAGTTGAGAGACAAAGCCGGAGTTGTGGCGGTCAAGGGTTAGGAACCAGCGGCGCTGGTGGATAGAGGATATGGTATTGGTTGCGCCGCCCGGGTAGGTATTTGTCAGGCGAGTGGTTTCGAGCTCATCTTCATCTTCATCTTTGTTTTCGTTCACGTTTCCGGAGTGTGCGCCAGTTATGTTGCTTACTTTATTGACTGAATTTGGTTTCGATGGATGATTTGTGTGAAGAAAGGCTGGCTTGGTTGGTCGTTTCTTACTAGTACTTGAATGGTCTGAAGGCGATATATGGCCCGCGGTTGTGTGGTGATCTCTCAAGGGTGGGGAAGCAGTGCGGCGGAAAGAGGTCAGTTGATCTTTCTTCACTACGGCGAAAGGGGCACTGGATGAAGCCGATGCATCGCTTTCACTCTCGGAACTTGACGTTTGTTTTGTTTCTCGACGGGCCGGCCCAGGGCTCAATCTTCTCCTCCGCCGCCACCTCGGAGGGCCAGGTTGTTCACTACGGTAGTCGTCTTTGCTCAGACGGAGACTGACCGTGTAGTTATGCGGCAGGCGTGTTCCGTGGAGCCTGATCCTGATCCTACCTTGTTGAAAGGCGTCATGGAGTTTCTGACTTTCGCTAAGACCGTGTTGAGGGTTGATTGGCTCTGAATCATCGGATTCGTCGCTTGAGGATTTTTGCGCCTGTTCTGACTCTCGATAAGGAAGTATGGAGTATTCCCCAGTGTCCCATATCAACATGCTGCCTGTTGAATGCGATGCTGTCTCAATGAGGTGGTTCTATACAGCGTCAAGTCATCTGAAAGCTCCACGTAATGCAAGAAATAAGAACATGGAACGAGACATGCGTTGCTAAACGCAGGCAACGCTTCTTCAAGGACTCAAGCACCTACCCAAAGATTATGGACTCGCGTCTCAGTGGCGTTGCGACTCAGCCTCCTGCTATTGGGATCACCTGGCAAGCCATACATGATGGCAAAGCTGATCGAACTCGTGCCATTGCATTGTAAGCGGAGATCATAATGAGTTCCAGCAACGGGATGATCATGTTGATGTATCACGAAATGTCGACCTTGAGGGTTTAGATTACGCTGGTAAAGTTCACACCAGGCTCCGTGTGAGATACGAGATGTGCCCGGAAGAACTGTTCTTGAAGCTTCGAGCAATTTTGACGAAAACAGTCCGAAATGATCATCTACTGTTAGCTCTCCGGCTTCAACGGCGGAAAGCCTCGGACTGGGCTTGGACGCTTTCCTTGCGATTGTTGGGGGAGAGACTGGTCGCATCAGAGTTGCAGGCGCTGCATTTTCGATATGCTTTTCTTGTCGCTTGATAGCCTGCACCTCCTCGAGTTCTGGAAAGGCAGATCGCTTCATGTTGCAGCTACTGTAACTAGGGGACGTAAATAGCATACATGCCTGGTCAGATGCCAGCCCGAAGGCCCCCAAGCTGAGAGCCGGAGTATCGCCGAGATCTCGTCATGGAGCTTCTGGGTTGACAAATGCTGATCCAATCTGCCTCTGAGCCAACCGTATCAGGGCGGAGAACCTCTTACTAAAAGCTTATAGGTTTCACTACAAGCTTATGAAAAGATGATGAAGCATTACTGAACGAATTCATACATGAAGGGAGAACCCTCTTCCTTCTTCTCAATCTGTCTACTGATCTCTAGGCGTGCTCCTCCAAGTGGATAAATACCTCCTATACATCCCATGCCCCATTTCTCCCCCCTTCAAATCAGCTCATTCCTCATTCTTACTGTTGCTATCGCAATCTCATACAAATATCTGACAGACCGCACATCTACCGAGTCAGAGCCATCTATGTCCACAGCCAAATCTCTCAAAACCGCTATGACTTCCCTCTCCCACGCAAAGATTGTACCCCGCCATTCCAGCGCAAGAGGCCATGCCGACCATGGCTGGCTCAACACCTATCACACATTTTCATTTGCATCCTACTACGATCCAGAATTTCAATCCTTCGGCGCCCTTCGTGTACTAAATGAAGACCGCGTCGCACCCGGTAGCGGATTCCCTACTCATCCTCATCGTGATGCCGAAATCTTCAGCTATATTCTTTCTGGAGAGCTCACCCACCGAGACTCAATGCTACAAAAGGGGAGCGAAGGCACAAATAAAGACACATTTTATAGAATGAAGCGCGACGACGTGCAGTTCACAACAGGCGGCAAGGGTATCGCGCACAGCGAAGGGAACGAGCACTCGAAAGACTGGGTCCACTTCCTGCAAATATGGGTGACTCCCTGGAAGAGAGGGCTGGAGCCAAGATACCACACCAGCACATTCAATGAGGCAGAGAAGCGCAAGGGCTTTGTGTCTATCATTAGCCCGCTCAAAGGTGGGCCCAATGCCACCGCGGACGAGGAGAAGGCAGCAGAACCTGTGATAGCCGGCACTATACCTATACACGCCGACTTACTGTTCAGTGCCGGCATAATACCCAAGGGCGAGGTGTTCCAGTACAGGATCGGTGGTGCAGATGCAGTCCAGAATAAAATAGATCGAAAGACGTACGTTCATCTCGCAATGACCAAGGGAGGAAAGGCAAAAATCAAACTTGACGGAAGAGAAGGGTCTTTCTTGCAAGAAGGGGATGGCGCGTTTGTCAGCAAAGTAAATGCAGGTGATGCCCTTTCCATCGAATCAGTCGGTGAGGAGGAAGCGGAGGTTTTGGTGCTGGATTCGAATTAGGAAATTTACACCGCCAGAACGTTATGTGTGTATATATCTCATTCTACAGCTTATATGAAAACGTGTTATCGGACGACTCTAAGCCAAGGTAAAATTGCCGTAAAATGAAAGCAACACACTATCTGATCAGCCCAGACGTCGTTTAGTCTTTCAACCTCTCCCCATATATTGAAAGATGGCTCCACATGCCAGAAATCCAGCTCTCCCAAGTACACGCCACCATCATACCCCAACAGTACTATAAAAATCCGCAACACCCTTTCGAAAGCCATGCTCCCATTCCCACCCAAAAGCAGCCTGCTCCTTCATCGAGCCCGTCTCCCTCATTCTCTTCTGGACCCAAACATCCAGGCAACCAATCTTATCCCCGCCATCTCCACCTCCAGGCATGCCACCCTGAGCTCTCGCGCCAAAGAAGAATTGTGCGTCGTTCCAACCCAGATCCCAGCCCTGGCCGAAACGCCAGTGCTCGAACCGCGTCCCAGGTGCTGTTCTGTCCCAGAACTCCGAATGCTCGCGTAGTGCTGTCTGTTGGAGACGCTGGTGCTGCTCACCTGCGGCGCGGATACGGTTTCGGATCTCCTGGGCCGGCAGCATCATGGAAGGGGGTGGAATGATGGCACCTTCGTTGGTTTGTTGTTTGAAGCCCCAGCCTCCGCCATCCATCCAGTCCATCTTGAAGGTCCAGAAGGAAGAGCCGCCGAACTGTTGCCATCTACGGCTCTGTGCCTGGCCGAACTGCCTCGTTAGACCGGGTCGATCGTTGGGAGACACTTTGCTCCAGGTGGGTTCGGACATGACGCAGCTGTATTCTCCGATGAAGACAGTGGCAGCGCCATTGTCGAAGACGTTGCCTTGTTTGCTTTGAAGCTCGTTTAACTCGTTTGGGATGCGATCGAGTATTTGCTGAGGGGATTGTGACTGGTCGCTGGCCGCGAAGGTGTAGTATTTGTGCGTGTCCACGATGACAGGGTTTGAAACGCTCCTGTTCTTCCTTTGTATGTAGTCGAGGGCAGGGGATAGATTCCAGGAGTCGCTGATGTAGACCGGGACAGTCTTGTTGACGTCGTTGATGGCACCAATGACCGAGTCGTACCATTCGTACATTCCTGGGGCTGCCCATGTGGCCTCGTTGCACAGCTGAATGCCCATCACACCTGGCATGCCCGCTGCCACCTCCTGGGTGATGAAGACCAGACAGCGTCGAGCCCTGTCTAGGTTATCTCCATTTCCCCACAGGTCCGCCCTGCCGCTGCTGGTTCCGCTGTGGATCTCACCATTTGCACCACCCGGCACAGCGTGAAGATCCAACAAGACACCAATGCCTCGGTCGTGGCAGCGTCGGACGAGATCTCTGACAGCTGACCACGCGTTAACATATACCTGCCCGGGCTCACCATCAAAAGCAGTTCCCTGGCAAAATGACGGGCCGAGCGTAAACCATCCAATAGGCAAGCGTATCATGTTGCATCGGGCCTGTCCTGTAAGCCATGCAAAATCGTCATCGCTGATTGCAGAAGACCAGTGGTTTTGCCATTTGGCACGAGTAGCGTCAAGGCCAGAGGATGCCAACGAGCTGCCAAGTTGTCAGCAATATTACTTGCAGATGAGAGTGTCTCTGGAGATTGAAAAGAAGCTTACGCCCGCACAGCATCCAGCTCGCTGTCACCTGCTGAGCCTTGGACGTACATGCTGGGGCTCAGCCATTTCTCAAGGACGAAGATGGTCCCTAAATTAGTACCATGATGATAGCGATAATTGAAAACATCAGTGGTCGTAGCTGAGGCCATAATGAAAGGATTGTTTGATCCGTGCTTCAGCAAGCTACAAGAGCACTTTCGGCACGTCAGGAAAAGCAAAGGACCACATTATACGAAATCAAGCTTGTTGATCATCCTCCAACTATCAGACGCGAGGTTGGCCTAAATCCAAGCGCGTGGTCTACCACAACAGTAGAGCCATCTCGTAAATTGCTAATCGATTGCCTTGTGCGTACTGCATCGTATGACCACTGATATCTAATCCATCCATTGTAAAGACATTGATGGCAGTGGGTTTCTGGCAGCGGATTTGAGTATCTGGGCCAAAGTGCTCATGGCGAGTTCTGTACTGAGCCAGAGCTGAGGCTGGAGCGGGGAGAATACTACGTGTCTACTCCGTATAACTACTAACTAACTTAGGGCTGACACATCTAAACCGGGGCCTGGCAGCTCCTTAATCTTTAGTTCACATAGCAGGAGCTGAGACATTCAAAGCTAATAAAACTGTGTCATTTTAGACGACTTTTTTCAAATTTATTGCCATATGACGGTCAAATTATGGTCATCCGATGGCCCTTTGATGATCTTTGCAACGATGAAACATCTGTTGATTTGCTTAGGACCAGTGCAGCATCATTTTCAAAGCCCCTCTCTCCACGTAAGAACGTGACTAAATGACTTGGGCAACAAACGACAAACGAAACAACTTCTAATGAGTTTAATTTGGTCGAGACTTCTTGGTCTTTCCCAGGAACAGTGTCTTCTAAGGGGCTGTGTTGCGTAAGCCGTTAGTCATGTTTGTACCACCACATGCTACCCAATAAAATATGAGGGCCAATTGCCGCTCCCTCATCTCAATAGAGACGTTCCCTTATTCCAGTGATAAAGGCCAACTTGTCACTTTGCGAAACTGGAGAGCCTTAGAAGTGGAAAGCTGGACGATGTACATGAGTTAACCTGGATTTTGATATTCTCCGGAGAAGTGCATGCGGAGAGGAAGCGCACTGTACTGCACAGCCGCGCGGAAGTTGGGCTTTGTCTCTCAGCCACACACTCCGCCTAAACAGACTCTAAGCATAGCAACGCTCTTCTCAGCACGGGGGTAGCCGCATAAAGGATCTTTGCGGCACAGCAATACAACACCCTCATTCTCCTCCTGTTGGTGTAAAATCTTTACCATTTCTTCCTTCACCTACTAATATCTCGTTGTTTGAGGATATTCAACTCTTGACCGTCGCTGTCTTAATTGAACTGCTGTTCCTCAAGGCCAGCCTTACATTGGATCTTCCTGTGTTTGTCTGAAGATACAAAGTTGACACCAACCATGGTCAATGCTGGTCGTATCGCCTGCATATTCACACCATTTGCTCTCTGTCTAGCATCGCTGGTGTGCATAATAATTGTGTTTCTTGGGGGGTGGAACGCACGGAGCACCACTCTTGGGAACTACTACTTTCTGAAGGTCAGCGCATCTGTAGCGGAGTATCGAAGATGTAGCTAACAGAACGTTTGCAGGCCGACTTGACAGGTTTTACCGTCAACAATACTGGTTTAGATCCAGTCCCTGGAATCAACCTAGATAATGATGTCTTGAACCAAGCACTGAATCAAGCAAAAGCTGCGGCCAACATCAATGACTTTTACACAATCTACCTTTGGAATTACTGCTCCTGGGATGGCAGCGACAAGTACTCGTTTTGCTCCAAGAGAGAGGCCTACTTCGCTTTCGATCCTGTGGAGGTCTGGGGTTTGGAGAATACCGGGGTGCAGAATGCTTTCCCGAAAGAATTGCAAGATGGCTTGAAGGCCTACAAAGCTGTAAGCAAGTGGATGTTCATTGCATACATTGTTGCATTGGTTGCTACGTGCATTGAACTTGTGGTGGGCATCTCTGCCATATTCAGCCGCTGGGGCAGCTTTTGCACGGCCTTCTTCTCTACAGTAAGTTGATGTCTGACCTTCCTCCTTCAAGTACAGTACTGACATTTTCCGAAAGCTTTCATCACTTTTCATCCTAGCTGCTTCCATCACAGCCACAGCAATGTTCTCCGTCCTTCTTGGCTCGTTCAACGGAGTCTTTGAAGCCTACGGTATCAAAGCAAGTCTTGGACCAGAGATGATGCGGACAACTTGGCTTGCGGTAGCTTTCAGCTTCGGCGCCGGTTTCTTCTGGCTTCTGAGCGTCTGCTGTTGTAGTGGGAGGTCACCTTATGGCGGCAAGAAAGACACGAAGCGGGTCAAGGTCGAGAAAACCCCATACACGTATGAGCGAGTGGGGTCTCCATATCTTGGGCCACAAGGAGGAGCACCACCATATGGAGGGGCACATGGACAGCAGATACCTATGCATAATCTTGGCCCGAACGCAAAAGGAGGCGCATATGAGCCCTTCAGACCTTCGCATGTGTAAGGGAGCATGTGCTTGCCAGGCTTTACTTCGGAAGTCATACCAAACTCCAGAAAACGACCGCAGAGAGTTTGGGCTGTGGATGGGGTATGATGCAATGATTCTTACGCTTGAACGAAGGACTATAAATATATCGGATGCCTTCTCTCTACATTGTTTGTACACTTCTTAATCATTCTATCAACTTGCTGCCACAGGAAATCACAACAGCGTGGGTGTTGACACCACGTCAGTTGGTGATGACAACATAACTTTGGACACCCCAAAGCCATGATATGTAAGCAGCGTAAAGCTTCTGTTCGGCTTAACTCCCGGGCTTGATAGTCTGAGATGCGGTGAGTCACACTCAATAACGGTTCGGTACATGGGTACCGTTTTCTCCACATTAGTACTCCGTAATCTTCTGATAATACACCAAATGAACGAAGCTTTACAGGGTGTCAAGGCATCGCGGTCGATTGCACCAGAACTAGCTACAGCATATACTAGTATTTAGATGAGAATCCATACTACATCTGTAAGCTGTTGAATTAATTCACAGATAATGGTTACGCTTACTAATATGCGTACTAGTACTACTAGTGGTATTGCTAAGATTCGGCCAATTTTTCTTGGCACTGGCTTATTTGTGGCCAAGCAAGATCCGCGGTGGACCAAGTTCTCAACTCTGAAAGACCAAACCCTACAAGAGTCAAGGTTTCAAGCTTACAAGGAAGCATGGAGCGGGGTGTTACTCACGCCACGAGATTGTCGACTTTGCACAAGCAATCAGTAGTACGCCTTAGAGTGTATGTATCATATTTCTTGTCAGGCCCCAGAATACGAGATCCATTCATCCTGCGTAACCTTTTTCTAGACACGGGCACGGTAACAAAAAGGGTCTTTCCGCCACTGTAGTCAGAAAAATGGCAAAAATAATCCTTCTCATTTGATTTCATCCTACATCTTCAGAATGCAGTTTTCTCATGATGAGGCGTCATTCGCGAGGTCCGTGTTAGTAGTCGTCGTCGTCGCTCTCTCCGCGATTGCTGCTTGCTCAGCTCTATCATTTCAGCGCATCGTCCTTCGATTTCGCCAAAACCGGAAACCTCAATATCAATCTGTATCTGAGCTGTATGAGGATGAAGATGGCACTGCAACGCAGGCGTCGGAGGCAGCTTATTCCTATCAGCTGCCGCGGATATCCGTGCTATTGTTCTCCATCGTTTGTCTATTGGACTCATTGGTACTCTGTGTCATCACCACCCAGCAGCCCGTGGAGTCTAATCTAAGAGTTGAGCAATGGCTGCATTTTTGTGCTTGGGTATGCTCTGATTCAGCTCAATTAGCAGCAATAGTTGCTAACTCAAGCCTAGACGTTCCTACTCATTCAAGCAGTGGCGTTATTCATCGAGCCACAGTACATTGCTCGGTATCGACTATCAGCATTCGGTTCTTTGTCCAGCTTTCTTCTTTCTATTGCTATTATCGTTGAGAATCTCATCAGGTGGTCATCTATTTTTGATAGGTCAAAGCGGTCGAATGTTTATCTTACGTTGACTGCAGTACAGTTGGTTGGAGCTCTTGCCTTGATTTTGATTTACAGCTTGGTGCCACGGCGACCGGATGTGTACTGGAACGAGAAAGTTGTTGACAGACAATACACGACGTCGATATTGGGAAGACTCGGATTCACCTGGCTTAGTCCGCTTCTACATTTCGCCGCAATCAATAAAGGCCTTAATCTAAACGACCTACCCGAAATAGACTACCAGACCCGCTCGAAGACGTTACGACGAAAATTTGATCAAGTTGGCAAAAAGAACAAGCTATGGCAGCTCCTTTTCTTATCACATAAAACGGCATTCATCTCCCAATGCATATTTGTCACGATCACTTCTGTGACAAATTTTTTGCCCCAGATAGCGTTACTATTCATTCTCAAAGCTTTGGAAGATCGTGACAGCGGCCGCGACTCAGTGTTTCATTTGTGGATAGGGGTCTTCGCTCTTGGTCTTTCCATCACCATTTCTTCATGGCTGGAGGCATGGTTATTCTTTATTTGCTATTCACGCATTGGACAGCCCATCTTCCAGCAATTAGCAGCTGTCATATTCGGAAAGTCCATGAGGCGCAAAGACATCAAGGGTGTGAACACGAAGGTGCCGGATGTGTATCTGGACGGAGCGGCACACATAAGCGAAAATACCGGACCAAAAGGGGAAGAGCCAACGAAGAAGCAAGACGATGACGATGACGACGAGCAGAAAACGCGCCAAAGCACCATCAACCTGGTTGGAGTCGACTCTTATCGTGTTTCAAACTTTGCCACCTACATTTACATCTTCCCTGGTACGGTCTTGAAGCTTACCCTTGCTTTTGGCTTCCTCATCAGGCTAATCGGATGGATCCCTTTGTTGGCCGGACTGGCAATCCCGGCGATTATAACACCCGTCAACGCTTTCGCATCCAAACGATATGCTTCAGCTCAGGATGATCTCATGAGAATCCGGGACAAGAAGATGGCAGTGGTTACGGAGGCTCTTCAAGGAATTCGACAAATCAAGTTCTCCGCGTTCGAAGATAATTGGCAGCGCAAAATTATGGACGTTAGGAGAAAAGAATTGAAGACGCAGTGGCGGGTCTTCAAATATGATACGACTCTGATAGCAATCTGGATTGCTGGACCTATATTGCTTGCAGCCGTTGCGCTAGCTACCTATGCCATTATCCACAAAACGCTCAGTGCCTCGGTCGCCTTCACGACTGTTTCAGTATTCGAAGCTCTGGAAATGACTCTGGCTGCAATACCTGAGCTCATTACCGATTACTTCGATGCGTCAGTGAGTGCAAGGAGAATTGAAACCTATCTTGGTTCAGCGGAGAAAGAACATTACATCAAAGCCGGTAGCATGATCTCGTTCCAGCAGGCTACTGTGGTCTGGCCTGCTGAAGATGAAGGAATAGTGGAAGACCAATTCCGTTTACGAGACCTTAACCTGGAATTTCCAAACGGCAAGTTAAGCGTAGTTTCCGGCAGGACTGGATCCGGCAAAAGTCTCCTGCTCGCTGCAATCCTAGGAGAAGCAGACATCCTGACTGGAACGATTCAAGTTCCTCGTGCTCCGCCACCAAGCATCCGCTTCGACGAGCAAGCTAATCCAAACAATTGGTACCTGGAGGGATCCATCGCATTCGTCGCGCAGATTCCTTGGATCGAGAACGCTACCATCAAGGATAATATTCTGTTTGGCTTGCCTCTTGACTCATCGAGGTATCAAAAGACGCTCTCTGCCTGCGCTTTGGAGAAGGATCTAGAGATGTTGCCAGATGGAGAGCTGACCGATATCGGTGCTAATGGTATCAATCTAAGCGGAGGGCAGAAATGGAGGGTGTCTTTCGCCCGTGCACTTTACTCAAGAGCAAGTATTCTTGTTCTCGACGACATCTTTAGTGCAGTTGATGCCAATGTGGGGCGTCACTTGTATGAGAACGCTTTGACTGGAGACCTGGGCCAAGGTCGAACACGGATTCTGGTCACCCATCACGTTAGCTTATGTCTTCCAAGAACAAGATACGGAGTTTTACTGGGTGACGGTAAAGCACTCCATGCGGGTACAGTCGAAGAATTACGTAAGGATGGTCGTCTTGATGCGATACTTGCTCAAGATGTAGAGCAGCAACAAAATGCAGAGGAGGCGGCACAGACTCAAAATGCCCCAGAAATAGACGATGGTGGCGGTCTCAAACAGGCCATAAGTCAACGGTCCAATCTATCAACACGAAAATCCAGTCATGCAATGCAGGATATAAATGCCGACACAACCATATCCCCCAAGAAGTTCACAGAGGACGAGAAGCGAGAAAAAGGGGCTATCAAATATACCATATATGCTGAATACATCAGAGCTTCTGGTGGGCTTCGTCACTGGCTGTTGGTCTTGCTGGCCTTTCTTCTTTGTCTGCTGGTAATACTCGGCCGCTCGTGGTGGATCAGCATCTGGACAAGGTCTTACCAGAACGAAACGGTAATTGCGAAGGACCATTGGCGACCTCAAGCATACCTCCAGTACCCGAAGAAAGAGATACATGCAGTGCAAATTGACGGCAATATCTGGTTCTACTTAGGCATATACTTGGCATGGTCGGTAGGACAATGTGTGATTGGAAGCTCTCGGTACTTCCTGGTCTTTCTGGGATCAATTCGAGCATCGAAAGATCTATTTGAGCAGTTGACATATGCTGTTCTCCGTGCGCCTCTGCGCTGGCTGGACACAGTTCCTGTCGGACGTATCCTCAACCGTTTCACAGCTGATTTCAACATGGTTGACTCTCGCATTTCCCTGGACCTTGGATTTATGATGCACAATGCGATGGGAGTCATCTCTGTGATCATAGCCGCAGTCTTCGTGTCGCCGTGGATGATTGCCTTCGCACTGTTACAACTTGTGATCTGCATGCACTACGCTCTTCGCTACTTGACAGGGGCCAGAGAGGTCAAAAGGTTAGAAAGCAACTCAAAATCACCAATCTTTGAATCTTTCGCGGCGGCTCTCATGGGTATCAGCACTATCCGCGCTTTCGACAAGGCAGAAATCTATGTGGAGAGGATGTACCGGAAGATCGACACTTATGCACAAGCATACTGGCATCTATGGCTCTTTAACCGATGGATGGGACTGAGGCTTAATATGGTTGGAGCAGTATTTGCAACGGTCACGGCAGCCCTCATTGTCAGCATCCGTGGTATTGACGCATCACTCGCTGGTTTTGCTCTTAGCTTTGCTTTAGAATATACCGTCTCGCTGGTCTGGTCGTTGCGACAGTATGCAAATGTTGAGCTGGACATGAACGCCGTTGAGAGAATTGTTGAATACTCCAATATTCCTATTGAAAATCAGAGTGGTGATACAGCACCTGCGGCATGGCCAACTGAAGGTCGCCTGGAGGTAGCGAACCTTGTTGTGGGATATGCTGCGGACATGCCACCAGTGCTCAAAGGATTGAGTTTTAGCGTCCAACGGAATCAGCGCGTTGGCGTTGTAGGTCGAACGGGTGCTGGCAAGTCGTCCCTGACGCTGGCGCTTTTCCGCTTTCTGGAAGCACGAGAAGGTGTGGTGCTTATCGATGGTGTTGACATTTCGAAAATCCGATTGCAGGATGTGCGATCTAGACTTGCCATCATTCCTCAGGACCCGGTCCTGTTCTCCGGCACTATCCGCACTAATCTCGATGCCTTTGATGAGCACAATGATAGAGAGCTACGAGACGCTCTGGAGCGTGTACATCTGGTCTCAGGCATGAGCGCGCCCTCTGACGAGCCAAGTGGCACCACTACGCCTGTGGACCCAAATCCTAATAGAAATATTTTCCGGAGCCTTTCTTCCAAGATCAGTGAAGGTGGCCTCAATCTATCACAGGGTCAGCGGCAACTCTTGTGTCTAGCACGAGCAATCGTGTCACGCCCAAAGATTATGGTTCTAGACGAGGCTACTTCAGCAGTGGATATGGAAACAGATGCAATGATACAACGAAGCATCCGGGAGGAGTTTCAGGATTCTACGTTGATTGTGATTGCGCACAGACTCAGTACCATTGCTGACTTCGACAAGATATTGGTTATGGGAGATGGGAGGGTACTAGAATATGACGAGCCCCGGCTATTGATGGAGAAAAAAGATGGCGACTTCCGCAAAATGGTGGAAGAGAGTGGTGAGAGAGACGTGTTGGAGGACATCATTCATGGGAAAACGGCACCCATTGACGCAGCATCTTGATCCGGGTGTCTCGATCCGCAGCTCTGGTGTAGCGAATCCTCGTCTATCTATGTTGTACCACCATACCCCCCGGTAGTTGTGCGTACGTACTATGAATACTACTACGGGGGGAGGCATAAGTATTCGTAGCACGGCGCTAGAAACCCTAATGTAAAATTACAACGTCATGAAAATGGTCTTTACTATGGTAAGGATAGAGTGCCCAGAGATAGTTTCATTGGGACTAGTCTTATTGCTTGATTGCCCAACAGTGACAGGATACCAGTACAAGATTGACAGGGCTGTCTGTATCCACAGCGTTCGGAGTGGCAAATACTAGCGCCCTGCTACGAATACTTATGGCCCCCCGGTAGTAGAAAGTGCCCGGTGACTAGCTACAATCGGACTAGTGGTGGGACCCAGTACCACGGTTCCGGCCTGCAGCCAAGATGGTGGATCTCGGTTTTAATGCTCCTCAATGCAAGAGTCATGTGTAATAATGTGTAGGCTGGGGGCTTGGTAGGTTTCGACCATGCCTGCAGTCTGTGCACGATGCAGGATCGACAGTTTGACAGCACCAACATGTCGGTTTGGCTCAATCCAACAAATCAATGGGGTGGGAACTAACTCATCATACCTTGAGTCCTTCAGGAATGGCTCGAGGGGAAGATTTGGAATGGGCGACTTGCAGTCAACGCCCTCTACATCAATAAACTCATGTCAGCTGCTCCGGTACCGCACGTCTAGTCAGTTGCCGAGAACGGCAGCCAGATATGCCTTCAATATCATCACCTCATGAGCTGAACGTGTGGCCCTAACTCCGCCAAGGAGAGCCAAACACTGAGCTACTAAGATGGCTGACCTACCTCCTGCACGTCCTGCAAATAACGCTTTACGGTTCGACAATCCCTTTTTGTCGATTCTCCTGCGCGCATAGACGGAAAGCCGGGCACTAAGGGGAAGATCTATGCCTTAGCCGACCTTGCCGGTTTGCCATAAAGCTCGCCTTAAGAGGCAGTCCAATACCCTACCAGACGACGAATGGATGGACGGCATCCCAGATGACGATGACATTATTCACGCCATCGGGGCTCTAAAGCACGCTTGTCAGCTTCCGCTGATAGCGTGCCAATCTAGGGAATCCATCACTGCCACTACGCGTTCAGTGTCCACTCACAAGGAACTCATGGCGCATCTTGCTCACACGAGCTATCAATTATGGGGAAGCTCGTTCTAGAACGTATGTTTCCTTGCCACCCTACGCAATCGTGAATACTCCATATCCCTTCTGGTCAATGCACACTGTTCAGCCTTGCTGGGTTCGCCGTCGTTGTGACTATGTGCATTGGCATTCGCACTTGAAACATACCTTCGAGTAGCCTTGCCACCGGATGGCCCGAGCTGCAATAGGGCCGACGCATGAAGACTCCGGTTTTCGTTGATTTGAGCATTTTACATCGCCTTCTGACCTATATTGGACGGACGGCCCTTGATCCTGTGCCCTCCACAATCTTGATTCTCGCCTAGGATCACATCCTTATTGGGCTCTCTGTCGTGGCCACTGCGCACTTTAGCTTGTCAAGACTGAGATCTGAGTCAACCTACTTGAATAGTCGCAAGCTTCTCTGGCTGACGTATAGCTCTAATTTGTCGTGCCCATATTGGCTTCCTTCTATACCAAAGTTCTCCATAGCAGTACATTCCAAGCCGAAAGATCTAGACGTGTTTTCCGTCTTAGATATGCAACCTCGCTTGATTAGCTGATTGATCCACCTCGAGCTAACGTGCTTAACTCCGCGACGTTACAATCGATTGAAAGTATCCAGGGGGCTATAGGCTTTTTTGTCTCTGGCATAAGCTGCAGGGTGATGTCGATCATTGCGGGTGTACTACATACCACCATGACTCAGGTAATGCCGTACACAGACTTCCCGGTTGGCGCAAGCTTTGTCCGTCCGGTTTCCCTTTGACACTGAGGAGTTTTTAGCGTTGTCATTGAGTCCAATTGGGATTTTCCCTTACCAGTGCTTGTCGTTCAATGTCGATATTTGCGATTTGCACTTATCAGGTTGAAGCCTTAAAGGTTGCATCGACGTTTGTGCTGTCTTGCCTTGAGCGTCCCTACCCCGGAAACTCGTCAGAGCTGGTCCAATCACTTCACCTCCACCTTTTTCTGGTCACCTCCGGACCGCGGCCGGTCTGGCTAGCCTCACTCTGATACTCGTCGATTAGGTTTGTTCGATTAAGCTGCTGTGAGGTGTCTAATTGTCACAAGCTGGTGATGATCACGCTAGACCAACACGAGATCTCGTTCAGCTCGATGAGGTCTTGAAATGTCTGACCTTTATCCACACGAGCAGTGTTGCAGAGAATGTGGCGTACACGAAAGCCCCTTGGCGAGTGATACCCTGCCAGCCTGATGGCGTCTACGCATAAGAATTAATATTGAGTACCTGGCCCAGCGAGAAGGAGTCAGTGGTTGCTTTCGCAATATGGAATATCCTCGCGCTCCAGCATGAAGTCTTGCATTCTGTTAAGACCTTGTGCATAACTGCTTTAGAGTGCCGGATCTCTTTGCGTCCACTACTTTGTTGACTGTATTGACATAACGTACTTTAGGTCCAACCCTTTGCATGGTGCCTCTGTATGAAGTGAACGTTCCAAAAGAAACCTGCTCGCTTGGGGAGTCACTACCCTCCTACTCAGCATCAGAGATAGTATTTCGCGCTGTTTGCCTCAGCCATCCTGGATACAAGACACAAGACCTTCTCCCTCTTCGAGACAGAAGAGCGAACGACTTTGCATGGCCAGTCGTCTGGTGAGGAAAGGGGAAGGAGCAGAAAGGGAGGGAGAAGGTATGAGAACTACTTTCATCTCATGGACAGGACTAATGCTGAAGCATTAGCCCCAGAACGTCACGCAAATAGTGCAGCGCAACCTCATCCCCAACCTCAACGTGTTGCGCAGAGTCACAGATTCGATCAGGCCGGCCCCCAACTTCAAGAATCCCATTTTCAGTTCGGCCACATGAGTGCTGCTTTGCCAGAAGCCGGCTCTGCCAATTATCAGGGCAACGCTGCACTTAGACAATCTCAGGGGAATAGTGGCGAAGGACTTCCGCTACGAAATCAGGAATATGCACGTACAACTGTCTTTCCTACACCACCGGGTCCAGGAGTACCAGCACCTCAATACCCTAGGCAGCCATATCAGCAGGGATTCCACACAGCAGGGTTCCCCCCAAGTTATACCGGCGCTCCAACCGCGTACAGTCATTCTCAGAGCTTTGGACACCCTTACCCGCCACAGGTTTCACAGATGCAGGGGCACCCGGCAGCTTACGACCATGCTGGTACAGCATATTATCCTATACAGCAACAATACCCCAGACAAATATATGACAACACAATTAGCGTCATGTTCAGACAAGAACCGGATTACCTTACATCAACACATACTCCAGGAGTACCTACCACACATGTCAATGTAGCTACCGGACTGTCTGGGTCAGCATTACCACAAGGTGATCCAACGTGTAAGCCTTCCATATCGTTGTCACTCAAGGGGGCTGTGCATCGCTGACTGGGAGAAGCCATGAGCAGGCCAAACTCTGTATCCAGTGCTTATTCGTCGACTCTGCGTGGACCACCTCGGAAGCCGAGGCAGTCGGGGTACGCACTGTGGTGTGGTAACCTTCCGGCCCAGACAGATATCGTTAGCCTCAAAGATCATTTCTCTCGTGACGCTAAGAATGATATCCAAAGCGTATTCTTGATCTCGAAAAGCAATTGTGCATTCATTAATTACAAGACCGAAGAAGCTTGCACAGCAGCACTAGCGCGCTTCCATGATTCTCGATTTCAAGGGGCCAAGCTTGTCTGCAGGCTTCGAAAACCGTCTGCAGCACCCCCAGCTGGGACACCCACAGGGCCGCGGATCAGCCCAGATCTAAGCACACTCGATCAACCTGCACGGTCTGCTGATACCCGTCCTCCTGGAGAGACTGCCGCAGAAGATGTTGAAAGGATTCAACCCATTGCCAGAAAAACGGGAGAAAAGTTTTTCGTTCTGAAGAGCTTGACCGTTGAAGATCTGGATGCTAGCGTGTGTAATGGATCATGGGCCACCCAGACCCAAAATGAAGCCGCTCTAAATGCAGCGTATAACGTACGTGTTCAAAACGCTCAAGGAGATCTTGGCTTACATGCAATAGTCAGCCAAGAATGTATATCTCGTGTTTTCAGCGAACAAGTCTGGTGAATACTATGGCTACGCAAGAATGATGTCTGGGATAGATGATTCTGTCGATGCTGACGAAAGGCCGCGTCCTCAACCCAGTCCTTCCTCTGCAGCTCCGGTAGACAGTTCTGTCACTATCCCTATACCTGCCACGGAACATGCACCCAAAGGCTACATTATCGATGATTCTGCAAGAGGGACCATCTTCTGGGAAGCAGAATCCGACGAAACCGCCGAGACAACAAAAGATCTGGAAGACGAAGGAGCCATGACCGAGACAACGGACTCAGAGGCTGAGCCACAACAACAAAGCTTAGGACATCCTTTCAAGGTCCAATGGCTCTCCACCGATAAGGTCCCTTTCCATCGTGCACGCGGCCTTCGGAACCCATGGAACCTGAACCGCGAGGTAAAGATTGCACGGGATGCGACGCCGATAGAGCCATTGACTGGCAGAAAGCTAGTCAACCTGTTTAGCACGCCTCAGGTGGCACCGCCTTCAGCTGGACCACCGCAGATGGTGTACACGGCGCAGAATCAGCCGTTGCCTTTGGCTTCTTATCCCCTAGATCCAAGGTTTACACGGCATTATTGAGTCGTTGATATCTGAAGAGAGAAGGAACAGCTCATGGAGTTCTTGATATCCGAAAGAGTACAGCCGCTCGCTTATACATAGTACTTGATAGGAGATACATGGAAGCAAGATTGGCAAGTAACAAATCTGGGACTCTATAAGGAAAATGAAGCACAGACATTGGCTGGAGGCACAGCACATCATCCCTCCGTTTAAACCAATTTCATTCTGTAGTACTACTTCTACAATCATATGTTTACATCCATCTTCCGCAAATTCTTTGAGTGGGTCGCCTCGCTCAACATCTCGCTAGCCATACTCGCACTTCTTTGCCGCTCTTCTCATACTCGCACACACCAGCTGACCTGAGATGGTGCGTGGCTGTGCATTGCATCTCCTAGCTCCGTTAAAGTAAAGTGAGGTGAGAGCGGTTCATGTGGCGCACTCTCGGCAATACCTGCGCCCATTTCGCGCCTCACAAACACGCCTCACTTTCAAGAGCAACCACTCCATCATTCCTACGATCACGCATCCCAAAAGCCTGGCCACCTAGTCTTGCCTGATCAAAGTATTAGCTGTTGTGGGTGATCTAGTAGTCTAGTCTGTCTCGGATTGCGGAGCGCCCTGGCAGGGCGAAGGTGGGCTGTCAGAGCAAGAGACATGGAGATAGGTGTCATCCAGCGCACAACCTCTTTTCGTGCTAAGGCAAGAGAGCAGGGAGTAGGAAGAGCATGAAAAGCGTGCTTCAGATGCACAAGGGAAAGAACCAAGCCTCAGCGATTTGGGAGATGAGCAGTGAAAGATAAGGGGGCAGTCTAGGTAATCCGATCTCTGTCAAGGGGATATTCTCTACTCGAAGATGATACAATATATCCGTTGAAGTTATTACCTCACACTGTGGACATGGCTGTCAGCGAACTCTTCGCAGCCTCATCTTCGAGGAAATAGGACTGAATGCCGCTTCCTGAGCTCCAGTCAGGCACCATCGACACAAGAAACTCGACGGAAGGGTTGCAACTCCCAGAACTCCGGGGCCTCAAGGAAGTTCCTTGTCAATTTAGCCAGTCATAGTGGTGGCCTCCTTCACTCAAACACGTAATCCTCTTTTTTCATTGTGGGGGACTCCGTCCTGGTTACGCTGGGCCTCTCCCCGGCTGCATTTTATGCTATGCTCTGTAGCAACTCGCTCTGCTGTTTGGCTTTTGTTTGCTGAAAAGGGATGATCCATCCATTTTGTGAGACATCACATCGTGGGGCAGCTCTCCATCTGGCACATCTTTCATTATGAGACAATTCGATATACTCGAGATATTTATAGATGTGTCATGAATCCTTGCCCAGACCGTGCATTTTTGAGACTGCGGGTGACTCTGTGAGCATTGCTCAAACCTGAAAGAATACACATCTTACCTCTTTGACAAGCTGGACACTTGTAGTATCCTGCATTCTCCACGGCCCGCTTCAGTGTAATGGGGGTGACCTCGACCCCTGCACCCTTGCATAGGTCTTCCCATGATTTTGTCTTCTCTCCCGCTGGTTGCTTCTCTATATCGTGAATGATCTGCTTGACGACAGTCTCATCAAGCTTCCTTTTCCTTCCGCGACCTGGCTTCGACTTATCTTCCGGGTCCTTCTCTGGCTCGTTTCGCAGGTAACGATAACCATTAGAATTAGAGACGCCGACGCGACGAAAGATTTCGGCATTCGTAAGGGTGGTAAATTTCCGTAGCGCTCTCACGGAATCTTTCTGTGAAGGCACCAGCTCGTGCTCTAACTCCATACCTTTTTGCAAGCGGGCGACAGACGGGCGATTGAGTTCTGCGAATTGTACCTCTCCAGAGCGTGCACCGCCTGGCGATTGTGTCTGTTGTTCATGGACTGTCTCATTGGCGGCGGTAGCAAGCTGGGGCAAGTGGGCACCATTGACTGTCGCATTGACTGTCACCTCGGAGGGTCTGACCTCTGTGCTCTCTGTGCCCTTCGCGCTCTCCTCGGGCGCCTTGGACTCTGTGCTCTCAACTTCCGGCTCCGCATCGCGCGGCTCTGGTGCGTCGTTCAATACAGTATCTGCCATTCCGTATTAAGAATATGGTTGATGTGCGTGATTGCGAAGATGATATTCTGGGGACAGCAAGTGCTGTTGACATCCGTCACTGCCTACATGCAAGGCATCGCGCAGAAGCTCGGCGGGCGGAGCTTCCTGAGAAAAGGCAATTGGAAAACATCACCTTCTAAATTTGTCGAATTCGTCGCACATTCGCCGCCCCCACCTGCAACGAAGAACTTCTGATACACACATACCGGTCAAACTGGTTTTACACTCCTTTGTACGTATATTCTTACGGTTTGAGGCCTGAGCCTACCTTCATTCTTTCTTTTGGTATACTCATTCTTTCCCTGCACAGCCGTCCACGACTATGGAGTCAACTCGTCAAGTCTACCTCCTACCTCTCACTGACGATGGTGCACCGGATGTACCAGGCGGTTATCTTTATTTACCTACTCCAGGCGATACCCCATACACCCTCAGATTTACCGTTGATGGGACAAGCTCAATATGTCGGCAGGGCAGCTTGTGGGTGAACTTCCCAGAAGCTGGGCAGGAGTTCGACCGTTACAAGTTCAGAGAGTTCAAGTAGGCGCGGAACCATGTTCACAAGGTTAAGATGCTAACTCTAGTATAGGCTCAATCCAGATTTCAACCGTACCCTCGAGATAGACGTACCAATTGTGTCCGCGGGAGCATTTGCCTTCTACACGACCTACATGCCACTTCCAGATCTTACTACCTCGTCATCTAGAATACCCGAGCCGATGAGAACAGAGGTCTACTATGTCGACGTTGAACCCCGTCTGAGGCTCAACTCATATACTCTGCCCCTTGATGCATTATCAATTTTCTCTGTTGTCTCTAAATTCATGGGAAAGTACCCGGAGGAATGGGAGAAGCATCTCCGGGGCATCAGTGGAAGGGGATACAACATGGTTCATTTCACGCCCCTGCAGACAAGAGGAGAGTCCAATTCGCCCTACAGCCTCTACGATCAGTTGTCCTTTGACTCAGAGATGTTCCCCAACGGTGAACAGGATGTTGCGAACATGATCCGAAGTATGGAGGAGAAGCATCATTTACTGGGTTTAACGGATATCGTCCTCAATCACACAGCGAACAATAGCAAGTGGTTAGAAGAGCATCCCGAGGCTGGTTACAATGTGGAGACTGCACCTTGGCTAGAGTCTGCGCTCGAGCTGGACACGGCGCTACTCCAATATGGTGAAGAGCTGGAGTCGCTTGGGCTGCCGACCGACTTCAAGAACATTGACGACTTATTGAAAGTTGTTGACGGGATCAAGGAACATGTTATAAGCAAGATTCAGCTATGGGAGTACTTTGCGGTAGACGTACCATCAAACTCAAAGTACGTAGTTGACGCCTGGATGTCAGGAGAAACGAGGCTGCCAGATGGTGGCTTCGACCCTTCTATGATGGGAGGCGGCGTTGACGCCGTCAAGCAATGGTCGCTCTATCAGAAAGCGGACTTTCTCAAGAACAAAGGCATGAAAAATGGTCTCAGGATAGATGGCCGCCTTTCACGAACCGTGGACCCTCTTGTTGGATCAGCCCTGCTCACTGCGCTTGTTGGCCGTTATGAAGAGGGAAGCGATACCAAACATGCCACGAATATCACCAACAATATCCTGAACGAGCTAAACCTCCCCTTCTATCGTGAATATGATGCTGATGTAGCAGCAATTCTGGACCAGGTAAAAGGCCGTCTGAAGTACACTCGACTGGACGACAACGGACCGAAGCTAGGACCTGTCACGAAAGCCAACCCTCTGATCGAATCCTACTTTTCCCGTCTGCCACTTAACGAGACCACGAAAAGGCATAATCCAAAGTCCCTTGCCTTAGTGAACAATGGTTGGATTTGGGCTGCTGATGCATTGAAGGATAACGCCGGCCCGGATTGGCGACCATACTTGAGGCGAGAGGTGATTCCATGGAGTGATTGTGTGAAGCTACGCTATGGCAGTGGGCCACAGGACAACCCTTACCTATGGGAATTCATGGGCAAGTATGTCCGGCTAATGGCTAAGTACTTCGCCGCATTTCGGATTGACAACTGCCACTCCACTCCCCTACATGTCGCAGAGTATTTCTTGGACGAGGCCCGAAAAGTACGACCAGATCTTGCGGTCTTCGCGGAATTGTTCACCGGAAACGAGCAGACCGACTACGCTTTTGTGAAACGATTAGGTCTGAGTGCTCTAATTCGTGAAGCCATGCAGGCATGGAGCACGCAGGAACTGAGCCGCATCGTACATAAGCATGGTGGAAGACCAATTGGGAGTTTCGAAATCAATGTCCTTGGCGATGAAAACAAAGTGCCAACCGAGACAAGTCTTACAAATGGCAATCATCCTTCGTTGAAGGAGGAGGTCAAGCGAATTCGCGAAAGCCCCCTGCACGCACTCTTCATGGACTGCACTCACGACAACGAGATGCCCGCCCAGAAGCGAGATGCTCGTGACGCACTGCCAAATGCAGCCCTAGTCAGCATGTGCGCTTGCTCTACCGGTAGCGTCATGGGCTACGATGAAATCTATCCTCATATCGTTGAGATAGTACACGAGACACGCCATTACTCGTCCGCTTACTCTGAGGGTAAAGTTGTTGCGGGTGCTGGTGAAGGAGGTATTGGCGGCGTCAAGAAGCTGCTCAACCAGATCCATACCATGATGGGTAAAGATGGCTATGATGAGACTCATATCCATCACGAAGGCGAGCTCATCACTGTACACCGGGTACATCCTGACTCCCGCAAGGGCTATTTCCTGATCGCACATACAGCATTTCCAGGCTACGGAAATGGCAATGGTGGGTTGAGTCCAGTGCACCTGACAGGCACGAAAGCCAAACCGATTGGTGCTTGGACACTGGAGGTCGATGCAGGCAAAGAAGCAAGGGAAGCAGCAGACGCCAACAAACAATTTCTTATTGGTCTTCCAGCACACACCAAAGATATCAAAGGTGTGTCATTGGTTGCTGACGGCGATGACACTATAATCACAATTCCCGAATTCTTTCCTCCAGGATCCATTGCCCTGTTCGATACCTGGATTCCATCTGCCGAGCACTCCGAGGGTCTTGGAAACTTCGTCGTCAGTGGTGCTGATGAGGCATTTGGAGAGCTTGACCTCATAGACTTGAATTCTGTTCTCTATCGCTGTGATGCAGAGGAAAGAGATTCAAGCGCTGGCAAAGACGGTGTATACAGTATTCCAGACCATGGACCGCTAGTATACGCAGGTCTTCAAGGCTGGTGGAGCGTGCTGGAAAACATCGTCAAGTACAATGAACTTGGTCACCCTCTTTGCAACCACCTACGGTCAGGACAATGGGCTCTTAACTTCGTGGTTGGTAGAATGGAAAGCATCTCAAAGCAGGAGGGTCACAACAGACTTCGCAAGCCGGCTATGTGGTTAAAAGAGCGTTTTGATGCAGTGAAGATCATCCCTAGCTTCCTTCTTCCTCGGTATTTTGCTTTGATCATACAAGTTGCATTCAACGCAGCGTGGCGTCGGGGTATTGCACTTTTCGGAAGCAACATTCAACAAGGTCAAAAATTTTTGCAAGAATTGGCCATGGTCAGTGTTCAGCAGACAGGCTACGTCAAGTCGGCATCGTTATGGCCAACGAAAATCGTGCCTAGTCTTGCCGCTGGTTTACCGCATTTTTCCGTTGAATGGGCACGGTGTTGGGGACGAGACGTTTTCATCTCGTTACGTGGCTTGTTTTTATGCACTGGGAGGTACGATGAAGCAAAGGAGCATATTATGGCTTTCGCGAGTGTCTTGAAGCATGGTATGATCCCCAATCTCTTGAGCAGTGGAGCCTTACCTCGTTACAATTCTCGGGATTCTCCTTGGTTCATGCTCCAAAACATTCAAGATTACAGCAAGATCGTTCCTGACGGGATGGATCTTCTGAAAACGAAAGTGCCTCGTCGCTTTTTGCCGTACGATGACACTTGGTTTCCTCACGACGACCCTCGAGCATATTCAAAGGAGTCGACGATCGAAGACGTTATTCAAGAAATTCTACAGCGCCACGCATCTGGTCTTTCCTTCCGTGAGTACAATGCTGGTCCAGAACTTGACATGCAGATGAAGCCGGAAGGTTTCCAGATCGATGTCCACGTTGACTGGGAGACTGGTCTCATCTTTGGTGGAAGCCAGTCGAATTGTGGCACCTGGATGGATAAGATGGGAGAAAGTGAGAAAGCCGGCAGCAAAGGTGTGCCTGGAACTCCACGAGATGGTGCCGCCGTAGAGATCACAGGCCTTGCCTACAGCGCTATCTCCTGGGTCGCGGCACTGCATAAAGAAGGGAAATATGCACATTCGGGCGTGAAGAACAGCCAAGGCCAGGAGGTCTCGTTCCAGGATTGGGCTGACAAGATCAAAGCTAGCTTCGAGAAATGCTATTACATCCCCACGGAACCCAAAGAGGACGCCAAGTTCGACGTCAACCCTCAAGTTGTCAATCGTCGTGGCATCTACAAAGATCTATATAAATCAGGCAAGGAGTATGAGGACTACCAGTTGCGGTGCAATTTCCCTATTGCCATGACTGTCGCCCCTGATCTGTTTACAGCAGAGTATGGCCTGGGTGCCCTCAAGATTGTGGATGATGTGATCCGTGGACCGACCGGCATGGCTACACTAGACCCTTCAGACGCCAATTATCGTCCTTATTACAACAATTCGGAAGATTCTACTGACTTTGCAACCTCGAAAGGCCGCAATTATCATCAGGGTCCAGAGTGGTTGTGGCCGACCGGGTTCTTCCTCCGAGCGCTGCTGAAGTTCGATCTCATGCGCAAGAATACTCCAGAAGAGAAGATTGAGGCATTCCAGCAGATTGAGCGCAGGCTGAAGGGGTGCAAGAGAGCTATCAAGGAAAGTCCGTGGAGGGGTTTGACGGAGCTGACGAATAAGGATGGGTCGTATTGTGCTGATTCAGTAAGTCTTGCCCGAAATCCTATCCCGTAGTCTTGGCTACAATTGCTAATGATGTCTTCTTTGCAGTCACCTACCCAGGCCTGGTCTGCTGGATGCATGATAGACCTGTTCCATGATGCTTCTGCCTTGGCTTCTGAAGGTTAGGGTTTGCGCATGTTGAGGAGCGGATGCTAGATTGAGCCAAGGACATTGCATACCGACCTACGATCGATTTACTCTAGGCTACTGAATGCGAGGATGAGGCACAGGCACCCATTAGACTATTGGCGTCTAACCGACCAAAAGAGCTAGAATAGAATAGAGAGACCTACAATGGTATCTTTACACGACGGAGTAGTTCATGAGACTGCTCGGATTACAATCGCCATAGTAACCACCCAAGCACTTACGTAGACACATCCTCGACCGGAGCCATTCGCTGAAGCAGCATCTGACGCAAGAGATGTTCGAGTATGAAATTGAATGGTAGATCATGTGCCATCCAAGCTCCTTGACACACTTTAGACTTTTGAGACACATGACCACTGTTTCAAGAACATTCGCACAACTTGTTGCACTAGAATCGCGAGACATTTAGCAAGACGGACGAAGTATCATGACTTGGGTATTGTTGTTGGTGTGTGTGCGGGTATTTGATGGGTAAATGGATCAAGTGAACCTGCATTCCATTCAACTCGCCATCTGTACGCCATCCACATATCTAGTGACCGCTTGACTGACGGGCTAAGGCACTCGCCCGAGCTTCCGTATCGCTTATCATCATCTTCCTTTTTCCTATCCGCAATGTTCAACATCTCGACTCCCGAGACGAGGAAGAATGCGCAAAAGGTGTACAATCAACAGGCTAGGCGGGAGGAGGAGGCCATGGCAGGCACGGAACGCATGCTCAAAGCAGCGGATGATCGGCTGAGTCGTGCAGAACAAACCGCTATAGAACTGCGGTCCCCTAACATGAGTACGTGATTTTTCTTCGACCGGGGGCGGTTTTGACCGGTCTCTTCTTCCTGGTCGTTACTTGGGAGCCATCAGGGGTTTAATTGACGTGATCAAACAGCGTGCAGTGCCGTGGAGAATAAACAGGATGCCTTGAAGGCTTATCAGAGGCATGAAAAAGTTCGCCGAGCAAGGATGACGCCGCACAGGAACGAGCTGCAGAAACGATATAACGAAGAGGCTTCTCTCTTAAGGTTCGTCGGGGACCCTGTCCACCTTCTCCCACGCAGATGGCTCGCCATCCATATCCATACAGAACTTTATTGACGAGTAGCTCTTGTTACTGACCATTCGAAATTCTCCAACAGTTGGTCCAAACCCGACGGACACCGTCTCACGCCTGACCTCTGCAAGAAAATTGCCGGTCTCAACAATCAAACCGCCGCGTGGGACAAGAAGCTCGTCGGTCCCAAGTTCTACAAGGGTAAGTATCCTGATCAATGACGACCGGGCCAGAAAGCAGCATTTGCTTCTCCCAGGCTCAGCCCACTGGATGGATGAGTGTAATGCAGAACAGAGCTCAGAGAAGGAAGAATGCAAGGTAAGGTTTGATTTTTGAGGTTTGGAAAAGACTGACGCGGTGCGTCGTCGTGTAATATTACTTGCAGATCGTCTAGATAAGATCAGGTGTAAACGAGTAGAGTCTTGGCAAATGAGAATAATAGGATCAGACAATGCCTGTTCCCATACTGAAAGAGTCTTGTGTGGTTGACTTGGGGGATATTGAAGGTAGCAGGAGACGGAATGTGTTGGGAACGGTACATGGAGAATGGTATATTCGGCAACGATATATTCGAACTAATATCTCGGTAATTATTTTAATGAAACTTCTTGATACATAAATTTAGATAACTCTTTTATTACCATGTATAATATAAATTCTTGAATCATCGGAGTTTTAACACAGTATGTAGCACCAGTACACAGCCAAATTTTGATTGTATTTGCCAAGACTTTCGGCCTGGTGAGTATACTCCGTACGGTTGCCGAATACTCCGTATATGGTTCTGAATATACCGTTCCCAACTAAATTTATGTCGTCTTGCCCATGCTCCAGGAAAGAATCCTGCCCTGTAATCTGTAAATGTTTGTCCCTTTTTTCAAGGAACAACAGCCCCTTCCCTTGTTCGTGGATGCTCTGACCATACCTAACGCCGCTCAAGCAATCCGTTACTTCTGATCCCTGAAGTTCGTCTATAACAGCTATAATCACTACTCCGGCCGAGTTGGCCTCCTCTTACTTTCCTGACCACCATGTCATTCTACATCGAGAACAAGAACGTTGGGAACAAAGAGCTTTCAGAAGACTGGCGAAGTGAGCAGCCTTCCTGCTCCCATCTTTCCATCCCCCCCAGCATAGAACTGACATCTTCCAGTCCGCGGCTACAACCCACTCACAGCACCCGACCTTCTCCAACACGAAATATCCCAAACCCCAACCTCCAAATCCACCGTCCTCGCCGCCCGTAACGCGGCTGCCTCCATAGTCCAGAACCACGACCCCCTCCACCGTCTCCTTGTCATAATCGGGCCCTGCTCCATCCACGACCCCGCCGCCGCCCTAGATTACTGCGCGCGCCTCCTGAAGCTGAAAGAGAAATACCAAGATGACCTCCTCATCATCATGCGCGCCTACCTAGAGAAACCGCGCACAACGGTGGGCTGGAAGGGCCTGATCAACGATCCGGAAATCGACAACAGCTTCCAGATCAACAAGGGACTGAGAATAGCGCGGCAGCTGTTCGTCGATCTGACGGATCGAGGCATGCCGATCGCGAGCGAGATGCTCGATACCATCTCGCCACAGTTCCTGGCCGACTGTCTCGCCCTCGGCGCCATCGGCGCGCGCACCACGGAATCGCAACTCCATCGCGAACTGGCCAGCGGGCTGTCCTTCCCCGTCGGCTTCAAGAACGGCACCGACGGCACATTGGGCGTGGCGATCGATGCGATCGGTGCGGTGCGGCATCCGCATCATTTCCTCTCGGTCACGAAACCGGGGGTGGTGGCCATCGTAGGCACGGTGGGCAATGAGGATTGTTTCGTCATCCTGAGGGGCGGGAGTAAAGGGACGAATTACGATGCGAAATCAATACGGGAGGCCAAGGAGAAGCTCGCAGCAAAGGGACTGAGCGCCAGGTTGATGGTGGACTGTAGTCACGGGAATAGTGAGAAGGAGCATCGGAATCAACCCAAGGTTGCGGCGGTGTTGGCGGAGCAGATCAGAGCGGGCGAGGAGGGCATCATGGGGGTTATGATTGAGAGCAACATTCACGAAGGTCGGTGTCATACTATCTATACTACCCTGCCCCCCCCTCTCTTTCAATCTTATGGACAAAAAGTAAGTGCGTGCGTGCTGACGTTCCTCCTAATTCAGGAAATCAAAAAGTCCCACCCGAAGGCAAGTCCGGCCTCAAATACGGCGTCTCCATCACAGACGCCTGTATCGGCTGGGAGGATACGGAGAAGGTGCTGGAGAAGCTCGCGGGAGCGGTAAGGGAGAGGAGGGAGAAATGGGCAAGGAATGGGCAGCATCAGCAGCAGCAGCAGCAGCCAACGACGAATGGGGTTAACGGCTCGTGACAGCCGCCTGAGCTGACCCGGGGCAGATGACCAAGTGAGACTCCGGCAGGACAGAGAAAGCCATGGCTGGGATGGAATGGAATGGAATGGAATTGAATGAGGAAGCGAGTTCCATTGCCCTGCATCGCATTTGCATGGACAGCCCCATCAGGGGGCTTGAGCCCCGCCCCCGGTTGCTCTGGCGTGCTCTGGCTGGTTGCGTTGATTTGAACCCGAAAACGTCAATAAATAGATTGATCCTAAATGAATGGGGTCAAGATAATGAGGCAAATGCAGATGCAGATGCAAAAGTAAAAGCAAAAGGCTTAACGGATATAGAGCTTGCGGCTGATAATGATGATGAAGACGATGACGATCTGAAGATGACAGGTGTGTAAGTTGTATAGGGGGGAGGAGGTGGTCAATTCGGCATTATATATCAGCATCAGCATCAGCATCAGTACAATGAATGCATGCCTCCAGGGATTGAAGTTCCGGAGTAGTAATTTAGTGGTAGCTCGCCAGTTACGGGACCTTGCCCCTGCCTCTGCCTCTGCCTCTTGGAGAGAAGACCAGTCTCCCTGTGCCCCTTTTGCTACGTGCATATCGAGAGCGGTTGGGGCTGTGCCATGGCTAACTCCTGTATCTTGTAGTTGTACTTGTAGTTGTACTTGTGCCCTGGAGCTAGGATCCGCCCCTGCGCACAGATCGAGAAGAGAGAGAGGGAGAGAGAGAGAGGCGCCACCAGTGCAAGCGTAGCTGGTGGTTAGAGTGATGGATCATCTCAACAGAATCAGAATGCAACGCATTGACCTATTCCCGTTTTCCTACATGCCTACTTCGTATATATGTCCAGTATGAAACACCTCCCGCCAAAAGCATGATTGATTCCATGAGCCGAGCTACATGACAACACACCCCCTGCCATACATTGCGCCCTCGACCCTCCCCTTGACGAGCAACCAATCACGCCTCCGCTCCGCGAACTCCAACACCTCCTCCACCGTGAACACGCCTCGATACCTCTCCGCATCGGCGATGATGCCCGCCATCTCCTCCGCCCCATCACCCCCCTCGATCAGATAAAGCTGGCCGACCTCGCGGAGCGCCGTGAAGTACGAGTTGAGGTCGTTATTGCGGAAGGTGGAGATGTAGGATGCGTAGGCGGAGAGGTCGGAGAGCAGGGGTAGGGCGCCCGTGGTCGAGATGCGTTGGCGCTTGAGGTGCTTGGTCAGGGTGGTGAAGAGGCGGAGGCCGACTTCGCTGCTGAAGACGTCCAGGAGAGTCTTGTCGGTGCTGCCGTGGAGCATGGAGGTATGTGTGCCCACCAGCTCGATCACTTTCTTGGCGGTAGGTGTAGGGCCAATGTCGAAATTCGGCTTGTTTGCATCCGGGTTGAAATCTGATGGTTGCTGAGTGGTGGCGCAGATGTATTCGACTTCGTCCATTAACACGTCGATCCCCTTCCCTAGGCCTGCCGCCACGCGTTCATCGAGCATTTGTTCAAATTTCTTCTTTTCTTTGACGGCCGGGTCGAAGAAGTCGTCACGGTTGGCGATGCCGAGGCGGATTACTTCCGATTCGAAGAATACGTCGAGCATTTGTTGGATTAGGTCGCCAACGTTGACGAGCTCAAGGAAGGTGGTTAAGGGGGCGACGCCTTGGCCTGGTTCGGTGGACGTGTCGGCGCCGGCTTGCCGGGGATTGTAGTCACTTAGATGGTTGACGGCTTTGTCGAAGCCGGCCTTGACGTGACGAGTGCCGAGGATTTGAAGGAGTGTTAGGTAGATTGCGGAGCATTGTTGTTTTGCGGCTTGACCGGGTGCACCATCTAGCTGTCTGAATTGAGCGGCACGCTCCAGGGAGGCTTTGGCGCGGTGGACCAGACTGAGCGCTACTTCAATGGAGAAGAGGGATCGAATGTTTTCGAGTTTCGAAGTCATAAGGGCGACTTTGGCAGCTAGTTCCGTGGTTGGAGCTTCGACCGGGAGGGGTGTGACTGACCGCAATGGATTCGATGAGACTGGGTCAATGCTAGGGGCTGGGGTAGATGATCGGCTGTCGTGCTTTTGAGTGTTCGTGTTCTCACCGTTGACCAATGGTCTAGCTGTTGACTTGCTGCTAGAGAGCGCTGGAAAGCTGGGAAGAATGTTCACAGGCATCATGACAACCTTCTTGAAGGACGACATGAAGTCCTTCTTATCAGCCTGACGATTGATATTTGACATCAAGAACGTCTCCGTCGATGCTGCTTGTTCCGACAGTGCTCGATCCCATTGCTCGACTTCTGCCTCGGATGTCTGCTTGAAGAAGGCCAGTTCTTCAGCAAGATATAGATCAAGGTGAGGTTCGAACACATCGGAGGTGACCTTGCTGGTGACGATTTGGTACTCCTCGTATCCACCTTCCGGTTTTGGTAGTTCCGAGAGCAGATTCTGCGTCTGAGCAAAAGTCCCAGAGACAGTCATGAGGTAAACTTCCATGCCACGACTATGTGCTTCATCGAACAAAGCCGTCAAATAGGGAGAGAGTACAACCTGTCCTATGTGCTCAAGTAATTTTGGAACCACGATACTAGGCGACGGGAAAACACGCTCTAGAACTGCGTATTCTGCCGAGTAGGCGGTTTGCAATCGATCAAAGAATTGCTGAGTCCGTTCAAGAGAAAGCTGGCCGTGGCCTGATGCATAATCAATGCAATCACCCGGACTGCCCAATTTGTCCTTATTCAGGGCAAGGCGATTGTCATGAACATAGAGCTCGACATTGCTTTGACCGCCATTCAATATGTGTAAGACATGAGCAAATTCTCGCATCTTGCCATCAATGTCCCCTTCCTCGTATCCCTTGCGAAATTCCAGCAGCGCTGCCGTATCAAATATCGATACGACTTCCGTCAAACGTTCTGACCTTGCATATGCACCTGGAGATAGGTCGCTCTTAGCAAATCTTTGCAATTGCGTCAATATATATGCTTGGTCCTCAGGTGAGGAGTGCGATGTGAAAACCATGCAACGCATGGGATGCTCCGCCGAAACTGCATCGTTGTAGTATGGGGCTAGTACCCTGAATACTTTGCCATACTCCTGACGCGCATGTCCACGGACCGACCGTACATGCTGCAGCACTGAAAGGTTTGGATGTTCTCCCACAGCAGCCACCGGCTTGGAGGTTGACGAGGACATGACGGGAGCTGGGTCGAAACCATCCGATACACTAGATACGTTCTTCAACGGAGGCATTCGCCCCGTCTGGGGTGTACCATTCACTGTCGGCTGCAACGTATCCACCATTTTCGGGCTAGGAGGTGGCCGGTCTGAACCATTGCCTGCCATGCTGGGATTCGTGCTTTTCCTCTTCGCAGTTGGCGTTGTGACATTGTGTGCCACGCCTCGAAGACTCTCGGCTCTGTTCCTCGCCTCCACTTCGTTCCAACAGCCCATTCTGCGTAATCGTTGGACCCATCTCGTGTCATCGTACACCATTTCCTGCATCCGGCGGGATACTCGAGCAAAGCGGATGAGGTCGGGCACAGCAAGATAGTCGACGATACGGGCGATTATCTCTAGCCACTATCAGATTGAATATCCACATTTTCCAGCGTGATGTAGTTACCTGCTGGCAATACAGGTTTGGTGTCCATCATCGAAGCCATCTTCAACGATGCCAAAGGGTCCTTGCGAGGCGCGCGGCCACCTGCCACCGGCGCCCTCTTGAAACCCGACATGCCGTTGAACAGTTTGATACATCTGGCGGACGATCGCTATCTTAACCACAGGCTCTGCAGGAGGGGTGAAGGGCTGTCCTTGCACATGTACTCTCAAAATGGCCTCTCTCAACATCTGGTCAGGGTATTGTATCTGCGCTAACCCCATTGGTCATGTACCCTTGGCGCTCTTTCATGATGCTACTACTATGGTAGTACTAACTTAGTACTCCGGTTTCACGCACCTCTTCTCTGAATACTTTCTCAGCCTTTTCGAGCCTTGTCGAAGCTGTTGCACCTAATAAGGAAGGCTCTACGCGGATGCAAAAGCCGACTTGCTGTATATAAGTGGCTGACACTGTTCGCTCGGTTCCACCAATATGTCAGGGAACATTGGCGAGACTGATCTGAGCGTTCTACTCTCAACCCTGCATTTCACAGTCCACCCCAAGGTCTTCGTCTTTGCGACTACTCCTATTGATATGTCTCCTTCACCACAGTCAAAGCTGCCACCATCAGCGATCCAGATGTCCTTCCGGGAAGCTGAAGGGACCACGGTGATTACTACCCTCGACGATCTAAAGAAATACCATCCAGATCTCGAGTATCAGTTTCCCTGTCGAATGATCACGTTACAGGTGCACTCGAGTCTCGAAGCGATTGGGTTTTTGGCTACTGTCGCCAGCAAGCTTGCCTATAAAGGGATCAGTTGTAATCCTGTCAGTGGCTACTATCATGATCATCTGTTTGTGCCGGTAGCTATGGTGGATGATGCACTAGAGGTACTGACCAAGACCGCCGAAGATGCCAAAGCTCGGAGCACGAAAGAATAGTAGATACTATGTTCCTGGTTTTTTCATTCACCGGTCCGTACAATAATTGCTTCAGCTCATCATTTGCCGGGTAGCTGCGTCCCAGGCTCTATGTTATTCGCCTTGCGACCACATATATTTGTTCGGACCACGACTAGATTTTCTCGTGATACTCTTCTTTTCTTACTGTCTGGTGGAGATTCTTGAGGTCTAAAGGTGTTGCTGCAGTTTGGGCTTTCTGGTTTCCTGTTTCATATTGGAAAACCAGGTCAGAATAGCAAGGCACACAACTGCGCACACCTTGCTCTTATTTGCGCGGTCCTGGAGAAATTATGGAATACGTCGCGGACTGGCAAGTAAAGACCGGAAGGAGACAGACAAAAAGCTCAAGATAGCTCCCCATAGCACGGAGGCAAGCAGTTAAGTTCGTTTAAACCAATATGACCACTTGGGGTCAATCTAAGACCTGCGGCAAAGAAAGAAACGTGGAGTGATGTGTTCTTCAGCTCTCAAGAGATATTGAAGATATGATGAGGAGTCTCCTATGGTACTCGGCATCAGGGAGAACTTCTATTGGTCACATAGTGTGACAGGATGCACAGGAACGGCAGAATGGCAGAACGGTCTCAAGGTGACCGGAGGTGACGAACCGCTTTACAGACTGCCACCCGATTTAGTGAGCTCCGGGAGGTATACAACGGTGGATTCTCTTTGTTTTCTGTCTGCGATGTCATTAAATCAATTAAGCACCCTCTACTGCTGTCTACCTCAAACAGACCCCGAATAGCCTCATCAAGTGAAACTACTCCTCCTTTTGCTTATGGGAACGTGAGAATCCATCGTGGTGCTTCAACCGCAGCCATTGACAGCTTGTTCTACGGTATTCATGCAGCGCTCCACGAAATTTCTACCACGAATCAGACTCCATCCATTGGACACATGCCCTACTCCATGTTTCAGCCCCAGGCCCCGCATTCAACAAGGACAATGGGAATGTCAACCTTACCTTACTCAGGAGATACTAATCCCTACACCCATCTCTCAATCCCTGGGACTAGGTAAGCAAGGACTATGACCTCTTCGGCTGAAAGCCCGGTCAAGGTTCCGAAGTCTATGATACTACCTTAAAGTAGTCAACGTACTACTCACTCTATGTAACTCCTGCTATGTTATAAGCTCATTGATGCGCCTTTTGAAACCGAGATGCGGCCATGCTTATCAGATACTTGGACCGGAGAGCCCGACAACCTGCACCGCCTACGTTTGCCCAGACCCATCAAATGAGCTGTCGCACGGTCCTCAACGACTTCCGAACTGTGCCATCTAACCCCCTCTTCCTCAGACCCCAGATCAATCTACTCCTCGTCTCCCGGCCCCTCGTCATCATCCTCCTCCAGATTCCTCCTTCTCTTTCCCGCAGCACCAGCACCAGCACCCCCACCTCCACTACCACCGCTACCATCCCCATCCTTCCTAATCGGGATCTTAATCCCCTGCTGAGCAAACGTGCGACTCAATTCCGTACTCTCTATCACACCAGGGAATTTCTTCGCGCTGAAAACTTGGAACGGGCGGGTGAAGACGGATGCGAGGACGGGCGCGGCGCTAGTGTTGAGGGATGCACCGCTGCCGCTACTAGGGGTGATGCCAGAGGAGTGGGCAGAGGCAGGGGTTAGTGGGGACGTGGGGTTGGAAGGGGAGGTTGTGGTGGTGTTCGTGTTGGTGTTGAGAGGGGTAGGGTTCGCGTTTTGGAGGCCAACGTTTACGAAGTTGAATTTGAGACTGCGTAATGGAGAGGACAGGTTAGTGGGTTCTTGGAATGGGTGTTCCTTCTCGTACCGAAAGATGCCGTCCGTACGGATACTAAGATCCTGTAAGATGAACCAGATGCCGAATTTTTTGTTTTGATCGTGCAGCCGGAATGCACTTGCGCTCAATGCTCCAATGAGATTGCGTGTGAACATACCTGTCGGTTGATGGGGAGTGGCGAGTGCTTGCTGCTGGTGAGTGAGCTGGCACGAGGTGTTAAAGATATTTTCATGGTAGGAATAATCATTGCCTACCATGTAAGACGGATGACTGGGTGAGGCATGCATGAATTGACCATTCGATTGCGGATTGTTTGGCCCGAAACCGGTATGGTTGAAGCCGTACTGCGTGTGCCCGTATTGACTGTAGTTGGATGCGACGCCGGCATATCCTTGCTGGCCGTGGGTAGAGTAGTATGGACTGGTAGGATTTTGCTGTGGGGCATTGTTGGGCGAAGCAAAATTGCTTTGTGGGTATTGATAAAAAGCTTGCGTTGCAGACTACGATAGGTGAGCTTCGAGCAAAATTTGAGACATGAAGTTAGACACACATTGGCAGTTGGGGTTTGGGGGTAGGCTACCGCGCTGGCTGTGGAAATGGATGGAGAATTGGCTGCGTGTTTCACTAGGTTGACCTCTTTCTGAGCCTCTTCATCCCACAAATCGACGGTGATCACAAAGAAGGAAATGTCGATGTCCCTGTGTAGAGCTCATGAGTTGAGAGTGCAAAGAAACAGACCCATACAACTCACTGAGCATCAATCTCCCGTCCTGTCATCGGATCCCTCACGATCAATCTGACACATGGTGGCGGCGTAATTGGTCTTCTGTCCTGCTTAGTCTTAGCACTGGGACTCATACAACCACAGATGTACATACTTTGTCGCCAAATCCGCACATCCGGGCACGAATAGGCTGCTGAGGAACCTCCAGAGCCCATTCACGTCCATCGTATTTGGTGCTCACGGCTGGGGGCTCATCCATGATGAGAAAGCCTTCTGCATCCCTCTCCATCCTGGGACTCTGTAAGGGCATTCCAGGCATTGCGTAAGGATTCAACGGTTGTGCATAGCGACCAGGCGTAGCTAATAGCAGCTGGGGGACGCCGGCTGCGCATCTGCGAAATTGATCAAGCATGATACGGTAATGGTATCGGAAACATCAAAGCTGGACGGTAGCCAGAACGAAGCAGACAACCCCTCATACTTATGTTGAATCTTTGCTCGTGCAAATTGTCATGGTCAGCATGGGCCACTGCAGATGTGACCCAGAATGTCGGGATTGCCCCCAGTCCAGAAGCTGTGGTGTGGATGGGTCGCTTGCTGCGGGAGAGAATTAGCTGCACAGCCCGGTCAAGAACGATGAAACGAAAGCTTAAGCAGTGAGCGATGGATGAGACTGAGAGGAGTGGAGCAGTAAGCAGTACTACAGAGCAAAGTGGGGCGTGCCAGCAATCAAGCTCAAGCGAGTCAAGGCATCAGAACGCCCTAGATCTCCAAGCCTCAGGTGTTCCAAGCTAGGGTAGATGATCGGGGCATGGCCCTACCAATCGGCGGCTTCTCCTACTCTGGTAGGAGGCATAACTATTGTTAGCTCCAAGCTAGAAACTTTGTATCTGACGCAGTCTTGACGGAAGTCCACCTGGGCAATTTTGATCATTACTGAGGGGTCAAGGCTTACTGTCGCTCCGGAGGGCGCTGGACCCTTGTATCGAAGACTAGTTGCTACTAGCCTATGCGAGCAATACTTGTGCCCCTTACCGTAGGATGTCATACTACGTGCGGAGTAGCAGGAACGAATTGATCTTCAACCCCGACAGGAATTCATCATAGCTCCATCCACCAGTGAGCTAGTAAACTTGGCAAGTTTGCATCCTTGTTACTAGCATAAAACCCGGCTCTCAGATCACTTTCTAGCTTAGTTTCTGCAATATAATCTCCGTGTTGTACCTCGTATGCCTGTGGATCCTCTGTAGTTTTGTGTCACACCCTTTCTCCATTGGGGCTTCTTCCAAACTGGTTGGGGCTGCTGCAATTGCATGCCTCTACCTGCTAACTTCCGCTTGTAGAGCTACGTTCTACATAGTACGTAGTAGGGTCAAGGCGCTTTTTCGAGCATGAAACGCCTCCAAACTTTGTTCAAGTCCTGCGCCCCCGGGTCCCGGGACAGGGTCAGGAAGAAGCCCGAACCAAAGGGACCCCTACGAGGCGGCTGAAAGGCCTGCCGCCTGCTTACTTGTTCGATAAATGACTCGAACGCTTTGAACCCTTGATCCTGCTGACTTCGAAACGAAAGGTGAAGAATGAGCAGAATTGCTAGATATGTAGCATACATAGAAGATAGCGTGGTGTGTTAGGTAGGACTGGAAGAGCCACCCAGGTAGTTTCTAACGGTGACCTGAATCAGCTTACCTGCTTGCCGTTGTGCAGCCTGCCCGGCCCGGCAACCAGAATGTACCGCCATGTCGTACCGACTGGTAAGAACAATCTATGCAGCATCCTAGCCGTCAACTGCTCCATCGAAACAATCTGCGGGTACATGCGTGACCCTTTTTCGTCTGCTTCCTGCCCGTTGAGTTTTGGACCTGCATATGAGGCTTGGCCTGAATCCCTGCTTTTTGCCACGTCAGACATGCGTCCCACTTGAGGTCATCGAGTCAATCGGCCGACATATGCCCGCTTTTGAACAAGAGAACGATTCATTGGAGAAGTAGGGAATACCAAGGATAATCTGTATTTGGGTATATTGCTAGACACCGCTCCGATCTATGCCGCGAAATGAAGAAGACCGTTTTCTCCCAGCATTGCTTGCGCGGGCACCGGCAAGCCAACGCCAGCCCCAACGCCAGCCCCAACGCCAAATCCGGATATCAGCGTACGTGATCTGGTAGCCATGGTTGAATGAGAAAGTTTATGCAGAGGACAACAAAAGCTGTAACTGTTCAAGGCTTGGAATCCCTGTGTCCGAAGAGCTTTTCTTTGCCTTTCTCGGCCAATTCTCGAAGATGGTCTCGCTCCTTCGAGTTCCTCCTTCCTTGGCTGGTTGCTCGAACGTGCTGATTGTGCTCCTTTGCCTGGGCCCGTTCTTCTTCCGTCAAGTGATGAATATTGCCAGCCCCCCCTAAGCAGCGCGTCAGTATTCAGGAGAGCATTGAGGAACCTGGATGTCACCTACCTCGACCGGTTTGAAAGTTCTTTTCGGCAACAAGGGGCGCGTTGGGTACGTCAACGTCCTGTCGTTCCCGTGCGAGCTCTGGGTGTTCTGGATCGTTGACAGCCATGTTGCCGGTCCCGCCTCGGCCAGTGGTATAGGTTTTGCTCTTTAATGTTGGAGTTCCCAAATCTGGCGGAGGAGCAGGATCGTGATCGGCGTGCTTGTTCGTATTACCTACCCTTCATCAGCATTTTCAAGCAAATAACAGGCTGAGGCCGCATCTTGCCTGCGCCGCCACGGCCATAGAATATGGTGTGTCGTTCCCTGTCAGCAGAATTTCGTGGCGACATCTCGTTTGCGTTAAGTGGTGACTGGATACTTGCAAGAGACCAGGTAACCGAGCTGATTGGAGCACTGAGAAGAGGCGTAGGTGAATACCGTCTGACTCAGACTCGTCACGAGTGTAGGATTATTCCTTTGTTTTATTAGTGTTTATGGAAAACAAAGTTGGAGCAAGCGCTGCCTTATGTACTGGGAGTCTGCCGTAAGGCCGCAGGTCTCTTGAAAGAACCTTCCTCTGGGCAGACCACCGGCTGCCGCTTTCACTCTCACACATGATCTTCGCACTTTTTGCCAAGTTTGACGACATTGACGGAATGGCAGAACCAGATGAGCTAAAACGTAAGAAAAATGTTCGCATTGGGCATGGTGTTCTAGGCGTGGTTTGCGCATTGGCCCCATCACCACACAAATTCTTTGTCGAAGGTTGAAAGCAATAGTCAATAATCACCTATGGTCTAAACACGAGGTACTATAGCCTGCATTTTAATAGTGATCATGTGGCTTACGCCAAGGTCAAAAATCCTGGAATTGTTGTCGATGACTTTCTAGCTTTCTACAAACCGAAAGCAAAACCGCTGGACGTCATATTCTTAGCTGACATGTAATGAGTACCTCTGGTGCAATGGTCTTGTGGTGAGAGCAACGGCATGGGGCATCTTCAATCGGTTGTAGCGCTCATTGCAGTCTGGAGTGAGCTCGAGGTCTCGCCGCCTTCAGCCTCTTCCACCCCCTTTGTCGCCTGAGCAGCCTCGGCGTTAATGGCTGCCATACGGACAATCAATTCAGTCTGAAGGCGCTTGAGCCATTGCCTTAGCGCATCACCTTCCAGAACACCATTCTTCGCCTGGGTCAGCTGCTCCCTCAAACTCAATATCAGCTTGCGACGTCGAGCGATCGGAAGGAGAGCCTTATCGTTTTTACGCGCCTCGTTCCTCTCATGAAGGGTGTTAGAAATTTCCGTGGCGACTCCGATAACACTTTCGGGAAGATCCACGACTCTAGCAAGGAGAATACCATAGAACTTTTCTTGTTCATAGCCATCAGAAATCTTGTACAACATCTTCATCTTGGAGGCATCTGGAGCAATGTCGACTGCCAGATGCAGATTCACGACACCGGCGCGCTCCTCCAAGATTCGAGGGAGATCTCGAAAGTGCGTGACAAACCAGACGTAAGCCCGACTTTCGAGAAGCGCTTCAGCAATGGCAACAGCCACTGCTAGGCCGTCAGCTGTGCTTGTGCCTCTGCCAAGCTCATCGATGATCACAAGACTACGCCGCTCAAGGTTACGAAGAATGAATGCTATCTCACGCATGTCCGCAGCGAAAGTCGAGACATTCGCTTCGATGCTGTCATCTGTGGAAATTCGTGTAAAGAGCTGGTGCGTCGTTGGAAAGGAGGCGTACTGTGCTGGAACAAAGCAGCCAATTTGCGCCATGATGGCCATCAATGCCACAGACCGGATGTAGGTACTCTTCCCACTCATGTTGCAGCCAGTGATGATCTGCAGACGATTCTGCTGAGTCGCATACACGTCGTTTGGTATGTACTTCTCCCGCTGGATTTTCTCCTTGACCGGATGGCGTCCAGCCTTAATAGCCAATGTATCAGTCAACTCTGGCCTCACATAGTCTTGGGTTGTGACTAGCTGGGCGAAAGAGGCAATCATATCGAGCATGGCAATGCCCTCGCTGATCTTGAACAAGGGTTGCACCCCCGTCCTGACATCGTTGATCAGATCTTGTATGCTCCTATCGCTCATCATGATGACTTCATTGTGGGCGTCAGCAATCTTCTGATTCAACTTCACCAAGTCGAGTGTTTGACATTCGATCTTGCCTCGGCGTCGGAAAACGTTGATGAAGACGGCTGGAAGCTGTCTTTGTTCTAGCTCTGATGTCGAGACTACAATATAAAATTGACGAGCATTGTCATATTTGATTTCTAGCGAAATTTCGTGTTCATCTAGTAGCAGTTAGTGCTTTAGTCCGAAACAAGCCTCTCCACGTACTGCCCAAAGTAACAACAAGATTGAAGGCATCTTCGCAAACTTCTTTATAAGACTGCCGTGCTACGTCGAGGAAGCCATTCACTCCAGCCTGATTATCTCAGCGCCCCTTCCGATCTTGGTTTGGCACTTGGGATGAAGAGTTACCTTGATAGCATATGTTCTTTGGTTCCTCATCTCAAGTGGTTGTACGGAGTAAGTCACATCTTCGTTGAGCGTGCTGCTGATCAGATCTTGAACCATGCGATAATTTTCGGGGTTACAAAGCTAGCACATGTGAGTTATCCCTCGCGCGAAATGCTATGCGCACACACCTCGCAAATCTTGCGCAATTCCTCGCTCAATGCTCCAGTTAAAGCTTGCCAGACCGGTTTAATTGAATCGAGGAACGTCTTCAAAGCCACTACCTGGTTTATGGAGTGTTCAATCTGCTGAATGTTGCCCTCAGATTTCGTGATGACAATCTAGACCATGGTCAACATCACTTTTGTTGCTCCGAATAGCCAATACATTGGACTAACAGAAGCCAGAAGTCGATCCGTGTCCACGAAATCTTTCATTGCTGCTGAATTAGTAGCTACTGTAGCAGTTCATTTGCTCAGCACACCTTGTCTCACTTGATAGAACATTCCTTCTTTCAGCGTTAGCTCACCAAGAGCATCATACCTCCCGTTGAGTTTTGCAGCGTCTGTAGAAGGCTGTAAGATATTACTGCGTAAAAATCGAGACCCCATCGGCGTAAGCGTCTCATTCAGAACCCCAAATAAACAATCCCTGGATTTGGCATTCTGCAGGTTTTGAATCAGTTCAAGAGAGACAATGGTCGAAAGGTCAATGAGCATAGAGCCCTCAGAGGGTTCGAATTTGATTCGAAGGGATTGTGAGCAGAAGCTGCTGCCAATGGCGAGCTCTATGTACTTCAAGGTCTGCACATGTCAGCAAGCTATCAACTGGCGTATAGGAAGCATACAGCAGCAAAACAGCAGACGGCGAAGTAGTTCCCTCCAATGGAGACCTTGAGTGATTCTAGATCATCTGGAAATGCCAATTGTTGAACGTACTCATGTCCGCTCGCTTCAGACCAGTATCTGCGGTCAATACTTTGCATCACAATACCATACCTATCTACCTCAAGATTTTCGCGAATTATTGAAAGCAGCTTAGAATCCGCAACAGTGCTCATGTAGAGTACTTCAGAAGGATTGAACACTTTTAGCTTATGACAAGTCCGGACATAAGTCTGGCTGTCGCAAATCTGACATAGAACAGCTTCTGAAGTTGAAAGGTTGACAAAAGCAAGACCAACAGTAGGAGAAATGCCACGAGATTCACTGATTGCACAAATGATGTCCTGATCTTCTATGTTGGATGTTAGTGCAGTTGCTGGTCGACGACCTTTAGATCGTCTATGGCTTTGACGACCTGTGACAGGTCGAGAAGTGATAGTCTCATCATACGTGGAATATATCTCTGTGCTCCGAGATGTAGATGGCTCAGCCATTTTTATAGCAATACGGCAGGAAACCTCAAGAGAAAAGAGAGTGATCGTACTACGTACGTAGTACTCCCAGTAGGGTTGTTTAGGCAGCTTTATGCCCGTAAAATCCGATTTTGCTTGGCATCAATCTAACTTAGAACTTTTTTGGAGTATCTTAGAGACTGATGAGTTTTTCCGTGTTCGCGCATTCCCATGAGAAAAGCTTTGCACCATGGCTACTGTCCTCCCGCCGCCGAGTAAACGACAGAGGCTTGATGCATCGGAAAGAGTAAGAGTCCAAGCTGAGCATGATGAGATACCGGATGGCCTAGGGAGCGTCAGAGTACAGTTCGTGGACCAGAGCACAGGTGGTGGGACGGGATCTGCCATTTCAGTTCCAATCGCAAATGCCACTGTAAAAAACCTGGAAATTCTGCTGAACTCTATACAAGGTAACGTGGGTAGGTCAAAGCGCCTGTAAAGCCGTCTCCGTGCTAAACACTCAAAGGATCCTAACGAAAGAATACCCTACCGCTTCTCCTTTCACTCCCCCAAGCCAGTCGTCGAAGATGGCTCAAATGTCGTCGACGTCGTTTCAGATCTCTATACTTCGGTTCTAAGGCCAGGTTTAAAGAGTACTGAAGAAATCATCAACCTTCGATTCACCCCGCAGGCGGTTTTCCGTGTTCGAGCGGTGTCAAGATGCTCAGCCTCCGTAGCGGGGCATAACGAAGCCATACTAGCAACAGCATTCTCGCCCACGTCATCGGCAATCATGGCTACAGGAAGTGGGGATAATACTGCCAGGTTGTGGGATTGCGATACAGGAACGCCCCTTCATACACTTAAGGGTCATACCAGCTGGGTGCTTGCAGTCAGCTTCTCGCCGGACGGAAATCTCCTTGCAACAGGCAGTATGGACAATACTGTGAGAATCTGGAACTCGAAGACTGGGGAAGTCCTGGGAGGCCCGCTCAAAGGCCATTCCAAATGGATTACGAGCCTTGCATGGGAGCCATTTCATATTCAATCGCCAGGCAAGCCTCGGCTGGCGTCGGCCTCGAAAGACTCCACTGTGAGAATATGGGACGTGCCATTGAGGCGCATAGAAATGGTACTGTCTGGCCATAAAGGATCGGTGACTTGCGTCCGTTGGGGAGGCATCGGCAGGATTTATACTGCATCCCAAGACAAGAGCATCAAAATCTGGGATGGGAGGCAAGGATCGTGTTTGCAGACGCTTTCAGCTCACTCGCACTGGGTAAATCATCTTGCGCTCTCAACAGATTTCGTCATCCGCACTGCGTACCACGACCATACAGGCCAAATACCCGCGACACAAGCGGAAAGGACTGACAAAGCCCAGCAGCGATTTGGAAAAGCTGCCACCTTCAACCAAGCTATCGTTGAGCGACTTGTCTCCGCCAGTGATGACAACACCATATTCCTCTGGGAGCCGGCCACTTCATCAAAGCCGATTGCTAGATTACTTGGTCACCAAAGGCAGGTCAACCATGTTACGTTCTCCCCCGACGGAGCCTACATTGCGTCGGCAGGATACGATAATCATGTTAAGCTATGGAACGCCAGAGATGGCAAATTCATCGCGACCTTGAGAGGTCATGTTGGAGCAGTCTATCAATGCTGCTTTTCTGCGGATTCGCGTCTACTTGTCAGTGCTTCTAAAGATACCACTTTGAAAGTTTGGGATGTACGGACAGGTAAGCTGTCCATGGATCTGCCTGGACATCAGGACGAGGTGTATGCGGTAGATTGGAGTCCAGATGGGCAGAAAGTGGGCAGTGGAGGGAAAGACAAAGCTGTCAGGATCTGGAGGCATTGATTGTAAACCTTATTCACCAAGTGAAGTGCACGGTATGTTAATGAGATCATAAACCTAGAGGTATCTTGTTTCAAACAAGATGTGTTCCTAGATAGGTCTTCCTCTTGCCCTAGCAGGATACACCTTTTGTGAGCGTAAGTTTAGCGCAAGTAATCAAGGCTTTCCGCTCTTCGCAACTTCCTAGACGAAGACAGACTTCAAACCGTAATAGATCGGTCTTGCTGCCACATTAGAGTGACCATACTGTGTTAGAACAAAATATAGCGACCTTTGGTAGTCGTATTTAAAGCCAAAAGGTAAACGCTCAACGCCACTTGCTTGCAGAACACCATAGTGTTCGTACAAGCAGTAAGAGAAATAGAAATTTATAGTGGACTTGATATCCATCTGCCGAGACTTGAGTGCCAAGTTCCTATAAATACACGTCGTAAACAAAAAGCCGTTCAGGCTATTCGCTCATGCCCTTGCAGCACGTGACGGATCAATGCTACCATGCGGCTACTAGTCTTCAGCATTAGCCCGAAGTCCGGGGCCGTTCCCGTCCGGTACTGGTGGCCTGGTTTTTGCTGTTGCCCTGTTGCCCTTCAAGCCATCTTCCTTGATATTCTTGAAAGTGCCCATGTAAGCCTGCTCTGCGTTCTTCCTAGCAGTATCATACATAGTATAGATCTTCTCCGCTTCTTCGTCCACGTCGAGCCGAAAGTTGGGTGTCTCCTCGTACTGCCGCTCCAGCTCTTCGATGTGTTCACGAACTCGACGAAGTTCATTCGCGTAGCTCAGAAGACGGTCCGGCAGGCCTTGACCTTTGACCCACGTCAAGCTCCCTGCGAGGATAGTGTTGAGCGTCCCAAGTACCGTGATAGCCACTCGGGGGCCAGAAGACGCGCTGACGGCTGTTACTGCTGCAGCGATGATGATCTGCGCGAAAAGTGCGAAGTTGATAAGCGATGCAGTCGTGTAATATTCGATCCTGCATTTTCTTTGAGAGTTGACCAGTTGTTCGTATGTGCCCTTGTTCTTTGCCGGCCGATCTATGCTACCATTCGAGATAGAAAGATGAGTGCTCATAGGCCAGATCCCGATTCTCCTGCAGAAATGTTCATAATTGCTAGATTGTGACTCGTTTATATTAGGTTGTTTTTCAGCCATCTTAGCCGTCGAGCGATCACACTAGACCGAGGCAGCACAGGTTCGAGGCGAGAAGCCGTGGAATGATGTTAAGGAGATGGAAGTCACATGCGCAGTGGGCAAGGCCATCAAGAGTAATCAACATTAGCTCGAAAAGGAAACAAACCTTTGCGACACAGCATCGAGGGGCGGGCGGCCTTATGAAGGATGCGAGCCAGCTTTAGCGACATGAGGCTGAAGTCACACCCCAGCTGCAAGTTCAGTGTCGAAAACAGCGACCACATCCTGCACAACTCTCAGAAACGGTGTGATTCGACGATGCTACTGGTCCTTGTCAATAGCGGAGGCATTACTGAAAGACTTGAATAATCATAGTGATGCTGGATGGAACTCGAAGCTTTTCGCATCATGAGTTGATTGAAGTGAGCACTAATCCTGATACGGTTAGTAGAGTTGGCCAACACGTACCGAATCGGGAGCGCGTCCCTAAAGTCTATCTACGTGTTACCTGCGGAACGAATCCATCAAGATCTTTCCGTCTTATGACATTCGTCTGCTTTTGTGTTCAAGAATTATGAGGACGAAAAGGAAGCGGGGCACTGAGCAATCGTCTATAGCCAAACGACTGAAAGTGTCCAGTCCTGCTGCAAAAGGTAGCGAACTTGGCCCAATATCCCACAATATACTTTCATACTGCTACTCGGAAGTCTATACTCTGCGGCAATTCTTGGTGGATAGTCTTCCCTCCACGTCAAGAACCAGAAGGCAGAATATCAGTATTCATACGCTGGAAAACGGCTCTGCGTTTCTTGACACAACTCTGGTTGGTAGATCGAACAAGACAAAGCCCGCTCATGATGAAGAGCGCCATCGAGAATTTGTTAGTTTCACAAAGTCACAGCGAAGATCAACAAACAGCAGCAATGGAACTCCTGAAGAATATCATTTGACGGAGGTGAGCTTTGACTGGTTGTGATCATTGATGTCCGCATCAGCTGCGGAGAATTACCGGCAACAGCTGTGTTTGGGCTAATGGTTTAAAAGATAGTCGACTTTGTCATATGGTCATTATTCCAACAAGGTGGTGGTAGTTCCCATCGGCCAAGTCATGTACTCTGCCATGGATATCAAAAAGCACCCCTACGAGCTTTACAGGAAGATACTGACACAAGCCCAACCGGCATCCCTGGCGTCATCTGCTTACACACGAACGAATCCACGAGGAAATTACAGCGCAGACCGTGGACGGAAATTTTATCCATATTGGGGAGCAATGGAGACGCAATCCTGCGGAATTTGCTCCTGGATTGTGGTGTGTTTGTACGTATCGATCAGGGAAAGGAGAACTTACACCAAATTTGTGGCGTACCTGTTTCGGATCTTTTTAATAAGCGAAAATTGCTTGAGCAACCTCCAAATGCGATCTCAGCTCCGTTCGTTTGGGGAGCAAAGAGCTGCACGCGCAAGTCGCGAAGTCCTAGCAGCATCACATTTGTACGCAGTCGTATTCTCTACGCTCGACCTTCTATGAATGCTCAAGGAGGTGTGCGTTTCGGCATGAAACACATACACGTCCTGAACAGGCAACCCGAGTTGACAGCCTTAAAGCAGTCAATACACATCATGAAGTACATCTTTCCTCTGCAATTTGGACTGCATAACGTTTTCACGAGTGCCGTTGACAAAAACGAGACAGCTCAGGAGTTCAAAGACTACACATTGCGCGAGAATGAAATCAAATATGCGGATCACAGAAGTATGCAGAAAATTAGGCTTGCTGCTTGTGCGAAGGATATCAAGATCCCAAAGCGGCTGCGTGGACCACCCTTTGCGATGATACAGAAGATTCGCAAGCGGCACTCGCGATGCTCTTATGATCAGCAACTGCGCCACCATTGTCCAATTCGTACCTGTGATGTTGATGCATCGCATGGTGCTGCCCTAGCATTTTCACAGTCCTCAAGCCATCTCAGAACCCAACTATCTTCGAACCATTCTTTTGTGCCACCAACCCCGGACCAAGCGGACGATGTTAGCAAGCCAGTGGCAGGAGACTCTATCCTTGCTCACGCAACACCTACCGCATATGTGTCTGCATTTTGTTGTGCAGTTATCCGGAGGCTTCTGCCTGGAGATGCTTTAGGTGTCGAAGCAGACAGCGAGCACAATTGGATCGTGCTCTTTGCCCAGATTGACCACTTCGTACAAATGCGAAAATATGAGAGCCTTACGCTACATACAGTTTTCCAAAACCTCAAAATTAATTGCATATCCTGGTTACGTCCTTTGGGAACGCCTGTGGAAGCAAAATTGTCACGATCAGATAGGGGGAAACGCCTTGAGATCTTTCTCGAGTTTTTATACTATATCTTTGATTCTCTACTAATCCCACTGATCCGTTCTCACTTCTATGTCACAGAGTCAAATATCCATCGAAATCGTCTCTTCTACTTCCGCCATGACGTATGGCGAACAGTGTCTGAACCTTCCCTCACAGACCTACGCTTCACAATGTTTCAGGGTCTACGTGCGCAGGATCTGCGACAGGCTCGCCATTCGCGCTTATTAGGACATAGTCAAGTGCGATTACTACCGAAGGCGTCCGGGGCACGACCAATCATCAATCTGAGAAGGAGATTAATTAGAACTCAGGGTGGGAAAACAATCTTAAGCCAGAACATCAATTCTAAACTCATGCCTTGTTTTGCCACCTTAAATTATGAGAGAAGTATTCAACCACAGAAGTTGGGATCTGCTCTGTTCTCGATTGGGGAGGCCCACCAGCGACTTAGGGCATACCAGAACATGGTCCAGACAAGCACTGAAAAGCTCTACTTCGTGAAGATGGACGTGAAATCATGCTTTGATACGATTCCGCAAGAAGCAGTCGTTCGTATGGTGCAAGGCTTGTTATCTGAGCGTCGATATCATATCAGCAAGCATGCTGAATTGAAAGCCATCGATAGTAGATGGTCGACTAGCCACTTCGAAAGACCACTAACAAGGTTTCCACTTACCGCACGGCCAAACGGGGCACCTCCTGGACTGTCAGACCCAAGTCTTTCTCAACTCGCACAGAAGAGGAATCGAACGGTTTTCGTGGATCTTTGGGACACGAAGGCATGCGACGCAAGGTCCCTACTAAGGTTACTTCACGAGCATGTACAGCGAAACGTAGTCACGATTGAAAAAAAATTCTTCAAACAACGACGAGGCATTCCACAAGGGTCAGTACTATCGAGTCTGCTCTGCAACTTTTTCTATGGCGAATTCGAGAACAGCCATCTTGGTTTTCTGCAACCAGGCGAATCATTGTTGCTTCGTTTGATCGATGATTTCCTACTGATCACCACAAATCAGGATCATGCCCGCCGCTTTGCACAGGTCATGGTAAGCGGGAATTCAAGCTATGGCATTTCTGTCAATCCCAAGAAAAGTTTGGCCAATTTTGAAGTCAGCATCGAGGGGCTTAAGCTCCCAAGACTCCATGGCAGTGAAATGTTCCCATATTGTGGGGTGGCGATCAATGTCAACACTCTTGAGATCAGCAAGTCCAGGGAGAATAAGGACGCAAAGGTCTCGAACGGACTGACGGTCGAACTAAGCCGTCACCAGGGTCTAAGGTTTCAGCGCAAAGTTCTTGGTTCACTCAAGATTCAAATGACAGCAATGCTACTCGACACAAAGCTCAACAGTCGATATTGCGTGTCGTCCAATCTCTACCAGAACTTCCTAGAAGCCGCAATGAAGATGTACAGATATCTTCACGGATTGCCAAAGAAACGGCGGCCCGGCGAATCGATGGTCATTGAAACCTGGAAGGAATTAGTGAACCTGGCGGTCAAAATGACACGAGGCAAGCGATCCACTAAGACGATTAGCGAGTATGAATGTGCCGTCTCCAAGACCCAGATGCATTGGCTGGCAGCTGCTGCACTTCACCTCGTGATGGAAAAGAAGCAAACGGGCTATAAAACCATCCTGCAATGGGTTCGAGAAGTAATGGATAGGTGCCAAGGAGGAATGAAGATGAGTGCGATGCAGCTGGGAGAATTAATGGAGCAGGGCGATAAGGTCTTCCAACGGTATCGTTATTGAGCCTGATATGAAAGTAAAGCCATGTGCTACTCGTTGGGCAGCTGTCAGTCCTAATGATGGTATAGAGTACTTCCTACAGTCAGTATGAAGCGAAGTACAAAGGCAAAGGCGGGGCAGCAATGTTGCACTGCTCGATGATTTGCAAGGAAATATTTACGATGTTTACGGAGTGGGGAATTTGAAGCGTAGAAGTGGTTGTTCATCCTCACTGGCGTGATTCTTGGCACACCAGCCACGGGATTTCTTGCACCAAACACTGCAATCTTTGTGCAGCCCTGCAATGGCGCCTTTCCCGGCCTTCAACTTTCCAGACCCAACAGGGAATGTGCAGTGCACTGTGAACAGTCATGCCTTCAGACCCAAGGTGCCGCTACTCCAATTACTCCAACGATAGCAGCAAGCATTACCCAGCCCTGCTGCCAGACCGGCTGCCAGACCGGCTGTAAGCTGTGGCATAAATCAATGCTTAAGTAGATCGTAGCATCCCTCTCAAAGAGCCAGGCCCAGTCCTTCACGCCTTCTTTGACTTCTCCACCGAAGATGAGAACAAAGACTACTCTTTTACCCTGCACTCAGTCACGATTCCTGAAACGACCGCAATCTTTACTACGCCGCCCTTGGCTACGAATGGCTTGGTGGCTTCGACTGCTTCGATAATCCGTCGTGACTATTAACTATCTTTAAGGCTATCCGTCATTCAGCACAGAAATTGTGAGTCCATCGAACTGTCCGACTGGGGAGCGGAGCAGTGGCAGCCATCAGCGGTCGGCATCGGCTAGAGCAGGAACTCGCATCTACGAGCGGTTGTGTCTATCGTCTCAACTCCCCAGGGTTTGCTTGAGACCAACCAGCAATCTTATCCGACGTGCCACATAGAACGAGCTATTATTGTTGACGTGCTTCCGTTGCCTTCTGAGTCCTGGGTAAGATTGCTGTGCAGGATGCAGGGATCGACGGCTACTCCACCTTGTGAATCTGTCCAGTCATGGCTCGATTTGCGCCCAGAGCAACGGTCTGCGCCTGTAATGAGCCTATCATTTACCTCCAAGCTACCAGGGGCAGGCCATTTCTCGCAACCATCCCATGCGGCTATTCAAGCTTTGGATGACCTCCACCGCTGCCAAGTCGACCTCAACCATCATCATCATCACCAGCAACACCCTGACCTCGTCGGCTCTTCGCCTGTACATACTGTCGAGGGGGAAGACGATCTTTCCATACACGGCTCACACTCGTTTGCATCTCTTCTCGGCGGACCTGTCGATCTCTACACGGCCAGCGCTGGCAGTCAACTTTCCGACAGCATTCAATTCGCACATTTCTCCGATAGTCTTACAAAACGCAATCCTTACCAAAGTGTCATTTATCCTGCACCTTTACCATTTACGACGCCATATCAACGATCCTTGACTCTCAACCAACCCATTTCTAGTCATGAGATGACGACCACAATCACCGCGCCCGGTTCTCCCCCGGAGCTTTCAGGGTCAAGGTCTTCGAAATCCTCCTCCTACCAGTCTTCACACCTCGATGGTCCTGACGCAATCACGAATGATGTTTCGAACTTCGAGGAAATAGGTCTCGAGGAAGACGCAGAGGAACCATGTGCAGAACCAGCTGCATGGAAGCGGAAGGGGCCTGCGGACAGATCAACTTCTCGTGTCTCCTTGATGAGTGCACAGCCGCTCATGCCTGCACGGGATCTAACTACTCATCACCAAAGGCCGACATACCCCAGTTTACAAGGTCAAATTCACCATGCGCTCAACAATACGAAAGTCAATGGGCCAGGCCTGCCCAAAGCTGGAGGTGCATCAGCAGGAGGATTAAAACGGGGTTTCACTGCACCGCCAACCACAACACTGCCAATGCTTATACCAGGCTGTCCGCCACGGACAAGATCGTCATCGCCATCACCGAAGCACCCTGCGTCAGCATCTTTTGCCATCACTGGCCACAATATCAGAACGGGACCACCGAATAGGTCTGCTAAGCCACCGAGTCGGCGGGGATCATGGCAACCATCTCGGAAAACCATCAAAGAATTGGAAGCCGAGTATCATGATTCAGATGACGAACTGCCGATCGACGCCAGTCTCTGGAATGTCCCAATGTCTCCACGCCCACCTACTGCTCGTTCCTCCTCCGCAAGGTCAAGCAAACGTGGCTCCCCCGAAAGGGATGCCATTAGCAACGGCCCTCGACCAATCCCCCTGGCGCATGCCGCGTCCGCTCCAGAATCACACCCTCCTCTTCCCATCTCCCAATCTCTTCCCCGAAACCAACCGCCTCCTCGAACTTCGTCGCTCCAGGCTGCTACCTCTGCAGCCAATTCACCTATTTCGTCAAGCGCTCCTGGCTTCTTTGGTGATACTCGCTCAAAATCATGGACACTTGCAATGGCAGATCTATCTGAGGAAGCTCGTGTGCTGACGGAGACCTTGGAGTCTCATGCGGACGAGAAGGGCAGATTGCACGAAGAAAACATACAGAATGGCGTCAAGTCATCTCGTCCGAGCCTCGAATCGAACGCATGGCGCAGTGCACGTGGTAGTGCTGTTGAACTGCCCCCAATACAGAAGGGGAATATCCTGATAGATCCCATGCCTCTGAGCAAAGAAAAGGAAGCCGTGCTGACCAGGACGCGACCTTCTTGGTTGCCGCCCAAAGATCCGAAAGAAGAAAAAAGGCATCTGAAAGAGTATCAACGAATGATGGCAGCAAGCCTTGATGCTGAAAAGAAGAAGGAAGACAAGGCCAAATCACGGCAATGTGAGAAGGACGATACCCGAGAGGCGTTGGATCGAATCTGGCAACAGTATGTGTATCCGGATTGGGACCGGGTCACGCACGAACACCGTACTAGAGAACTGTGGTGGCGTGGTGTTACCCCTAAAGTCCGGGGACAGATCTGGCTGCGTGCGGTTGGAAACCCTTTGGGGCTAACGCATCTATCGTATACAAGGGCTCTTCAAAGGGTCAAGAGTCTGCGAGCCAGACCTGTAGAGGGTCTGAGCGAGAAGGAGCGGTCAATGCGCACGTGGTATTCAGATATCGAGAGGGATGCCGAGTTCGCGTTCCCTGAACTGAACTTGTTCCAAATACAAGGGCCCATGCGGCAAGAGCTGATAGATGTTTGCTGTGCCTATGTCTCGTACAGAAATGATGTAGGGTACCTCTATGGCATTCAGGTAAGCTATTCCCTGCGAGAATCGAGAGGCAGTCCGCTAACGAGACGGACTAGCTGATTGCTGCCCTAATGCTGCTTCAACTCCCTGCTCCAGCTGACGGCTTCATTCTTTTGGCCAACTGCCTGAACGGGCCCTTGGCTTTGGCATTTCTCACCAATGACTCTAGCTCAGCCACAAAAGCTCTACAGCATGCAGACTCGACCCTCCTCTACAAACTTCCTAGGCTTCATAATCATCTGTTCCGTTCGCATGAGGACGGTGGTCTCGGCATGCATCCGGCCGAGGTTTTTGAAGCCATGTTCCGCACCCTTCTCACCAATGGCCTAGACGTCGAAAGACTCGTGCGAGTGTGGGATTGCTTTGTTTTTGAGGGTGATAGAATTATCACTCGTGCTGCTGTTGCTCTGCTTGGCTGCCTGCAAGCACAGATTTTCGGCTTCGAGGGCTCGCCGCAGGAGAAGAGGAGAATGGTCAAGGAACTATTGGGTTGGGGTCCTACAGGAAGAGTGCATGGCTACTGGCACGTGCGTGGAGATGCGGATTCCTTCATGGCCGATGTGAAGGAGGCAGGAAAAGTTAACCTGGGAGAGGAGTAAGGATTGATGGGATATTTTGCTTCTCTTTTCGGCTTGGGTTTGAGAGTATCATGGTTTGGGCACGTTTGAGTTGCAGTCCCCCTGGTCTTTGGGTACGGTTTAGCTGATCAACTTCTTGCTACGAGGATGCGGATGATGCGTGGAAGATGGCCATCTCGCATTTACAGATTCGTTGGAGGCCATCGGCTGGGTTCCGGGGTGAAAGCACGTTTCCAGATGTACAAATGTGGTGGAGACGGAAATGGAACATCATCAATACATAGACCGGTATGGATTATCCAATCTAACCTGAGCTTAAGCATCGTATACATATCCACATGTAGCTGTCAGTGATCGGAATCTGTGCTTCATTACCGAGTATCCATCTCGCCATCTGCTGAACTGGGTCACTTCGTACTAACTGCTACTGTACATAACCGTGCACTTTCAGTTGCACTAAGCTTTGCAGCTTAGTGCACCGCAGCGCAACGAAAAATCGCAGCGCAACGATAAATTTGTTCAATTATTACATACTGTCGAGGGGGAAGACGATCTTTCCATACACGGCTCACACTCGTTTGCATCTCTTCTCGGCGGACCTGTCGATCTCTACACGGCCAGCGCTGGCAGTCAACTTTCCGACAGCATTCAATTCGCACATTTCTTCTTTTGTGCCACCAACCCCGGACCAAGCGGACGATGTTAGCAAGCCAGTGGCAGGAGACTCTATCCTTGCTCACGCAACACCTACCGCATATGTGTCTGCATTTTGTTGTGCAGTTATCCGGAGGCTTCTGCCTGGAGATGCTTTAGGTGTCGAAGCAGACAGCGAGCACAATTGGATCGTGCTCTTTGCCCAGATTGACCACTTCGTACAAATGCGAAAATATGAGAGCCTTACGCTACATACAGTTTTCCAAAACCTCAAAATTAATTGCATATCCTGGTTACGTCCTTTGGGAACGCCTGTGGAAGCAAAATTGTCACGATCAGATAGGGGGAAACGCCTTGAGATCTTTCTCGAGTTTTTATACTATATCTTTGATTCTCTACTAATCCCACTGATCCGTTCTCACTTCTATGTCACAGAGTCAAATATCCATCGAAATCGTCTCTTCTACTTCCGCCATGACGTATGGCGAACAGTGTCTGAACCTTCCCTCACAGACCTACGCTTCACAATGTTTCAGGGTCTACGTGCGCAGGATCTGCGACAGGCTCGCCATTCGCGCTTATTAGGACATAGTCAAGTGCGATTACTACCGAAGGCGTCCGGGGCACGACCAATCATCAATCTGAGAAGGAGATTAATTAGAACTCAGGGTGGGAAAACAATCTTAAGCCAGAACATCAATTCTAAACTCATGCCTTGTTTTGCCACCTTAAATTATGAGAGAAGTATTCAACCACAGAAGTTGGGATCTGCTCTGTTCTCGATTGGGGAGGCCCACCAGCGACTTAGGGCATACCAGAACATGGTCCAGACAAGCACTGAAAAGCTCTACTTCGTGAAGATGGACGTGAAATCATGCTTTGATACGATTCCGCAAGAAGCAGTCGTTCGTATGGTGCAAGGCTTGTTATCTGAGCGTCGATATCATATCAGCAAGCATGCTGAATTGAAAGCCATCGATAGTAGATGGTCGACTAGCCACTTCGAAAGACCACTAACAAGGTTTCCACTTACCGCACGGCCAAACGGGGCACCTCCTGGACTGTCAGACCCAAGTCTTTCTCAACTCGCACAGAAGAGGAATCGAACGGTTTTCGTGGATCTTTGGGACACGAAGGCATGCGACGCAAGGTCCCTACTAAGGTTACTTCACGAGCATGTACAGCGAAACGTAGTCACGATTGAAAAAAAATTCTTCAAACAACGACGAGGCATTCCACAAGGGTCAGTACTATCGAGTCTGCTCTGCAACTTTTTCTATGGCGAATTCGAGAACAGCCATCTTGGTTTTCTGCAACCAGGCGAATCATTGTTGCTTCGTTTGATCGATGATTTCCTACTGATCAGCTTAGTGCAACTGAAAGTGCACGGTTAGTAGTTAGTGTGCTCCTGAATTACTAGTATGCGAGTATAGAGGCTTGGCACGAATCCTCGGTTAGCAAGCTTGATGGGTTCAAGATCTTTTGTTTCACTTGAACTCCATGGGATGAATTTAACACCCCTTAGCAAAGACAACATCGGACTTGACCATACATACAGAGGAAGACTTACGGACCTACCTACCAACCCTTACTCGATACCTTTAGCGTACGCCGACAATATCGATTAGAGTCGCAAATTCCGCTTTCAGGCAGAAAAATCTCCCGACCAGCTCTTCGAAGGGCCACTCAAAGCAGTGTGCTATCTGTCTACGGCTGACTTTTTTTGATATGGCGTCGCAAATCTTGCCGCTTGGTCAGTGCCTTGTGAATCACATCATTAAGCATGCGCCCACGTGGGTCTCCGTGAAGAAGGTTGACTGACATAGTAGATGCTTAACAGAACTAATAGACAAATGCGTTGGATCGAGGATATGGGTTGTTATGAAAGGCGAGAAAGGTAATTTGCTATTTCACAATCCGCTCAGTCAATTTTTCTCACTGCACTGCTGGGAATATATGTCCCTCCTAGGAGTCGAGGTATCCCCTTTCGAGAACGCCTATGGCTGACTTATCTCCTCTCACACAGAGTTTGCAGGGACTCTACTGGGATTCGATGACTATGTCAGTGAGTATATTTGGCGATTAAGCCGATGTGTCATCCGTACTCACGTTTTCTAGATATGGTTCTCGAAGATGTGACCGAGTTGTGAGTTTTGTCACGGCATCTTTTACAGACTCAAGGTTCAACCATGACTGATTGATGTGGCGGGTGGTAGTGACTACACGGGCTCGCAGACAAAGCTGCCAAAGATATTATTGAACGGAAACAACATATGCATGGCATGTTCCCCCTCCAGTGCGCCAATGAGCGGCTGCTAACAAAGAACATCAGCTGATTCCAGGAGGCGAAGGGCCCATTGCTGCTGCTTCATGACACATCGCCCGTTTGGCCGAAGCGATGCCACAACGAGCTTGCATTTAAGAGGGCTTCCTCTGCTTCGCCCACCGCTGAACTGCTGAGCCATCTAAGAAAGCAAGTCCACTACAGAGAGCGACTTATTCGCAACTGAATGAGAACCCTTCCTTCTTATGCACTACAACTCCGAAAGCTGAATGTCACCCTGGCGGCTTGCCGAAGACTACATGCTTTTCAGAGTACCTTCCGACTGTCTTCTTTAGAGCAAGCATCGCATCGTTCGATATCTCTTTGATGATTTCTTCAGCTGACTTTACCTCCCTGACCAACCCTATTCCTGTGCCAGCATACGTTGTCATTCTCCCTTCTGCACCCCATCCCTCGTCTCCTTTCTGCATCTCTTCCCTGTACAGCTCTCTGTTCTCGTCCTCTGACATTCCTGCTTGAGCATCAAGATAACTTCGATTGGCTACCCCTCGGCCGTCGTACGCCTTTGGCCAGTCCATGATGCCTCGCAGCACATCATACAGCGTAGAACGGACCGTGCTAACACCGCCATCACGGACTCGCACAATTTCATTCTGGTAGCCCTTGGCAATCGTAGCTTCTTTACAGGCAAGGAATCGAGTACCCAAGGCTACTCCAGACGCGCCCAAAGTTAACGCAGCTGCCACACCTCGGCCTTCGCTGATACCTCCAGCGGCAATCACCGGAATCCGGAGCCATTCATATGCTAGAGCATCAACAACCTCTGGTACTAGAGAGATTACGCTGGCTGAATGGGCCAATGCATGTCCGCCGGCATCGTGGCCCTGCAGCACCAACACGTCTGGTTTCGTGGTCTTGGCTACCTCTAGCGCCTGGCCCACCGACCCAACCTGTACCCAAATCTTGGTCCTGCCGCCCGTGGCTGCCCTAATCTCCTTTGCCCAAGGTAGCAGATCTGACAACCTTCTCGGCGCAAAGAACCAGGCTGCTGCAGGCGGATGCTTCTGGATTGCCGCTACCGCGAGCTTAAGATCACTACCCCAATTCTGGAACCCCACCCCAATAGGAAGCACGCCTTCAGGACCACGGATGTTAGCACTCTCCAACAAGCTAGCAGCTTCATCGAGGTCAGCGTCCAGATTGGCAAGGTCGAAGCCGCCGGCGAGGAAGCCGAAACCACCCGCTTTGGAGCCGGCGACGGCAAGAGGAGCCATAGTGATTTTCATCATTGGTGCCACTACTAGGATGGGAGTGGAAAGCCAGGGATAATGAGAGTGGAGGATTGATTCCATCATCTCAACGACGTGGATTCACTGGTCTTTGATGGATTATCTGCTGCGTGTTGACGGGGGAAGATAGAGACCAGAAAACAGACTTAATGCCACTCGTTCTCACGCGTTTGAGTTGCGTTCTAGATTAGTAATCCTAGGCTAATCTCCCTGCGTATCAAGCAAAGGCGTTGCTGTCTCAGAGTCTAGCACCATGGCCAGTACTCGAGCACAACTTGGATAACTTTGGGCAGTGGGGGTTGTCCGATCTGACTCAGCAAGGACCCTGAAACGCCAAGAGAAGAAGGGTCAGAGAAGAAGGGTCTGCATCACTACTACCAAGTTGTACTAGCCGTACTTAGTAGCAGTCCCCACCCGTCTATCTTGGAGTACTAAGTAGTATTACTGACTTCTAACTTAGTACTTAACTCTCTCATCCTCATACTACGTGTAGCGGTATACTCTCCATATAATATTTATACCACTCTCCTTAATCCGTACCCTTGCTGCTCTTACCGATCTGTCTGGCGTGCTCTCTCTTGCATTTATCCAGCCTCCTATCGCCCCATAATTATCATCTGAAGTTTGTGCCGTCTACCCCCTTCCCAACGACCTGTCGATGTGAGGAGTATTTCGGAAGAGGAGGCCTTAGTACAGGTTGTGTTTTTTGGATATTCAAGATGACGAACAAGCCCGAGCCGTAAGCATTCACGTTTATTGTTCTGACTCTATCTTCCTTGTGCTTTGGGGTCCTGCGCAGGGGGGACTTGCTTGTGAATGTAGAATATGACTTTCCTCTCCTTTCCTCTCCTTCCCCTCCTGCCACCCTCATAATCCTGCTACATGTTTCCACCAGCCAGCCCGCTGCCGCCTCTCTCCATCACATCAGCTTTTCATCCATCTCTTCTTCAGTTCATCACACAATGGCACCTTCCCCAGACCACACCATAGAGGAGACTGCAGATGCATATGCCCATCTGCATCTACAGCCACACGAGAAGACTTCGCCGAACACGGTTCCACGTTCTGCTCATACGCATGCTTCTCAGCAGGCTGTGAACGTGCCAAGCCCGTAAGATGCAATCTGCATGATGTGTTTGCATGTGTTTCCCTGCCCGTGCCAGTACAGCGTCTTTGACCAGTCTGGTTGTTGTCTGCTCCGTTTGATTTTGCTGGCCTGTTAGCAAATAAATACCGTCTGCTCTCGTGAGATTCTTGTTTTTCCAGCAACCTCTGTACCTCCTGCATAGTTATCATGTCTGAATTCGATGACCCCGATCCCTCTCGAAATGAACGCTTGAGCCCGTATCCTGAGCGGGCTCGACCAAAAGGAGCCGCTTCTGGCCCAGAGCATACTAACGAAAATACCTACGATAGATTCGAGCAGTTTCTTTTGGCAGAGGGCGAGAAGAAGGTGGAGATGACATTGGATACACGTTCGTTCTTCCTCCCGCCTGATACTTGGGGCTGCCCGGCTAACGTCTTCTCAGGAATGCCAAATACATGTATCTTCAAGTTTAACAAGGAAGACCATACTTTGGGTAACCTCTTGCGCGCTCGACTACTTCAGGACCGTCGCGTCACCTTCGCCGCCTACAAGGTTGGTAGCATCCTGGCGCTTGCCTTGAAGGAATGCTGCTCAGATAACACAGGTTCCTCATCCACTCTTTCCCACGTTCGAGCTTCGAGTCCAAACCGATGGCTCTCTTTCACCCAAGGAAGCGCTTCTCCAGGCCTGTCGAGACTCCGTCAGTGATCTCAATACTCTGAGCAGAGAATTCACCAAGGAGTACGAGCTGAGGAAGATGGTCAATGAGGGAAGGGAGAATGGTATCTAGGCTCTGGAGAATCATTGGACGGGCATGGAGCGGCGTCTTTTGGAACATGCACCCATCAAAACGGCTGAAAGGCGTACATGTGGACCAGGGCCATGCGACCCCACTGTTCACACTGTTCCCACAGAACGGTGCTGCTATTAGTACGAGTCTAGCTTCGTGTTGGTAGGCGCTCTTGTAACCGAGTTCATAGTTTCTAGCCTGCCCACATCACCTTCAGCGCGTGTTCTTTCAGCTAGATGATTATGCTGTAACAGTATGGCGAAGCCCTTTCACCTCTGAGTGGAACCATTGCCTTGCCCATTCTGTGCTAGTCAGTGCGTAGCGCCGACGTAAGTAACCAGGTCTGCCAAGGAAGCGAATGTCCAGCAAGTTTCGAGTCCATTTGTCTCCCACCTCAATGTACTCCGACTCCTCCATCTCCTTCCCTTCCTTTTGATTGGCATTTCAGGGTTCGTGGGTGCGACATGTATTCATCTTCAAACTCTTTCCTAGGAGGTGCGAACAGCGCGCGTCCAGGCCCCGGCCCACTTGGCCAGCAGCAGTCCTTCTCCAATTTCCAGCCAATCCCCCAGCAGCCGCAACAGCAGCAACCACCCTTTGCGTCTCAACCCACCGGCTTCGGTGGAAGCTCTATACAGCCACAGATAACGGGATTCCTGGGTCCGGGCCAACAGCAGAGCTTCCAAGCCCCTCCTCAACAACCTCAATTCACTGGCTATCCGCCCCAGAACCTGCCCCAACAAACAACCTCCTTTCAGCAACCACGCCTGCAGCCTTTTCAGCCTCAGCAGCCGCAACAGCCACAGCAGCCTCCAGCAGCTCCTCTGAAGCCTCAGCAGACTTCTTCGCAGATCGCGCAATCATTCAGTACGGGGTCGGTTCCGCATGCTTCGACGCAGGCGCAGAGCAAGCAGTCAAACAAGATTCCCAACATTAGACTGTCCTTCATAACTGCTACCGACCAAGCAAAGTTTGAGCAGTTGTTCAAGAGTGCTGTAGGGAACGGACAAGCCTTAGATGGCGAGAAAGCGAAAGATCTGTTACTGCGCTCGAAGCTTCCAGGCAATGTGCTATCACAGATATGGATTCTGTCCGATACCACCAAGTCGGGCCAGCTTTTATTCCCAGAGTTTGCGCTCGCAATGTATCTGTGTAATTTAAGCCTGACTGGCAAGAGTCTGCCGTCATCCCTACCAGACAAGGTCAAGAATGAAGTTTCGAGTATGGTGGACATAATCTCGTTCAATGTTGCGGATGATCGAGCTGCAGCCGCAACACCCCCTTCCAATGCCCCCAATTTCGAAGCACCGCTGCGACAAAATACGATATCACCTCCTGCACCACAGGCGCCTCAACCGCAGCAAGCATCGAATCAGCAACTACTCACCCAGCTCACCTCCCAGCCCACCGGCTTCTACAACCAAGCGACAGGTTTTCAGCCAAGCCTTCCGCCTCAGCAGCAGCAAACGGGGTTCATGCAGAACCCACCAGCGACCGGCTACAGTGGTCCACGACCTCCAATGCCGCCGATGCCTAGCTCGTTCGTGAACAGCATGTCCCCACAGCAGACAGGAAGTGGCCCGTTACAGGCTCAGCCGACTGGAATGCCCGGCCAATGGGGCTTTGTCAATGCCCCGTCGACAGGACTGCCCAACATTGAAGCGTTGCAGCAGCGCCTTATGCCGCAAGCAGGGCGAGAGGGAGGTTATACAACGCAAGGACTATCCGGTACGGCGAAGGTGCCCTGGGCTGTCACAAAGGATGAGAAGAGGATCTACGACCAGCTTTTCAGGGCCTGGGATGGCTTCAACAAAGGCTTCATATCGGGTGATGTGGCGATTGAGATTATGGGCCAAAGTGGTTTGGACAGGAAGGATTTAGAGGCTATTTGGACCCTCTCTGATCCCAACAATCGAGGTCGACTTGACATGGATGAGTTTGCGGTGGCAATGCATCTGATGTACCGGAAATTGAACGGTTACCCAGTACCCAGCCGCTTACCACCTGAACTCATACCGCCGTCAACGAGGAACTTCAACAATTCAATTGATACCGTCAAATCCCTACTATCGCAAGACGCAGAGTCACGGAAGTCTTCCGGTGCATTTCTTCAGCCCCAGCGGACTGGCGTCAGCTATCTTAAAACACATTCCTTCCGGAGTGGTTCAAGCTCACCCTCGTTCGGTCGCAAAGACGCAACTGTATTCAGGAACAACGACGACGACATTGGCTACAAGTCTAGCGCTCGCCGACGAATTGGCGCTGGTGGACGGACGCCTTCGCCGTCCCATTCGGACGCGGGAACATCCGATGCGTCCTACGACGACATGACTCTTGATCTGATTCGGAAGAAGATTCGTGAGAAAAGAATCCTGATTGATGCTACCGATTTCAAGGACGAGAATGCAGCTGATGAAGATGACGTGCTGGATCGCAGAGACAGACGGGAAGCGGAAGACCTGTTCAGACAGATCAGAAGACTTCAGGATGATATTGACAGCCACCCCAACTCTGCATTTCATTCTTCGGACTCTGGCGCAGAACGACGTTCCATGCGCCGAGAACTACAACGCTACCAAGACCGAATACCGTCGCTTGCGTCAGACGTGCGCAAGTTAGAGAGAAGTATTGTGGAGGCGAAGCTGGAGTTGTTCCGGTGCAAGGATGCCAGGGCTCATCCAAACGCCATGGCTAATATAGTTGGTACTGGCCCTGGTGGTGAAGTAACAGAAGGTGATCGCATCAAGGCTCGCGCCAGAGCCAGAATGCAAGCGAGAGCTGCTGAGTTGTCTGGTCGACCTGTGCCTGCTGCCGATGATGAAGGTGCGGCGCAAAGAAGGCTCGAAGAAGAGAGTTCTCGTATTAGAGCTGAGCAAGAACGGAACGAGCGTATGGCCCGTGATGTGGAGGACAGCGTCAAAGACTTTGCATCTGCTCTCGAAGATGGTCTACGGGATCAAGGCGAGAGCGCATCCCAGGAGCATGAGCGCAGACGCTGGGAGGAAGCTTTAGGGGTTGAGAACGAGGTTAAAGACCTCATCTTCGACCTGCAGCGTGGCAGCAGAACCGCACGCGTTAGGAAGGACGAGTATGTAGGCTCTTCAAACACCGATCGTTCTCCGACTAATCTATACAGACAAAATTCCAGAGACACTCGAACACCATCAGCTCCCGTTGATGAAGGGAAAAGGGCGGCTACAAATGGAAGCCTTCCTTCGAGATCTGTTGCTCCACCACCTCCTGCATCCTCATCCTCATCCTCCTCCTTGACCACCGGCAACAGCCACCAAGATCGTATCGCTTCAGCTAAGGAGAAGGCTTTGAAACGCATTCAAGACCGTATGGCTGCAGCTGGACTGAAACCAGCCGGTGAAGCAGGAGGGGAAACCCTCCAGCAACGACAGGAAAGGGAGAAGCAGGAGCGAGAAGAGCGGTTGAAGCAAGCAGAAGCTGAAGATGCCAAACGCGAGCAAGAAAGACAGCAACGCCTTGCTAGTGAAGGTGCCGCGCGATCGCCCTCGTCTGCCAAACCCAGTAGCAAGAAGCCTCCTCCACCGCCGTCGAGGAAAGGCAGGCAAGACAGCGTAGACCTCAGCAACGACAAGAGGGCGGCTGATGCAGCTGCCAAGGCCAAGGCGGACGACGAAGCAGCACAGGAGATCAAAGCAGAGCAACAGGCACAGGAAGCCACGCGTAAACAGATTGAGTAGGTGCACGTCAGGCGAACTTATGTATTCATTTGCTGACAGCTTACAGGCTTGAGACGAAGGCAAAGGAGGACGACTTTGAGAGAGAACAAGAGGCTGCGCAAGCTCGACTGAAGGCTCTCGAAGAACAAGTGCGGCAGGGCAAGATCAAGAAGCAGGAAGAGAAGGCCCGAAAGAAGGCGGCTGAAAAGGAAGCCAAGGAGAAAGAGGCCAAGTTGGCAGCCCAACGAGCCGAGCTAGAAGCCGCCCGAGAAAGAGAAAGACAGTTACAGCTCCAACTCGAGAGCCTCGGAGACGACTCGTCCTCGGATGAAGAAGGTCCGCAGGAAATCACTCCGCAAGATACCACACCTTCGACGAGCCAGGTCTTGCCGACCACTGCCTCGATGCCCGCCCCAGCACCGGCTCCCGCTCCTCCTGCTCCTCCCGCTCCTCCTGCTGCATCATCAACGAGCAGCAGCGTGCGGGAGGCGACCCCACTGAGCAGTCCGCCAATGACGAACTCCACACCTGTGGTCGAGCAATCTAGGAATCCATACTTCAAGAGGAGCTCGGTGTCTTCAGAACCGGGGCCCCCTGCCGCTGCTCCGCCCGTGCCGCACACGCAGCCGTTCCCGCCACCCGCTGCGGTTTCCTCTACGAATCCATTCCACCGTGTTGCTCAGCAAGAAGCGGCTAAGCCGATGGTGCCCACATTCACAGGAGCGCAGTCGCGCCGGCGACAGGAGAGCGACGAGTGGTCCAACGTCGACAGCGACAAAGATGATAGTGACAATGAAGATGAACCCCCGGCTGGGGGAAGTGCCAAACACCTGGCCAGTATTCTGTTCGGAACCATGGCACCACCTAGACCTCTTTCGGCGCAGGATAACAGCAAGCCAGCAACCCCTGTCCAGGATGCGCCTTTACCCCCATCCACAATGCCTGGCTCTTTCGATGAAGCAGAATTTTCGGAAGTCTCTCGCTCACCCCAAGTGCCCGATAACACGCCTTCACCGCTCGCTTTCCCGCCTCCACCACCACCCATGCCTAGCACTGGCGCGCCAAGTGCGCCCCCACCTCCACCACCCCTGCCCGAGAGTGGTGCTCCGGCAGCTCCTCCACCTCCTCCACCACCTCCTCCTATGGTGCCGCCTGCGCCAGGAACTACTGTTCCACCCCCTCCGCCCATGCCAGCGTCTGGTGCAACGCCTGGTGGAGGTGGTGTGGGAGCGTTGCTTGGCGAGATTCAGGCTGGGAAGGGCTTGAAGAAGGTGCAGACGAAAGATCGGAGTGTTTCTGCTGTCGCTGGAAGGGTGTTGGATTAGGTTCGGTGAGCTCGCTGTATGTGTTGTATCCGGTAGGGTAGATGGTTCGATCTGAGCATTGTATCATATTCCAACCATAGATTTAAGATTGAAGCCTTCTGAGATGGACATGAGCAAAGGCGAAGATTCGCCACGGGAAAACGAGATCCTGGATCATGTAGAAGCATTCTATACTATAGTACTGGTACTACCAGTATGCAGTGTGAATGGAAGCCCTCAGCTTGGAGTTGAGGGGTGTCTACGTAGTACTAGTAGTAGTAAGTTAGTTAGAATGGCTTGGCCCATGGCCCCATCCTTAGTTACAAACTAGTACTATAGTAGTAGTAATACGGAGTACTACGTAGGTGAGAAGTGCTTTGCGTGTGTGGTCTGGGCAGTCCACCGTAGAAAGTAAACAATCACTGTGGAAATGAAGCCGTGACGTCCAGCGACAAGTACGCGATCATTTCAAACGAGTGGTCCTGCAACAGATCACTAAACTCGCTGCACACTCCTGAAATAGTGTGTGACGCGGTCTAAAGTACGCGAAATGCCTCGAGTCGCCAATCAGCCCACGGGCAAGAGCCGGACAGCCACCCAGCAAACACTGGCCACGCCACAAAACACCTCACCCGTGAAGTGCGTAATGCACCAATTCTCCTGGCAGTGACTGTTATACTAATACTATACCACCTGTTCAGACTGCTCCTCAACGATGACCGCACCGAGAAAGCAGCGCGGCTACAATCTCGACAAGCCCTGCACGATATCCAGATGAACCAGATCAGAGCCGCCGCATCGCCGATGCGCAAGATGAACGCACACGAGAACAAGCGAGCCGCAAGCTCGTCTCCGCAGACACCACGCTCCGCCGCCGCTCTCGCACGAGACAGGGACCGGGGAAAGGGAAAAGGGAACAACGACCCCCCGGGAAGCCCCGGCATGCTGGACGTGGTCTCCCATTCCGCCGTCACGCCCATGAAGCGCGTGCCCATCCTGGCCAATTTTGAAGAGTGGATGAAGATGGCGACGGATAATAAGATCAACGCGGCCAACTCGTGGAATTTTGCCCTTATCGATTATTTCCACGATCTGAGTCTGCTGAAGGAGGGGGATGGGGTCAATTTTCAGAAGGCGAGCTGTACGCTTGATGGATGCGTCAAGATTTATACCAGTAGGGTCGATAGCGTGGCGAGTGAGACGGGGAAGCTGTTGAGTGGGCTGGCGGATTCTGGTGCCGGGAAGAAAGCGAAGGAGAGGGCGGAGGGGGAGGAGGGGGGAAGTGGTGATGAGGAGGAGGAGGAGGAGGAGGAGGGGGAGGATGGAGTCAGGAAGAAGGCGAAGAAGAAGGTGAGAGATTCTATCTGAGAACACAGAGTGTGCGTACAGAGCTGATGAGACCAACAGACGCAGCGATCGCACGAGCAGACGCTGGCACCCACTTTCGCCTCCTTACAGCTCAAGAAGCTCGAACTCGAATTCACGGTTGATCCCTTATTCAAGAAAGCTTCGGCGGATTTCGACGAAGGAGGCGCAAAGGGACTGCTACTGAATCATCTTTCCATCGATTCAGAAGGCCGCATTGTCTTTGACAGCAGCGACGAGACAGCAGATACCAAGTCTTATCCAAATACAACTCAGATGCAGCAGACGCTCGTGGACCCTTCCGCACCGCCAACGGAAGAGCTATCAAATCTATCTCTCCTACCCGACAACCAACCTCAGAATCAAGAAATTGACCTTGCATCCCTCGCCTCGAAATTCTTCCCTGACCTCTCGATTCTCGACTCCCAAGACATATGTCCTTCCATGAAATCGTTCACCCTGGGCGACGCAACCGCAGACCTCAACCTCCCTTTCCTCAAAGCACCTGAAGACTGGCGCGAATCCCACCAAGCCAACGGCACAGACAGATCATCAATCGATATTCCCATCTACGACAAATCTGGCATATTCATCGACTCGGAAAATGCCGCTGGCTTCGACGAGGACGATGACGACAGTCCTCTCGTTGGCTTCGACATGGGTCCTGATGTTGGCTTCGGCGAAGGCGGCGAAGCATGGGCCAAAGACGCGGCACTGGAACCCATGCTGCGAGTCGCTCGAGCAGAAGAAATCGATCGCGACGGAGGAGAGGACGGCCTCGTGATTGGTGACTTCGACCCGGCAAACCCCAACACGGACGCCTATGCCGTTGGGCTCAACCACCAACGCCGCGTCGGCGACAGCAATAGTGGCGACCCCACCGAAAACATCCTCTCCTATTTCGACGCAGCGCTTAAGTCCACCAAAGGCAAAGCAGCCGCCTGGGCAGGGCCAGAGCACTGGCGGATCCGCAAAATCAAAGCCGCTCAGGCATCGTCCGAGAACCCGCCTGCACCACGTGTTAGGAAGGAAAAGAGGGAACCGTTTGAGATTGATTTTCTGACGCCGATGGATCAGGGTCTAGCCGAGATGCTCTATACGCCGGCGGCCAGCAATGCGGCCATTAGTCTGCCCAAGGCGCAGTGGAAGACCAAGGGGAGGAATCTCTTGCCTGATGATCGGCACTTCAATTCTAGGAGTCTGCTACAGCTGTGGTTGAAACCAAAGGCTAGGGTGGGTAGGAGGAGGGCCGTGCCTGGGTTGCCGGATAGAGGAGCAAGAGGTGGCTCCTCAGAAGAGCTGGGGATGGGAGGGGATATGGACGGGCATGTGGAGATGGATGAAGCGTACTGGGCTAAAAGACGAGAAGAAGCGGAGGAAAGAAGGCGACGAGAGGTAGAAGAGGAGAAAGATAGGAAGGAAGGGGATTATGATGCCAACTTCTTCGCCGATGATGGCGCTGCCTTACCTTTTGGTGACGGTATACCAGATGGTGTTGACGACGACGATGATGATGGAGCACCAGGCTTCACGGACGCAAGGGAGATGCTTAGTCCTCCTCTCACAGCAGACTCCCAGCATCAATCAGCGCCTTTTGGCATGGCATCCTCCTCGCAGCAACAGATACCAACGGAATCGCATCTCCTACCCGGCTCCTTTGGCTCCCAACTCGTCACCCAAGGTGGAAGGAGGCTCAGACCAGAGTATGTCAATTATGCGCGTGTGGCCAAGAAGGTGGATGTCAGAAGATTGAAGGAAAATATGTGGAGGGGTATGAGCCAGAGACTCATGTCGGCCATTTCATCGTCAGCTCCCGCTCCCGTTGAGACTGTCTCGCCAGACGACGCTGCCAACGCGCCACCTACACCAGCACCTACCGATCCGGGTCTGGACGCTGATGGGGACGTTGATATGGACATGGACATGGACATGGACGTCCACGCCAGTGACAGAGAGATGGAGGTTGCTGAGATGGCGAAAGCAGGCACGCATCAGACGAAGGAAGGGGGAGAACTCCTCTTCACTCACCTCATCCGCGATCTGAAGAGCGTCTATCCCGAACAACAGATGCGCGATATCAGCACGAGTTATTGTTTTATCTGTCTGCTGCATCTGGCCAATGAGAAGGGTTTGATTCTTGAGGGTGACTATGGTCAGGCTGTGCAGAATATGGCGGGAGGGGCAGGAGGAGAGGGTATGGATGTGATGACGGGCTTGATGAGGGAGATTCGAGTCAGGAGGGATGAGAGTGTGGGGGTGGGATATGTGGGTGAATGACTGGTTGGTTGGTTGGTTGGTTGGTTGGTTAATTGGATGTGCACATGGATGGGGTTCGATGGCGCGCGGCGTTGGGAGGCTCTGCTATGGGATGGAGGATGGATTGGCAGGATGGATAGAATAAGGTAGCATTGGGACCGATGCAGTGGAGCATCTTGTAGGGCCTTGCTTGGGGAGCTAGGTATTCAGTCACGTTCGTTCATATCTGGTTGTTTTGGGCTGCTCTCTTGGTGCTTTTGGCTCTCTTTTCACGATGCTCTGCTCTGATGTTCTCAGACTTCTCTCCCTAACTAACTTAAGCGAGCCAACAAAGTGATAGCATGCCTAGACCGGCCCGGGGCCCGGTGGAAGAATTGGTGTACTCGCCAGTGAGGGGTACATCAATTAAGTGTGGTTCGAACCCCACTGGCGCTGTCCTATTGGGGGAGTGGTTGATGTGTCCCTTTTCTGGTGTCGCTCTTGCCGCAGCTTTCCAGACACAATTGATGAGAATCATCAGCCATAGATTGGCGACAGCTTCATTCTGGAAATTGTGTTACCTTTGTCCGCCACGAGTGACACCAATTGTTTCGGTGGGATGGGCCTCGGCACCCGGAACCCTTGAAGAAAATCAGAGCTTTAGTTGAAGACTTCTAACATTTTTTCCCCTACTTCTATTTTACTACGTAGACTCTCTCTATCTACGTGATTTGATTTTTGGTAGACATAAAAAATGCTGACCAATCATTTCAAGAGAGAAGGTACAGTTTCATCCTATTTTGAGCGTGATACAGCAATCTTCCTGCCAACCAAGCGGGGAGAGGAAAGGCTGATCTGCGGTTGGCCGATAACACCACTGACAGCACCACCGACAGCACCACCGACAGCACCACCGACGGGATGAGCGAATCGGGCGAGTTATCAACAAGAAGACGGGAGCTTACATAGCTTTCAGCCCCTACACTTGAACTGTTGATGGAGGTTGCATATCGGAGTCTAACCTTGAGTGTGTCACATCAAAGCTCAATAGGTTAAGTGATCATCTTCTCCTGTTGAACCAAATGGACCGCAGCCCCAGAGGACGGGAAACGACTAAGCTCGTGGCTGACATCTCCCAGCTTGACGGACCCACGAGGTCAGTGGCCATGTGGGCAATGCATTCACAAGGAGTTCACCCCACAGAGGGTCCCAAAGGAATGGAAATTGCGCGGCAAGACTCCTCTGATAGGCGGCCTCTTCAAGCCCTGTTGGACCAGAACGACCACAGCCCTCTGAGAACCGTAACCTAGTGTACGTCTGATAAGTCCTGTTCGCCAGCTGGCTGCATGTGCTACAACATGGTGGTCAACACACATCACACAGCTCTCCCACCTCCGAGTTGGTTCTTGCAGATCTGATCGAGCGATTGCTCGCCCTTGTGGCTCTCCCAATGACTACCAATATCCGGAGCTGTCCCACGTTTTCCTTTGTCATGTCTGTTCTCTTAGAGAAGAGAACAACTGGGCTTTTGTCTTCTTGTTGTGATGGCTCCTGCAATCATATCTCTGGCCATGCCGCTTTCCAACCGAGCACTGGCCGATAAACCTACCAAGGCATCCTATACGACAGACGACCTGACTCTTGAAGCTTGGGGCGAAGGCTACCATGTTGGCTCGCTCGTCATACTCCTTCTGATCGTCCTATGTAACTACCGACGACATGTTCTACTCCACAAGCTTATCTTACTCGAGGTGCGAACGGGAGCAACTAGCTCTGTCGTTGCAATGAGAATTCAATTGACCGCCCAATGCTAATTGCATGTCAGCTGTTCTTTGCCCTATGGCATGGCACCTTCATCTTTTGTCAAGACCCGACTTATGGCTGGTAAGTCAACCTAAGACACTGGCCTCGATCGTTTCCGAGAAAGATTGCATCAAACCAATACAATGTCTGTCTTCCCAGGTATCTGAGCAGCACCGCGACTCTGCTCTTCATATCCTACCAGCTGCACAACATCATCTCGTGGAGGAAAATCAAGCCATTCCTTCCCCGATGGGGTCAGCTGACCTTCATCTTCACCATCATCGCCGTGCAGCCATTCTGGATCGTCGAAGCTTGGAATAACTTTGAGTATTTCAACGGGCTGGGCAACCTGAGCAATATCCAGACTCGGCCTTGGGAGGCGCTGGCTCGGTATGGTATCCCTGTCAGGTACTCGACACGCTGAAGGCTGAAATATTTGACCTTAGGGACCCCTGGTGGATCTTCACAACGATAAAGTTGATCCAGGTCATCAAAAAGGATTACGGTTTTACCTTGTTGGGATTAATCCGCACAAGCCCTCGATTCGCCATCATGATATTCTGCATGCTCCTGTCCCTCGTCTTCCTCATCATGGACATCATCGTGACCGTGACTGGCATGTCCCGCAACAGCGGCATCAATCCTTATTGGCGGGTACGCCTCCTTCCACCACTAGCAGCGAAAGAGAGTTTGCCAACGGCTGATTTAACGAGTAGCTGGCGCTTGTCTTCAAATGCGCCTCGGACACCATCTTCCTCGACGACTTCAAGATCGTCCTCGACCACATCGTCAGCGTCTCCTTCAGCCGCTTCGGCGGATCTCTCGGCGGCCGCATTGACGCATCTCACCACCGGCCCTCCTTCAACCCGGCGCCGCCAAGCTCGACGACGCTGCGCAACATGATACCGCCCGTGGTGCCCGGTGGTGGACCCATCATCACCATCCACTCGGACAACGACCCAGCCGCCGGCGGCAACAACAGCGCCGACAAAACCCACAGCCGCAAGCCCAAGTCCTGGAGGCTGCAGATCCCCATCGCCTCGTTGTCCAAACCAAAGCTCCAGATCCGTCAGGAAACCACAATCACCACCACCAACGAACCCAGCGACCGCACCGACATGGCCCCCTCCGTCTCCCATGTCTCAGAAGATACCTTTGTCACCAAACCGCAGACCGCGAAGCCGGGGAAGAAAGCTAGCAGTCCGTCATCGTTGGGCTGATCCGATTCGCTTACAACCGAGCGATCTTTTCTTCTTCTTCTTCTTCTTCTTCACCTTCACCTTCACATAGAGCAGAGCACATCTCGCGGGGGCGCGCTAGGGGGGTTGGTTAAAAAGGAGGGGCGAGAGTGCTACCATCCTAGCTAGAGGCGGGCCGGTAAGGATGGGGGCTTCCTTACATTTCATGGCTTCAGTGGCTGTTCCTGTAGGTTTCGTAGCGAAGGTACGGAGGATATTATCCTACCCGGATTGTTTTTTTTCCTTTCGGACTTTGTAGCATAAGGACGGAAGACAAACAGTAGCCGTGGTGATTCGTAGGGTAAGCCTTGGAGAGAGGAACATGGAAGGTGCAAACCAAATGGGCTGGGTTGGCAGGTAAGCCCTGTTCCTTTATTGTGAAATGCATATGGATATATCTACAAGTCGGAAAAACACTACATGCCGCCCACCCACCACCACCATGACCGTGACCGTAAAGCGTGCATTTGAATCAATCAAATCAAATCCAATCCAATCTAACCCAAGGCTCGATCAAGCACAAACGACGATACGCATCAATTCAACTT